GGAAAAACTGTCAAGTTGGACTTGACCAATGCATTTGATCTATTTCACTCAGTAAGTTGTTAGATTTAGCTCCACCATCAATCGTTATGGCATTACAGGCAGCTTGTACAATTGGATATCATTTATAAGACCGTTACCAAGATATGTTAAGATTTAGCTCCAGTTAAATTAAGTATACTCCAAAGTTATATCGCATCTTTTCTTTATTAATTGTATATGACCTTACTACAGTTTTATTAAATTCTACCATTTATCTTTATGCTGATGAGTGTGAAATTTACTGTCAAGGATGATCGGAAAATAGTTTCCACTATAAGCTGATTCAATTGAACTTCCAACTGGCCGTGTTCTTCAAATCACCCTTTTCATTCAAAATTGTAGCCTTATTATATATCAATTTGAAAGGATTCGATCTTCCTATTCTCTTTATTAATGGCAATTTAATTAAGCTTTTTATTATTAATATATAATATATAAAAATATATAACATATAAAAATATAAAATATATAATATACAAATATACAAAAGCATTCGTTCGGCATTATTCTTGATTATAATGTAACTTATTATTCCCAAATCGTATCGCAAATCAAGTACATTAATTGGAGATTTCCAAAAATACTTTGTACTCTGCCTTTATCCTAATACCAATCTCCGTTATAATACACAACTTCAGCTATACAACTTAGATTCAACACTCTCAGTTCGTCGAATTAAAAATTTAATTTATACACATAAAATTTTATATGGTTTTGTTTCAAATTAGTTTGTTCAAAATGTTACAGTTTTAGGTTAAATTTGAGCCCAACAAAGATTTAATGGGCTAAAATTATCAAGCCTAAATGCAATATTAAATTAAGAACACTTGATTTTTTATTCGCATCATTAATTACTGGAATAAGCTGTCGAATGACGTAATTTGTGCACCATCCTTATCAATTTTTAAGAAGATAATAATATCATCCATGATATTATTTAAAAGCTTTATGTTATGCAGGAAGTTTAAAATTGTTCACCAATCTGTTATAAATATACTTTGGTTTACTTGATTTTTTCTCTTTATTTGTATTATTTTTTTTTTGCTAGCTTTTGGTCAAATTAATTTTGTTATTTGCTATTTATATTGGAATCACTAGTTCTTTTTATTTGATATTTTCTTGTTGTTACTAATGCAAGCAAAGCACAAGGCGCTTTTCGCCCTGTTTGGTTTATTAAATAAATAAATAAAATTTTAAATAAATAAAAAGAAACTTTTCACGGTGGGATTTCTCTAACAGTTAGTGCTAGCAGCCAAGCCAGAAATAATGAATGTTGTGATAATAATAATCGTGTGCAAAATTTTTTTATTGATCGTCCATGTGGGGTGAGTTCCAGTGCATATCGAAATCTTTTCATTAGTGTAGACCTCATCCTAAACGGCTTATCTATTAAATAATACTTTTTCATGCTGGTCTTAACTTTCCGCTCTGTAAAAAATAATGATTTCGCGCAATCTCTCTTTTTTAATAAAAAGTAGTTTAATCTTGAGGATTTTTTCGATTTGAAGATTGATTTTGATTAATAGCACTGAAAATGCCATCGAAAATTTCGCCATTGGAGAAAAAATAATAATTCTCTGCAAAAATTTAAAAAATTTATCCTTTGACAACATCATAAAGGCGAAACTTGTTGAAAGACAGAAAAAAATCCAGTTCACGCTCTAATTAATGCAAAAGCTAAATTTGATCTTTAAATTTATATTAAATTTTTCAATTAACTTTGGCCTGAATTATTTGTGGTTTCCATTATCTATTGGTCAAATAATAGCAAAAGTTCGTAAATATCCCTTCTGCTTGAAATTATCGAAATGATTTAATAGAATTTCCCATTAAAACAAAATTTTCGTTCTATTACATGCAAACATTTACAGCAGTCACTCAGGTAAACCACGAATGAATGAAGGTTATCCATACACAGCAATTTCGCGTCGTAAGCAACAAAAACCTGCCCGCGTTACTGAAGAAATGGCAAATGGCATGAGGAAGCTTGGCTCTAACTGTTCAAGCGTCATTGTTAAAGCATCAGATGTTACTATTGGCAGTAATGATAACTTTAAGGTATTGTTTACTCACCATTCACCATTTCGATTATATTGTTATTGTTAAAACAATATTCTCCTTCTTCTAAATCATTACTCTCCAAAGTGGTCCTCAAAGCCTTTGTAGTGCTCGAGGGACTTACAAGGGATAGATTTTGCACATTTTTCTTCCATTATTAATAATTAGTAATAATAATTCCATTATTAATAATAATAATGAGCGTTTGAAATAAGGTTCTCTGAAATACGATTATCTTACAGTACTTGTTTTGTAAAAAATTTCTCTTAATTAGTTGTTTGTGCCGGAAATTACACAATATTACAAATGAAAAAATGCTCGATTTCTTTCCTCCAAGGTCATTTCAATCATTTTAGTGTTTTAAAAGCGCTGAAGAAAAAAATTTTCTTCAAATGAAGGAGAATTACTTCTCACTCTCACTACACCAATTCCATTAAATTCCATCATTTATTCTATAATTATGGATGAATAAACAATTCTGAAAAAATCACATTCACATTCATAAAGGCGTTCACCATTTATCCATATTCATTTTTCGTGTTAAACTCGAACAGTAAAGATGAAAGATAAAAGCCCATGAAGCATGGCTCCAGGTTAATGTTAATAATGCTGTGGTTGCTGTTGTATTGTCCGAAAATTCAGGCAACAAATAATACTGAAATTCTTGGTAAGTTAAGAGATTTTTCAATTACGGAATGCGACGAAATCAAAGGCAATTGCGCGAATAAGAAAGCTGGCAATTTCGACAATTCAAATGAAACTGGTTAGTGAAGATTTTTGTCATAAGCAAAACTTCCCTCCAAAATTTATACCAGTCAGCTATAAATATTAATAATCAACGAATGCCTGAGGAGAGATTGATGTGACAGAAAATGTCAAAAATTTCCAGTGACCTATCCTGGCTTATTTTTTTTAAGAGCACTCACCATTGCTGGGTAGCTCATTCAGTTGGCTAGTCGGGTTAGATAAAGATACTAGGGATTTTCGTGCGATACAGGTAAATTGTGGGAATTGAGAATTACAGGTCGCGAACACCGCTCAGTTTTTTGCACAGTTTTATTCACGGGGAGTAAAATGTCATTCTGTGTTCCGAGTTTAGCAATAATCCACTGTACCATTCTTTTCTCCCTTGCCATCTTCTCTAACATATTTTATACATCTCTAGTAAGGAATAAAAGAAACTATTGCTTAGATTATCTTATGGATGCGTCCTGTAAATTTTATAAAAGGCACAGGCCGTGCTGGAGATTCAATATTCTGTACTTATTGTAAATCAAGCGACTTTTTCTCAAAAATTTTCATCGTATTAACAATGATGCCAGGTTAACCAGAAATGATGAGCGTTATCCATATCAATTCCATCTTAATAAAAAGAATTAAGCATTGCTGTAAAAAAAGAATTGCACTATTGTGAATTATAAGAAAAAATAGAAATAAAAAAAATTGTTTTATGGCAGTTTTTAGCGAATGGCAGCCTTACGCAACCTGGTACATCTTATGAGCTAATGAATGCTCCTTTTCATCATGCACTATATCTACCGGTTGCCTTCCACAGTCATCATTCTAATTATATGCAAGTGAGAAACTTTACCTGAAAGAAAATGAATAAAATTTAACCTTTTCTCTTGACTTCTATCCTGTAATATTTATTTTGTTATTGGATAAACAGTCATTAGATTAAAAATAACTGTGTGATATGTTACTTCGAAAGTGAAGTCAGATGGATCCGCTTTCTATTCCTTATATTAAATGCAGAATTCTTCTGGGAACCACTATGGACTACTATTCTTAAGCAACTATTGTGAAGAGCTTATCCTAATGGAGCCAACAGAATCAACCAAACCACAAATTTTTAGAAGAAAATTTTGGAAATATCAATCATCAAAGAAATTAAACCGAATCAAAATAATTAAATAAATCTATAAATCTGTAAACAAATCTATCTTAAAATTTTCTATAATTCAGATTTTGGGTCATCCACAGATTGTGATACCAGTTGCAGTAAATCGTAACAATTCTAATGCATATACACCACAACTTTTTATCAATGAAACATTATCGATTGATATCGAAATACCAAAACGAATAAATTTTGGTGACAATTGTGCGTTGAATCTTATTAAACTACCACTAAGCGACACAGCGATTTCAAATCGATTATCAACACCAGAATCTTCACTGAAGAGGCCAAAAAGGTTCAAATCGTATCGTTTCCGAATCGTTAAAGGCTTTAACTTAACAATTTACAACGATGGCACTATAAGAAGCTCCATGATTAAATTAAAAACTTTCTTTTTTATAAAAAATTCAGAATTTTAATTTTAGTAGATCTACAACTCAGATTCGCATCGGCTCGAAGAGGGAATGGAACCAAAGTGAAAATAAACCTTTGGATCTTTCTTTGAGCATTAAAGTACCAAATGAGAATTCCAAGGAAAAAAGTCCGTCGGTATTATTTATTTATAACTCAGTTTAGTTATAACTTTGCATCGTTTAATATAACATGGCTGGCATAGAATAGCAAATACTAGCTTGACGAACTACACTTATTAAAACCCTAGTTTTTTATTTTTACAATAGATTCTCCTTCCTATCACCAGTTTCTACCTTCTTCTAACAGCATCCATCATTTTCTGTTTGGTTGACTCCACTTAAGATAAATAATAATAAAATACTAAATAATACTAAAATAAAATCGTTCCACCAATGAGTGATTTTTATATAATCCTTAAATGTATCGAACGCTTTTCGACCCCAGTGATTTTTTTGAAATCTTATGAAAGTTTGATCTTAAATTCTTAATAATTTTTGATGTGGATTTAATATTTTTCTTTTTTTAGCATTATAGAACCATCAGTTATTAAGGATTATAGGAAAAATTAAATGGTGCAGAGAAACGGTTTCGATGTGAATGTGGGGTATCGTTTAACCAAGCAACAACTTTGGCAGGTCACAAGCAATATTATTGTAATAATACGAATCAAGTGGAAACCTTCCGTGAGCCTCACAAAAAAGTATATTTAAGTAAAAGTATTATTCGTCATATATTCTTTACTGCTTGTAAATTGCAGTAGCAATTGGCACAAATCAAAGAATTTAGATATTATTCCATGTCCCTTTCCTATTACTGTCTTTTCAATAAATATAAATAATTTTTAATATGAATTTTTGCTTCAGATACCTAATCGCTGCCAGCAATGTGATTTCCAACCAATAAGTGCTGCTCAGCTTACTCAACATGTTCGCATCAATCATTCTGCAATACAGGCATATATTTGCCAACTTTGTGGTTATAAAGGATATTCTCAACGTGGAATCAGATCTCACCTGAGGTGTATTATTTGTATTTTAATCTATATAGCACCAGTTAGTCTTCTTTTTGAAGGGCGAATTGAAAATAAGAGAATGATTAATTATATTACTCTGTTCTTTAAGGTTATTTCTGCTACGGTTTTTTTATTTTATTTCAATTTCATAATTTTTAATTTTAATTTTTAATTTTAAATTTAATTTTATAAAATTGTCGATAGAACGACACTGAAGCGCATCATTTCATATCCGAAACCGATTATATGCTTACGAAAAATTATCGGAAAAGGAAACAAAACTAAATATTATATCATTATATCATTCACATCTATTTAGATCACATTCCGAATGTTCTGGAGGTCAAAATGATGAACTCTTATCGACTCATGTTGTTTTCGTGACTGCTGATTCGAAGGCTTACTCGTGTCAGAAATGTCAAAAAGATTTCCCATCAAAACATTTTATAAAACAGCATGAATGTGAAAATGATGTAAAAATATAAAAATGCAAGGAACCATAATATAATATTAGATAATAGAAATTCATGAATTTATGAAAAAACTGTTATTAAACGTGAAACATTGCCGCTGAAATTGATTTTTTTCCAGTAAAAAGAAGGATTTTTTTTAAAGAAATAAAGGAGAATAAATTTTTTAACTTTAGTGTGAAATTAAATTTCCACTTTTCAGATTATTTCTTAAATTTTCCTTTTTCTTTATTTATGATTATAAAATTATTGTTAAGGTTTACATTTGAAGATATTCAATTTCGTTGCAATTTCGTTGTCATGTTTCAGCGACGTTTTGTGCTTTTTAAGTTTAAAGAATTTAACAATTTGGATAACAAAGAATCATTTAGTATGGAGCTTTTCCGTTACGTTGGCGTAAGACCAATATATAACGTAATGCAATGGAGCAAGGCTTGTAAATAAATTTTTTTTATAAATTGTTTTCAATAACACTGAATTGTAACTAATTTGATTTAAAATAAAATTGGAATGTTTTGGTGCAAGTGTAATATAAATTTAATTAAAAATTAGTTAAAAATGCATAGATGATTTCATCTTGTCCACTTGTATGAATGGCCTTCTGGAGAAAACCAAATCATTGAATTAACTTTTCTTGTAGTTTTTGTTTCATTTCCGAAATCTGTTAAAAGTTAAAAGTGCCCTGAAATGTGAAGAATTAAATAACAGTTCAACAATTTTATGAATCTCGAGGAGTGATCGACGAAGAAGAAAAATGGTCGAATTAGAACGATTCACTTTGTCACAAAATTTTTTAAAATAATTCAATCGTTCAAAATGCTAAGAAATCCATAAAAAATAAGAAAAGTATAGGATAACGTTTCATTGGCTTTGAACTAAATTCATCGATGTAACTAGTAAAGCAAGAACCAATTCAAAGGAAGAAATTATGATCTAAACTCGTTCTAAGAAAATATAACGTTATCCTTCAGGAAAATAAAATGCAAACAAAATCGAGAAAATACCAGAGTGATTTGTTTAAGCCGAGTCTTTTAAGCTCGAATTCCAGTCAGATTGAAGATAGAGATACAAGAGGGTGGCAAAAGTATTTCTTAGAATTGAGAGTTCTGACTTTGTAAGATAAAGATATTTTAGTTTTGTTAAAAGCTATGAGATTACCGAATACTACGCGAAAGGGGGCGTTCGAAAAATGTTTTACTGAAGAAGCAACAACACCTGACAGATTTTCGAGCACTGAATTCAGTGTGTACACTTTTCATCTATTAGTGCCTCTAAGTTGATCATTTAGAAACTACTTCTACTCGAATATCTCTTCTGCTCAAGATAGTAATGGCTCCTTCACAAGCTGGTATGTCGGAATTTCAACTTTTTTATGAGCTTTTTATGTAAATCTGGATCCATTCAGCTTATTTTTTAACTAAACTAAAATATCGACAACTTTATAAATTTATATTATTACTATACCTTTCGCCTTATTTATGTTGTCTTTTGGTATATAGCTATTTAAAATATTTATTTTTATTTTTATTTAAATATTATTTTTATTTAAATATTTATTTTTTATATTATATTATAATATTATATTTTTATATTATAATTTCCTTTTATCTTCATTTTCTTCTTTTAGCAGTAGTCACCTTCTCCGTTTTGGCTGGTTATTTTAGGATGAAACCTAAGCTGTAGAGGGCAGAGAAGGTATGATACCTAATACTACTCGCAGATCACTTTTAATGGTATATTTACTAACGCCAAAGGAAAATATATTGGAACTTAGTCCGAGGAGCCAAACCACTTGGCCATATTTCTTCTTATATTTTCTATTTTTTCTATTGAAATATTTTTCTTCTTAAAAAAAAATCTTCGACTAAAGCTGTTTTTTGATATCAAAATTTTATTTTTGGTACAGAAATATCGTATATTAATCGTTACAACTAGGCAGTGATCCAGTCAATTTTTAAGAATCTAAGTGATCAAAAGAATAACAGAATTTATTTCTTTCATTTCATGGTCCACCATTCGTTCAACCATTATTTCATTTAAAAGCTTAGTACATCTGGAATATTGTTGGTAGTTTATTCATTACAAGCAAATGGAAAATCCAGTCAGACTTCTCTATTTTTTTTTGAACGTACCTGAATTGAACTATTTCAAAAGGAAAGTCTAAAAAAGTGTATTGTTTATTAGCAAGAGAAATCATTGCACCAAGCAATAAATTTAATAACAGTGTCAATAGAATTATTTCTAAGAATTTCAAACTAATCTAATCAAAATATTTTATTTATTTAAAAAAGAAGCAAGCCGAGAAAGAGGCACTAAGTGCACAATAAGCGAGCATCAGCACAAGCAACATAAATAAGATAAGCAATGATCAAAAGACCATATGAAAAAAATTTAATTTTAATTTTATAATAAAAATAGTCTATTCGTTTCGAATTCGGTAAAATTACCGGTAAAATTTAGCATCTTATATGTTAGATCTTAAATAATATTTTTAACAAAGTTCGATCGCCAAAAATGAGACTCGTAATGAATTCACTGGTTCAGCTCATTTGTTGTTGTGATTCCTTGATAAAAAATTTTTCCAGCTGGTAAAACATTTGAACAAACCCTGAAAGTGCTCTGCCACCCACTGCTGCTTATCGTTGCCCTTTTGCTTTGTATAACATATTTTATCAAAAATAAATTTGATTTTAGCTTAGCTTTAACTAAGAATTTCAAAGCCATATATTCCTCATTTGGTCGATATTTAGTGCAAAGCAAATCTTTCCTTGATTTTTTTCAAAAAGTGACTTATTTTTAGAACTGAAAGAAATTTTTAATTTGTATGACGAAGAACTTGATGGTAAAATCGATGGTTTACAAATCGGTGATGTTATTCGTGCTGCCGGTTTAAAACCAACAAATGCCATGGTGATTAAAGCAAGTGGTCAGGAATATAAACGGAAAGGAGAAAAACGTATAACTTTCGAAGAATGGCTACCGATTTACGAGCAACTTAGCAAAGAAAAGGTTTTATCTTCCGTGATTTTCATTCTTTGAAATGATTAGATTGATTCCACTCGCTACAAGTCATTTCCAAGACATTCATTCCATTCGATCCGATGGCATATCTGGCAATAATAGGAGATAATAATAATATTTTTTTATAACTTTTATCAATATATCATATATTTTTAACATATTTTATATTATATATATATATATATATATATATAATATTCATATAGCTTGAAATTTAGCTATCCTTCTATTCTTCTACTTAATTTCGATAAGAAAATAAATAAATAGCGATTCCAAAACTAACGTCTGGTCGCCTAATTGGAAAAATCACTGTTTCAATTGGACTTGTCATGATTTCATGGATCTCTTTTGAGAGAAAAAGTAATCCAAAACAAAATTGCAAAACTCTTCTGAATCGAAACAAAAGTTATTAAAAGTTATTAAGTTGCGAAAAGTGATGAAAGTCACATAGTCACACATTTTCTCATATATTTATTAGAATTAATGCAACAGCAATATCCATAGAGAATTTTGTCGAAAAATCGGATAATTTCTCCCAAATTTGCCTTTGGGAGTAGTTTTTCTATTACCTGGCATTCGATTTTTTAAGATGAAATTGATGAATTAGTGAATACACTTCAATGAATAAATGAATCTATTATGCGAATTCTGCAGAACTAATTATTTCTTCATCCCTAATAACCTCTTTTATTTTCGCCCACTAAAAATTTCTCTATTTTTGCAATTTTTCTTAGAACCGAAATCTCTGACTTCTTTTCGCAACGAGTTTCAGTTCTAAAATCTTATCCTCTATCATTTAGCTGCTGCACTTCTTGTTTAATCTCTAAAATTACATCAAATCGCGAAATCGCAAAAAGTGTAAAAAAATAAATAAAGCGGCTTAAACAACCAAATTTGATTTTTAAACACAATTCGAACGAGACAACTGAGCGAAATTTTGGATTTTACTTCATTTTTATATTAGAAATGAAAATTAATACTACCTATGTCGATTATGAAATATTCATAAACTTTTAATGGATCAAAAATCTGCCAAATTAATTCATGAAATTTTGAAGAAAACTTTGAATAGAACAGATAGGTGTCTTTTACTGATAAAATAAATCATGAATTCAAAGATGTGATTATGTGCGGTGCTTAATATTTTAAGATAAATCTGCAGCTGGGACAATAAGTTTATTCAAATTGACATCCAAATACATATGAATGGAAATATTGTCACTTCAAGTCGTTTCGCTCTATTCCACTGAAGCAAAATTAAATTTATCATTAAAAAACATTTAGACATATTCAGGATTCATCTATTCTTCTATCCCAAAGTGACTTCCTTGCAAAATTGCTGTATTACTAACAGTCAATGGAGCGAGCCTCACCAGAGCCATTTCTGAATGGCGAGTACTTAAACCGCTTACTTACATTTTCTTATTTGATGAGTTTTATTTAGTGACATAGGTTTTAGCCATGTGTATCTACCATTTATAATTGGGTAAGGTGGTTGCGCATTTAGAAATTGGTTGAAAAATTTCGCATTAAAGCAAATTGTACATCACAAATTTGGAATTATGCTGCCGACTCAAGGAATTTTTCCAGGAAATTTCTAAATTTGGTGTAAATTTGATTGCTATATTCTTACTTACTGTGCAGATTCTGATTTTAATAAATAACAGAATAGGTTGTCGATTTCTAAATTTATTGTATCCATGTAAGTGAGAATTTAATTTCTAATTTCAGGAACAAGGAAGCTATCATGATTTCCTGGAAGGTTTTAAAGTTTTCGACAAAGAAGAATGCGGAAAGGTTTGTTTATCATTTCAGTCAATAGTCTTAATCGTATTTCTCACAGTATAGTTAATTCGACCTAAGATTTTCAAAATCTATTTGCCATTTAAATTTCAATCAAAATTACCAAAACTCCAATCGCTAATTTTCAGATAATGTCAGCGGAGGTTAGGCACATTTTACTTGCTTTAGGAGAACGATTAAATAAGGATGAAGTCGATGAAATCATGAAAGGAATAGAGGACGCAGAAGGAATGGTTAACTATGATGGTGAATTTTTTAGTATTATACTCAAGTTCAAATAATAGAGGAATAAATTTTAATTGTAAATATATATAATTATAATAAATTATAAATTAAAAATTGATAAAATCATAGGAAGATAATCTTTGGCCATAAAAAGAAATCAAATGAAATGATTAGTGAATTTTCTTGCGAACCATAGTTCGACTTTATGAAATAATTATTATCAGATTGAGGACGAAATAGAGTAAATCTGCTCGAAAATCGGGGTGATGCTGGCGATTCACCTGTATTTCTATTGCCTAGAGACTAAGGGACTCTAACATATTTGCTTAGTAAGCCAAAGGAGCGAGTCTCAGCAGTAATGGTGAAGGCTCTTAAAAAAAAAAAAAATCAGATTAGCCATTTCGGTTTACAGTTATAAGCAAATAGCTGTTTTTTTTTCTAATAGCGTCCACGATAACTGATTTGCTTAACATATACTGAAATCTTGATCAATGAAATCTTTAATTAAAGATCCACATAAAAAATTTTGATGAACCGATCATACTTACGGATAGGTGCATAAGTGGGTCCATAAAACATCTTTTTTTTAGTGTCAGTGGCTGCTAAGGACAGAAATCGAATCCATGACCTTTAAGCAAAGCGATACACCTCACGTCTGTCCCAGTTGCTTACTGCAAAATATAGAAAAGATAATGAAGCATGCATGCACACTTAGCTGATTTTGTGGGTCTAATAAAGCTTTAAGGTGTCAAAAGTTGTTTCGCTATTGTGAAATTGGTGAAAAAATTGAAAACAATGATAGACGTGAAGAAAATTTATTTATTTAAGTGCAAATTTCACAAATACTTTCGAATAAATAAGTAGTTTTGTTTCAAGCTGAATCACTGTTAAATAATTTCACTACTTTATTAATCTAATAATCAGGATTTTATTGCTTTTTTTAAGCTCTAAAGTATAAGATATTGAAGTTATCATCTATGAATTCTTTTTTTTCAACTTCATTTCATGCTCTAACATTATTTACTTTTCTTTTCTTTCACCTGACCTATTAAAGCGATTAATGAAGAAAACCTTTCAGCTTTCATCAAGAAGATTCTTGCTGGGCCTTTTCCGGATGATTGAATTTATAAACATTTTTCGACCTTTTTCAGAAATCAGATAAATTACATTACAATTATTATTCTCGCTTTTCATTGTGATTTGAGATATGCCGAGGATTTTATCAACCAATTGTTCCCATAAATTCACTCTTTCCGAATCGTGATTTTTTAAACTATATTCTTAATCCATATAGGTAAAAAATGTATCTTGAATATTTCTTTAATTTTTAATTTAGTTCAAAAATTTTTGGAGCAATTATGATGAAACCTTTTTCTTCTTTCATTCTAAGATTTTTCTCGGAGGGAAATAAGGAAAACGAGAAAATTTGATCTTATGCTTTTAAAATTTTGATAATTTTGGTATGCTTGCCTTGCCTTTATAATCTCTTAGAGACGATTAGAGATGTAATGTTATTCATCTTAAAATTTTAATTCATATTCAGTCACGACTGCCTAGCCAATTAATTATTACTATTATTATTTTTTCCACAGATATGAATTTTTGTTGGTGTGAAAAGACATAATAATTCCTTTGAAGGCGAAATGCTGCTAGTTTCTATGTTTTACTCACTGCCTTATGCTTTATTACATCGCAAAATATTATATGTGTCGAAGGAATTTTAAGGATATTTTAAAAAATCACGCTCGTCATGCCTGATATTCATCGATTTTTTAAATTTTGATATTTATCTAATATATTTATCAACAACTATTGTTAGTTGGTAACATCGACAATTTTGTCTGTGCGTTCAGCTACAAGAGCAATTCGAATAGTTTTCGAAAATAGTTTGCGATGAATTAAGTGAACCGTCTAAGCAATCCTTTATGGATCCATCCAAAAAGAACGCAAGAAGTCCATTCAGAAAGCAAATTGAAGAAAAGCATTCGAAATAGATTGAAAATTGTTGTTTATCCCCCATAGATTTTTTATTAACAGTAAATAGTAAACAATAACTAAGTTAAAAAGATTTTTTTAAACTCCTCCACAGTGAGATGAAAAGATTAAATCGAATTATGACGAAGCACCGTAATGCGAAATTCATTAACATTCTTTCAACATTTTATGAGATTCAAAATTGATCACCGATAAAAAATCACATCACAAATATGAAAAACATGAATCCTTAACACTTAAAACAGAAGTTTAATCCTGACTTTGGAATAAACAAAAAATAAACTTATAAATGGTCGTTGAAACCATGGAAAGTATTTGGCCACCCTTTGCTGTTATTTTGTGCAATTTGCTTCGAAAGATCGTAATAACGATGGAAATAACGATGGTACCAAAGCGCTTGCTAAGAACCACAAAAAATTTGGAAGGTCAATGTGGTGCAAAATTTTATCAGCAAATGAAAAAAGAATTTAAAAAATGTGTAAAGAAAATGAGGAAAAAAAATCTGAAAATATAAGAAATTGTGGAATGAATCGATATAATTCGTAGTAAAAAATTGAAATAATATGCTTAAAAAGGCAATCAAATTGGATAAACGAATGAGTACAACAATTACTCGATTCTTTCCGTTCCAGCTGTTAGGCTTTTATTTGTCCACCTTTGTTGATTTATTAAAAAATCAGTTATCTCGTTTCGTTATTTGGCTGCTGAACGAATTTTTTCCCATACAGCAGACTTTTGCTTTAAAAAATTGGCTAAAACGGGTTAATATGAATAGACCATTGCTTAGATTATTATTTCAAGTATCATTCGGTCTCTGTACTTCGTAAGGAAAATTATCATGAAAAAATCCAAGTTGCTAGAGATTCTCTATTGCTCTGAAATTGCGAATTGAATCCCAAGCGAAAATGGTTTATCCTCCCTGTTGAAGCAAGCTGAAATAGAAATGTTAAGTACCATTAATTAACTATAAATATTTTTTATAGTAAAGCTTTTAGTCGTTATAAATCTGAACCGTGCAAGTAATTAATTACTTGATTTTTTTTTGCTTTAATAAAAAAAGATAAAGGCAAAATGCAGAAAGATAGGTAATTAAACTATTAAATATTATTCGCTTAATATTTGCTAGATTCATTAAATTAGAAAAGCATTCGTCATTTATCATCATGGAAAATTACCGGCTGCAAATATTAAACGAATGATCTGATTTTGCTGCAAATGTTCTATCACTATATAAACTTCTAAAAAGTAGTTCTATTTTATCTATTATCGAAATTTTTTGACAATATTGACTTATATTTAGCTAACGATGTGAATTTATTCAACTTTCAGTTCTGTTATGGCATTTCCATCGCAAACAAGAAGTCTAATATCAACTAGTATAACTAGCATTTTTTATCAACTATTCAAGTTGAACAGTGGTTTTAATTTTTAACGCAAGGTTGCAATATATTTTCTAAGAAATCTTTTATTATTTTGTTGGCGGAGGATGGAATAGTCGAGTTGATTCGACTGCAATCGAGCTGCCATGAGCTTTATGTCATTCTCTAAGTGGGACTGAACCTATAATTAAAAATAAAGCTTTGGTAATGTTCTAGCAAAAAATGCTTTATTCTGAAATAAAAATACGTTATAAATAGAGTTAACCACGCCAGGAATAAGGTAAAAAATTCGAATCACTACAATTTATGATCCTTCAAACTCAAAATTTTCATTAAAATTTGTCTTACATATTTCTGAATATGAAAATTGCCTTTCAGTTATCAAATTCATGCATATTTTATTCGAGAAACATGGTTGTCAACTTACATGCATATCACATCCCGATCCGAAAGGTATTTTATTAATTCTTATCACTTTCAAATTATTCACTTATTCCTCCAGTTTTGATGAAATCATTAATAATAAGATCACTTTGTGAGAAAAATAATGGAAAATTCTTTTTTTTAAGTACTGGCAAATAAGTATTGTGAATAAAAGGATTTTTAAGGAAAATATTACTTGCTTTCCCAAACAATTTGATTTTCAGTTAAATTATTCAATTAAATTTCCGATTATTATTCAAACGGTATTATTTTTGAAAATAATTTCGATAGCAATCATTTTTTTTTAGAGTCCTCACTATTACTGGTTAAACTCGCTCCACTGACTTGTCGCATTGAGCAATATGCCAGGGAATCCCTTGGCTATAAAAATACAAGTGAGTCGCCAGTATCACCCGGACCTTTGGACTTGGATTAGATTTATTCCTGCGGGGAATCGAACCTCAGCATCTCGCTCGCATTGAGCAACAACCCACTGAGCCATCCCACCCCCACTTAGCAATCATTATCAGTAAGTAAATAACCAATATTTACTTTGGTAAACCTAAAAAGAAAAATTTCAGAAATTAATTTCAGGAAAATTACCGTCATGGTTAATAAATCGAGTGACTAAGGTTATTGGTTCCAAAATGATCAAAAAATTACATAAGGCATGCTTAAATTACCCAATCTGGAAAGCAAATAATGAACCCGAATGGAAACCATGGCTGTATCCTGAGCAAAGAGTAAGCCTAATACCTTCCACAGAAAGGTTCAAAAGTTAGCAAATTATAAAATATAATACTGTAACGTTTAACCCAGTGAAATATATTCAAAACTTCAGAAAAAGATGCTTCAAAAAATTTTATTAAATTCTTATAAATTAGGAAGGACAGACTTATGGGCCATGCATTATCGCATAAAATCCAGAAAATAGGTCGTATATTGACGACACATATATTCAATTACCAGGAAAAATCGCATTCATCCATGATAAAGCAGGAATCCATAATCCATAAGACATATGGCATAATATGGTCATGGATAACATTTATTGATCATATGATGAAATCCGATACGTTAAACGTATGAATTAATTTTAAGGCCAACACTCCACGTATTAATCTGGATGAATGTATTCCAAGAATATATGAAAAATATTGATGAAAGCAGTCTAATGGAAAAAGTCCTTGAAAAAGATTGAAGAAAACAGTCATAGCAATTTTTTTAGCTATATCGCATTTCCAGAAAAAATATTTATTTTAACAATAAAAAGTTCAACACCAATCGACAATGTGTCTCCTTCTTTGTTATTCATTAAAAATGATTGGAATTTTCATTAGGATTCTTTAGAATAGTAATAGATTTAGTAATAGTTTACCAACGCGAACTCGGTAAAATTGAATTGGAAATCTCTCCCAGATTTTGATAAGCCAGTAGAATTCTGATCGGCTAAAGATTTTTTAAGCAGTTTCAGCTACATTTAATTGAACAAACAGTTGTCGACGTATTCACTGGAGTATTTACTTATGAACATAAAATTTCCATCAACCTTTGTCCGATCGAGTAGCGTGCGATATTTTCTGTTTTTTGCCCTGTATTATATATATTCTTTATTATTCATTTATTATTGAATTATTTCTGTATTTATATTGAATTATGTTACTTTATATTGCATCATGAAGAGATCTGTGGATGTACTTAAGAGAATGCTAAAAACTTTAGTGGCTTCGTAAAATTGTCGAAGATATGTGGTTGCAAATGGCCTAAATTATTGATAAAAATAATAAAAAAACAAAACTGCTAATTGGAAAACAGACAAATTTACAGAAGTTCCAAAGATCAATAAAGAATCGACGTGACTATAGCGGATAAAATGATATACTACCAATGTCTTAATAACTGTAATTCAGTTTTTCCTGGTTTGCCTTTTATTTTTTTGTTATTTTTTTGAAGTATTTTCTCTTTTCGCGGATATTGTCGCATTCTGGATTGGAATGTGTTGATGAATACCTCAAAGATAATGAAAAATAACCATGTTTGGTTGGTGTAAATAACGTATATTTACCAAAGATAGGGTGGACAAAAAAATTGGCAAATTGGCAAACAATGGCAGATCTTAATGTGAAATATGTTAAATGCTTTCACGAAGATGGAAAATAAGTATTGGAAAGAATGAAAAATCAAAATACGATTAGAAAACTACCAAATCAATACCCAATAACAAAAATAGTTATTCCTTTGTACCGAAAGGCCAGAAGTCATTTATCTCATTTAATCAGTGATGGATGGCTTGTAGGAGTGTCTAATCAGCCAAGGATGATGGTATAAATACGAAATGGAATCATTTTTTGGTCATCCAGATAATATCTTTTGTTTTAAGGAAACTGGAACATTTAAAAGAATTGGAATTGTATGATAAGATAGAATAGAATATTTAATAGAAAAATTTGGTGAAGATTTTCTTATGTTAATTTTTTAATTGTTAGCCAATATAAACACATTAAATTCGACAGTAATTCTCTTGACTTCATTGGACATAACTCATATCGAAAATCATCTGCAATAATCTTTTTAAAAAGCACTCAACATTACTTGTTAGACTCGTTGCTCTGGCTTGTCGCACTATATGTGAGCCAGGAAGCTCGTTGACGATAGAAGAACAAGTGAACCACTTGGATTTTGTGGACAGATTCACTCCTACCAGGAGTAGAACCTCAATAACGGCGAATTAAGCAATAATGCACTAGGCCATTCTAATCACTTTGGTTTTTTCATAAGGCGACACTTCTGTTTACCAACAATATAAGCATCCGTACATTAAGCCTTTATTCCTCAAGGCTATGGATAAATTCATTATAGATATCTGTTTGTTATCATGGCTGAAGTTATAGCGCCTACTGTAGACTGGAAAAATATGAGTAGAAGTGTGTATGATTTCTGAAGATTTTTGTCTCGTAATTTTTTGTTCATTTTGTTAATTATATATTCAGTATGTCCCATACTTAATTACAGCCAAAATCGCTTCATTATATTATAGTATCAATGTTATGGAACCCTTTTATAACAGTAATCACAATATTATCAACGATAGTAATAAATAGAAACAAATCTAAATGCATAAAAAATTACCGGCATATTAATTATATTAATTATAAAACGGTGCCTGAACCGCCAAAATTCCTTTACTTCTAACAATTCTCATCATTACTGGTTAGGCTAAAAGTAAGATGCTTCCAAGCGGCGGGGTTGTCTGATGCCATCGTTGATAGTAATAAATAGTAAAAGCCATTCCTTTTTCCACCGTCTAAGTCCATATATTGCTGGTCCTATAAGCTCAAAATGTTCTTTGACCGTATCAGTCCAGATCTTGATTGATCCTCCTCGCTTTTGATGTCAACCATCACAAAGTTTGACAAATAGCGAAATACGTGTCAACTCCTGTGGTGAACGATGGAGAATGTGCCCTAACCAGCAAAGACGACGACGCTTTGTGATAATATTATTAATACAGATGGTATTTGAGCAAAGATGAATACAATCATGCGCGATTTTATCCGCACCGCAAAAATAAATAGGATTATGTATTTTTTCTTGTCAACTTTGTTAATCAAAAAGCCAACATTCTAAAAACCACTATAACAAATCTTATTGAGCAATATTGTTAAAAAAAGACTAGTAATTGAAGGCAGTGGAATTATGCTAGCTTTAATATTTAAATATTTTAGAAAGCATTGTACTGGACAGTAGTAGAAGATTGTATTGATCATCGCAAGTAATTATAAAAATTTTATTTTTCACTTCACACCTCATATTCGGGTAATAAAAATGCATTAATATAGAGACAGAAAAAACAATATTTGATACAAAGTAAACCCAAAGATTAAAAAGATAACTATGTTAAAAACAAATTAGGAATGAATAAATAATATAAAGGATGTTAAATAACAAAAGTGTAAAATATTGAATTATTGGAACTGAACCGCTTGAGTCCCTTGATGGCTCCACAATATGAAAAGAAGAACAATTTTCTTGAGAGAGAAAATTTACAATATATATTATAAATTGACCTTTATTTTTTATTAACATATGAAATGAAATAAATAAGAATGGATTAAGTTAATGAAAGATTTCATTTGACGGGTCGAGGTCACCAGTTTGAAATAATAATTTTAGAAAAAATATCGTATTTCGCGACAAACATATTTATAAAATTTATCCAATTTATAAAAATTTACAGAGAATAAATTCCCTTAAAATATCCAAAAAATTTACGAAAAGGAGCGCTTTGAAATTATATCAGATAACCAAATCTGATTGATTTTAAAGGTACACAGATATAAGGAATACCTTAAAATTTTTTGCAAATCGTTGCAAAAATTCTTTTCCTTCAAAGAAGAAAAAATCTGCAAATCCAACTTCTTCCTTCTGGAAAAAGAAAACAAAAAAAGGTGCAAAATAATTTTGAAACAAAATAGTGTGATAATCACGAATGATGCCGAATATCTTTGCTAAATTTGTCTGTAGCATTTTCATAGACAATATAATTCGTAAAGCTGAAAGTATTGATGAATTTCTATTTATAATACAGAGAAGTAATTTTATGAGGTAGTTTTATTGGTTGTTCATATGTTAAGGCTAAAGCCGTCACTATACACTGGATCAGGTTGGATCAGACAATATTCCCCAAAATCAGTATGGATATCTTAAATTTTGGTCCGAATCAGCTCTGTGATCCGAAACTTGGAAACTGTCGCATGTAAAACATACTTCCAGAAAAAGCGATAAAACCTTTCTGGAATATATATAAATTTATAAATCTATTAATATAAACTGAGTTATAGAAATTCATCTGTAATAAGTTTTGATGCAAAGCTTATCAGCATACAGTTTTATATCAGCATATTTTATTAATTGGTATTGCGAATTTCCTAAAATTGCACAGTTATTAATCTTTATCCCCATTCTGACTCAACTGACCATGGAATCAGTCGATATTTGAATTTTGCTAAAGCTGCTGAATCCATTTCGCGTATTAATGGCTACGAAAAGCAATAGAATCACAGGAAAATTGTTTGCAAAATTATTTTATTGGCAAATTTCAGATTACTTAAATAATCGATACCAAAAAAAACAGTTCCTTTTCAAACCTGTAAAGTCCAGCGTTTCCCCAATTGTATTGCTCCCCTGCCTTCCTTATTATCAATAATATCGCCAAGCTTATCAGTAATTTCATCTATCTTTGATGCAAAATTTTTGTAAAATTTATCGCACCCATGGCCAATTCGGTAACCTACTTACTCCTTAGGAAATGATTTGAGTATAAGCCGATTGGCTTCAGTAAAGACAAATTTGCCTTTCCTGAAATAAATTAAAGTAACGCACATTAATATTAATTCAAGAAATCCGATTAATCCGATCTAGCACCCGCAACATCGCTGTATTAATCAAGATTGCAAAAAATTTTTCAGCTTTAGCTCAAATTTTTACGGACTGAAACTTTAAAATTATATGTAGAACTTTGGGAGTGCAGATTTTCTCTATTTGCACATTCATTTAATTATCTCATAATGTAATCTATTTTCTAACTGTTGTAAAAAAAACTGGATGAGCGGTTGCTCATATATAGTTGTGTAGTAATTTCTCGAGAATCGATAACTGAAATAAATGTGAAGAACAGGCAATACAATGAATAAAAGCAGCAACCGCTTTAGCAACTTAAATTTTAATGAATTTTCATCGCCTTGATTTTCTTTATTTACGCTTATAGATTTTATTTTTATAGTGCCGTTTGACTGCTTCAATATTAAAATAACTTATCAAATACCAGTCAATCCTACTCTTAGCACTTAAAATTTCACCAACATTTGTCGCCAATTTACCAAACTATTTGTGAATACATTTGAAATGTAATAATACCAAAACGAAATAATCATTTCTAATTTTTTTTTTTTAATATAATAAATTCGATACAAAAACTGACTCCATAAAAAATTAGATTGACCGACATTTTGAAGCTTGCCTTTTTCTCAGATATTTTTCATCCCAAACAAGATGAAGTAAGATGAAGCACTTTGCTATTATCGGATTTCAGGAAACGGACTCTCCCATCGAAGCCAGACGAGAAAGATTAATGCCGAAATTTGTCTTAATCCGCAGATCACTATTCATACGCTTCTTTGGCAACAATAACAATGATGGTTATTGACAATGCAAGAGACAGCAGTGAACAATAAAGATGGCTAAAGACTTAAAAATGAGAGATAATATGAACGGCATGGAATGAAATGAAGTGCAATATGGCTGCCCTAAAAAACTATGCGAAAGATATGGACAAATATTAAAACATTGCAAATACTCCTTTTTTCCAAAAATAAAATGATAGAATATGCCTAGAAATCGTAAGATATAAAAATTTGCAAATATTGGGACAGTCATCGCATCGAATTGATCTCATCTAAAAAATATATTTAACAAAGAAGGAAATGGACATAAGTAGCTTACCTTAAATCATCGAAATATCAATAACAGAAATTTTAATATGAATATTTTAGTACTTTAGCGCATTATGAATGTTAAGAATTACAAAATAAACGATATTTCCAAATTATTAACCGCAGCATCCTACAGCATCGAAAAAAAGATCTGACAAACGCAATAAAAAAATATCTACTCGAAGTCCTTATCCTCAAGAAAACGGTACTCGAATGTGAACTGCTCCTTTTTCCGTTGCGCCCACTTTTCAAAGTCAAAATATATATAAGTTCCCTGAAAAATCACTTATCACAAATGGAAATAAAAGATGATATTTCATAGCAAAAAAAATGTTTAAATGATTGAAGAAAAAGTCTAAATTAGTTGGTGAACAAAAATACCCTTGGATTATTTGCTATTTTTTCATCGTTAGAACCGAAGTACCAAAAGCATAAAATTACGGACCTATCTAATCGAATAAACAGTAAACCTGCTCATAATCATCAGTAATCTGCTTCGGCTCTTCATGTCTTTGAAACCACATCAAATACTTGGTATGAAATCGCCACGAAAGTTTTTTTAACGCCTTAGCTGCCAGCAGCTGAGCGCGAGAACCCTTAAGATAAAAATAAAGATTTTCAAATCAAGTTTTGAAAATATTAAAACAATGTTTGTCTAATATTAAAATCAGAAATAATTTAAAAAACAAACCTCCATATAATAGAAAACGAAGAAAAGCGTTTCAGGACTTAAACGGAGGTAGTATTCAAGGGTATCTGCATTTGGAGGAGCACATTGAGGATAATATGAAGGCGTCATACATGTCATCTTTGGTAAATAACTGCGAGGTTTCTCTGAATCCATAGGTGCAGGAAGTCGAGTCAGTGCGTTATCTAATAAAGCTAGCTGCTTTTCCATATCTCCAGTCAGAGCGATCTTCCCAAGCGGTGAAGCACCCAGCCAGGCTGGTATTGTAGCCTAAAAAAAAATTTTGTACCATTTTTCATTATTGATTATATTAATTCAATTGACAGAACGGATATAAGAATAATTCCTCTCGTGAAACCATTACCGTCTTTGGAAGTTGATTTTGATAATCATGACGTGAAGTATGCCGTAATGCATTCGAATCCAAATCGTTGGAAGATGGATGTGTTGGTGTAGTAGGAACACTTACAGATATATTTAAACCTGTTTGCAAACACGTTGTATTCGTCGTGTTTGTATCATTCGGTGAACTAGGTCTCATAACCGGCTGAACGGAATATGGATTCATCAACGAATTCGGAGGTTGTAACATATTCACATCTGCTGTTGAACTTGCTTGTGCTATCACTGGTTTCAGTGTGATTACCTTGAAATAGGCCGACAAAAATTATTTTGGAATAATCGAATAATAATTTAATACTAAAGGGTGGAACAGCTGGATAAAAATTTTTATTGAAACTAAAAAATCTAACTTCTTGTTGAGCATTTGCAGCACTCGAAATGGAAAATCTTTTAATCATGTTTGATTCTGGAGTTACAGATCTCGGATTTGGAATAATCGCTGGACTTACTACCATGGCCTGAGACGTAGCCGCCTAAAACTTACACTCGCAAAAACATAAAAAAATAATACCAAAAATAACGAAAAAATGACCAAATAATATCATTGGAAAATGCCAAAAATTAAAATTTTTTCAAAGCCGATTTTTTTTAGGAAATAAAATTTATTAGGGAAAAAAATGGGGGAAAAAAATTTTCATATAACAAAACTAGCATTCGAAAACAAATATTTTTAAGTCTAATAAGGCATAAAATACATAGAAAAACTGATATAAAAAAATAAAACATTAAGAACGAAAAAATTACAACTGCTGGCAGTTCAACGTGCACTGGATTAGGTGCTGCATTTTCGTCGTTCAAAGAATGCGAGTGCCCAAGCGGTTGGGTTATAGAGCTGGTTGTTGTCGTCGTCGTTGTTATCGAAATGACACCCGATGGTTGTCTTACGATATCTAGCGGTTGCTTCACACTGTAAATCAATTCAAAATTGAAAATATAGAATCGGATGATTAAAAAGATGATGTGAAAATTTTCCAAAATCTGACGTCAAAACGATAGGTAACAACAGCTGATGAATAAAAATAAATTTAAAAAAATCATTGATCGAGAATAAAGAAAAAAGGGACTATTTGACAGAACTTCGCTTATTTCGGATAAGAAAAAAATTACTATTAGAAGGCGCAACATTAAAACTTATGATAGTCTAAAGTTTTAGTCCGGAAAAGAACATTCCCATCAATTAAAATAAAATTCGTTTGGTGAAATAACTCAATGAAAGTGGAATAAAAATTAAATTAAAAAATTGAAAGAAATAGAAAACAAGAAGAAAGAAATTTTTTGGCGATATACCTAGCATAAAGAATGAACGATTTTAGGAATGACATTGAATATTACTAGGAAAAAAAAAGCAAAAGTATTTCCGCAAAACAATGAAAGTCTCGCATACGCTACCAACTACCAAATGAAATCTACTGAATGAGAAATGTTCCAAGTCAAATAACCAAAAAACAACGATATGAAAAATGGAACTTATTGCGAACTGCATTTCTGCATTTTTCCACTTTTTTTCCTGCCATTCTCCGTGAAATTTTCTTCATTTAATTTCAAAATTAAATCTCGAATTAAAGATTATAAAAAAATCCATCACTACAAATGATAGCCAAAGTTCATAAAAGAAGACGGAATGGATCTATCATTCATTTGGCACAACAATTCATAAAGCAAGAAGAAATAAGAACTAGCAAATGAAAGGAATAAGAAAAAATGAAAAGTATTTTCGATATATCGGTATTACTAGCGATTTATCTATTGGCTTGATTTATAAACAACTGAATGCTAAAATTAGAAAAAAAAACAAATTAAATCGAGCTAGACAATATAAAAAATATTACAAACATAAATAAACCTCGAATTGGGAGTAAAATTTGCTTTGATGCTTTTTGTTCCAAGGCCTGCAGCAATATTATAAGGTATACCAGGAAGTGGTGGTGGTGTTGCTGATGCTGGTGGAGAATTGACACTATCTACGCTCACCTGACTAAAACTGAAAAAAAAAACATTTCATTTTAGTTATTATTCTTCTTTATTATTCTTCGTTGCCCCAAAGATAATTAACTTCTTTTAATCTCAACCATTTTTGATGTAAAATAGCGAATGCAATGACATGCTTCTGAATATTTTAATTAAAGTAAACTAAATACTTGGACAATTTCAGAGGTGTTACCGGCGTACTCCTCGTTGTTGAAATTTGACCTCCACTTAAATGACGCTGTTTTAAATTGTTTTCTTCGGTTTCCTAAAGCAGAAGAGTCAAAAGCATAAATATTCATATTGAAGAGTAAGTGTGCTAATAAAAAAATTAAATTATATAAGATTACGGTTCCACTATATTACCTTCAACTGTGCAGACAGTGAAGTTGGTGAATCGCTAGAAACGCTTTTCTGATCAACATTATTACTATCAGTCTTTTCTTCTGCATCACCAGCTCCAAAAATAGCACCTCCCAGTTGTGGAGTATAAGACTGCAGATCCAGTTCATCGTAAACACCTCAAATTTCTTGAACATAGAAACCAGAAATATTAAGAAAATATTAAAGAAGAAGAAATTTAAATGGAAAATTCATTTATCAAATTTTTTATTAAAACTTATTAGATGCTTATAAAAATTAGCGAAATACAGCAATAAAATACTATCTTCCGAAAGTTAAAATATGATCAATCTGTTTATTTTCTTCAGAAAAATAGAAAAATACGAATCTCCTTAGAAGAATTCTTCCAATTTTACAAAAAATTTAATAATCTTTTGCAATATCAAACAGTTCAGTTGGCTTAGTTGAGGCACGAGATGAGAATAGCATATAAATATGCTTAAAAAATAAATCACAACTCCAGTATTTGGACAGCATAAAATTTCCATTACCATATGAGAATAAATATTATAAAAATAATAAAAATTTTTATTTAAAAGTGGAGAAATGAAGGCTTAATTTACAAGAAACATAAAGTATTCACCTTTAAAGAAAATCTGAATTTTGCGCTCAAAGATAAAGTAGTAATCAATAAAATAAATCAAATATTCACAAAATATTCACAAAACAAAAAATTTAGATTATGTACCTGCATTTTCTGGGTCGCATTGCTCAGGGTCATTTTCGCTTTCATGATCTAAGGCCTCGATATAAATATCAAAAGGTTCTTTCAACGCGTCCATTACTCTTGAACTTTCAAGGGTCTCATTGTTTACTAACCTCATGCATATTTCTACTTTCGAAATATGAAATTTTATCCGATCAAGATGTTTCCGCAAATCATCCAATTTTTTCATTTTCTGAAAAAAATTTTTTCAACTACTTTTAATTTAGTTAAAAAAAATAAGATAAAAGAAATCTAATACCTCCTTTTCGCCCTTTTTTGTATCATCCCTTTTGCCCTTCTTCCTTGTTTGTTCAGCAGTTGCAAGCATCTCTATACGAGATTCAGTTTTATCCGCCTCGTCTTCCAAACATCGAATTTGACACTTCATTATTAATAGCAATTAATGCAAGGATAATTTTAATGTGATTTAAACAATAAAGTGAAACTTACTTGTAACCATTCAACTGCTTCAGCTTTCTCTTTTTCTCGTGGATCCAATTTTTCTTCTGCTGAGAGGCCTTGCTTACTATGAGGTTTAGTTTTATTTTCTCTTTCGATGTCCTTGAACTGCTCCATTCTTTGTTCGATTACTTTTCGATAATGTGTTAATTTCTCTTTGTCCTGCAAATTACCCACAAAATAAAATTATAATAACGATGGAGAAAAAAGCAAACTAGAGACAATAGAAGGATATGATAACCTTAATCTCCGATGAATTCTGCCAACCTTTTATTTGATCTCGTAGCCTTTGCAATTTCTTTATTTCTTTTTTTAAATCATCCTGAAAAAATACGATCTAAATATTGAATAAAAAGCGACATAAAAAATTATAAATTATAGTTTTATCTATTTAATAATGAGCGACAGCTAAAAAGAAAATTTACAAATCTGATTTTTTCAAAATCTCAGAAAGTATTATTATCAAACCCAATCATTCTTCACAACGCTGAATTCAAACTAAACTAATTAATTCTCTATATATCATTGTTCTACATAATAAAATTCACCATATTTTTGGGTATTTTCTGTAGTATTCATAACTAAATATTAAGTAGATATATATACATATAGCAAAAAACACAAAAAACCTGAAACTTTTCTCGCTGATTTTCACTGTTCGCTTCTTGCATTTTCGACATTGTTTCCTCGAATAATTCGACTCCCTCATCAATCTAAAGTAAAAAATCTATGAAAAAATTTGAACTAAATGAGAAATGATATAACTTCTATAAATTATACAATTTTTGTGGTTCAACCTTTTCACTAATTTCTATTGATGAAAAATTCTGAAAAAAGTTGGAAATGTATTTAAAATATATTTTAAAAATGTAAAATACCTTTTTATAACATTTGTCGATTTCGTTCAACAATTTCCTTTTTTCTGCCATTATGTGTAATATATATATATATATATATATATATAATACTACAAAAAAAAAGAATTGAATCGTAGAAATCATTATTTTTTACAAAGTATACAAAGAAAATTATAATGAAAATTTTTAAAATGGAAGTATAGAAGAGAAAATAACTAAATACAAATATAAAACTGGTAATAGACGGTAATAACTGGTAATAACTTTTTGACTTGTTTTTTTGTTAATCTATTAATCTATTAAATTATGCAAACATCTTCCCAATATTTTAACAAATATTAAAATATATTTTTTAGACTGCCCACCTTACCGAAATTTCACCTTTAAATAGGCGTAACCATTGGAATAAGAATCTGCTTAACTGTTGATATTTTTCATTATAAGCCTTATTTATTAGCAACATCATATAATTTTGGTTATTTTGAAATTTCACAACTTTTCTTTCAAATGAATTTAAAGATTTAACTTATGTATATGATGCTTTGGTGCTACTAGTTACAAACGCATCAGAATGAAATGAAAGACCTAAAATAACAATTCCTTTTTCATATTTCCTGTAGTCGCCATTATACTGACGCAATCAAAAGATCATATCCATTTAATAATACTACAACGGGATCGCCAGCGAAAATCTCTTGCCTATCAACAGTTGCCGGTACGGCCAACTTTTTCTTTTTTTTTAATGTTTTCCATTTGAATCGTAAAAAATTTTTGTTGTCTGAATTACTCTCTTTTATTCTGGTAAATGCATGCCATTAACTTTATTATATAAGTAACAGTATTTTTGGGAAAAACAAGCATAGATTCCAATCGTTGCATTAAATTATACGAAAATTAAATGAAAATTTAAAACTAACCACAGTTAATTGTTTTCTTCCTTAAGAGATACAATAATGAGATCGATTTAAAGATGAAGAAATATATTTGAGCCTCACGCTCGCTTGCATCCAAACAACGCAGCAAAAAATCCAAGGAATTGTACTGTCACAATATTTACAACAATCACCACCGAGTTTTACAGCTTTTTATTTTAGAAATAAAACGGATATACAATAGCTTTAGGCGAATATTGCGTATAAAAAAACTGAAAAATAAATTATAAAAACTAATCTTGAAAAAATCTGATTCAAAAGAACCGCATTCCACGCAAACATAAGTGAAAAATATCAGTTTTTAACAGTAAAAAATTTTGCTACAAAATTATAGAATCATTGCATTTGGAATCCAGTGATGCGATGACCAACTTTATAAACCAGCCATTACTGAAAAAAAAAATCAGCGAACGCTCAGTTATTTTAATGAAAACTTTTCATAAATATCATTATATACATCACTGAAATGAGAAAAAATATTGCAAATCATCGTTCCAAAAATAAAAAATAAAATTGAATAAGTGAATTCTGCACCAAACTGTTTCTAACCACAATTATTTAAACATCAAATAAAAATGAAAATGGATTTAAAAATTGACTTATTCATTTTTATATAATAAAATTATTATACAATAATTTTGCAAAAAAGAAACGATTTACTTAATTGAAAAGTTTTGAAATTTGTCCTATAAAAAATTTTTAATTCCCAATTTACTCAAAATTTAATCAACTTTTTTTTTCTTTAGAAAATTTCACATGTCTAGACAAAATACGTGTGATAATATGAAATATTATTTCAGCAAATATTATTAAATTAACACTAAAAATGACATTCAACAAAATATTGTACCCTATTTTTAACTTTTATGATATTAAATGAAAATTTAAATGACAACTTTTTAGAAAATTTCTCAGAAAAATAAAAAAGATTCAAAAAAAGTATTTACATCAAAACAACGTTAATTTTTTAATTTTGTAAGCACTTAGAATAGAAAAATAAAAAATATTAAAATTGTTCACCATCGATCCATTGAAATTAGGCTCCTTTTTTCTCAATACAAATGTAAATAACCAACAAATTTTTCGTTCACTGTATTCAAATAATTAGTAATTTGGTAACCTGCAACAAAAAGTAACAGTAAGTAACAGTAAAAGTAAAGTTCTGAATATAAGTAATGAATTATAAAAAATCACATTTAATTTTCATGAAAATTTACAGGAAACAAAGAAAAAAAAGATTCTTAGTGCTTTTAAATAATAATTCTGACTCAATTTTTGCACATGAAAGAAAAAAATTATCACATATGGGAGCCGATAAAAAATAAAATAAAACAGATTTAGTTTAAATATTTCTATAAGGTATAAATGTGTAAAATTTTTGCTAAATCGTATTTCATGTACATGTATATTAAAGCACTTGAAGCCTTAGAAGTAAATCTGTCAATTCAAAATGCTCATAATGCTAATAATCTGCCTGTATTTCTAGCCAGGTGAGTGATAACATCTAACAACTAGCTAGAAATGTTGAATATTAACCAGCTACTTAAGATTATTGGAAGGCAATGGTCCTGCTTCCGACACGAAGAAACCTGTCATTAAAAAACCAGAAATTTTTTAAAATCTATTATAAAGAAATATATAAAATATTCAAGAATACACTGGCAGATCTGCTAGCCTTTCATCAATTTATCGAAAAAATATTTTCGCAATCACTTTTTTCAAACTTTTTAGTGAAAAAAAGAATTTACATTTTTTGGCAATTTTTATCAAGGGAAAGTATCAGTGCAGTACCTTTTTTCATCATTACTGAGATTAATGGGAGAAAAATCAAAAAATCATCAAAAATTATTACCATTTTCTTTAATTCTATTCAATTCTATTCATTTTTCATTTTTTTCAAATATTGATATCCACTGATATTTTGCTGAAATTTATGATTTTCATTAAAGATAAATAGAAAAAATAGAATAAATAGAAATAAATTAAAAATAAAAAATAAATATGTGAATTCTTATTTGATAAAAGAAATTTAAATTTTATCTAGAGAATAACGAATCTGAATTTTTGCATTTAAATTCGAGCTTTTCTTAAATCATCTAAAAATTTATTGAATTTTTCATTAGGAAAACATCGTTCTTCAGTGAAAATTAGTAGTCCTTGACATAGTAAATTATTATAATCGTATAAGATTTCAATGAAATATTCGACTTAAAAAATAAGGAAGAAAAACAAACCATCAAATATTCCATGAAATGAAGCGATAAAGCAATAATATTAAATAGCCTAAATAAAACCATAAAATAATATAAAAAATATGATAAATAATAAATATTTTCCTACAATACTACTTAGTTCTGATTTAGTTAACCCTATAAGGATGGAGCCTTTCGTCAGAGTCAAATGGAGATATAGGCGGTTTCGCAGCACCACTATGACTTGGATTTTAACAGCCATGCCCCATCCTCTCCACCAGAATGGAACGTTGTCGACAGCACACTACACCACAACATCATCATAGTGCGCGCATATATGTAGCGTATTTATGATTTTCTGGCTTTTTTCTTTATTTGCACCCATCTTTTCTATCGCTCATTTCTCCTCTCATTTTCTACATGTCACAGTGAATTTCTACATTACCAACAAATAAACAATAAATAAGAAATAAAATAAATGAAATAAAAGCAGAATATATGAAAAAATAAAAATACAATTAAACGATTTACAATATGTTTAATTAGTGAAATTATGAAAAATGAATTTAAGCAACAAATTTGGATGTAACGATTTATCATTTCATTCAAATTAAAGGAAAAAATGACGAAAATATGCCAAATTTTCTTCCTCGTTTTCTCTAAAATTTTATGGGAATTTATGGGAAAAATAAAGAATTAAAGAATTTTCTTAAAGAGATTGATTAAAGTAAAAGCAAATATCTACGGATAATTTTTCCGAAAATTTAGAAAATTCAAAATTGAGGCAAACTTCCGCAAAAATGCAAGCAAAATGATTAAAACAATCGCGTATGGGCACATAACAAAACTATAAAAAAAATCAAATTGCAATTAATTCACACAATAGAACAAAATACCGTAATAAAACAATCGTCTTAAGATTGCATCCGCTTTAAAAAATTGTAGCATTCGCCCTTTTCTCTTTCATTGTCTCTAATAATACGAGAAACATTGACCGGAGAGTCATTGGGAACAGGTGAATCCATATCAGTGATAGCATTCTGCTTTCAGTAGCACTCCTACTAAGAGTCAAGAAGCATGTGACAATAAGTCTTTCCTTACGAATGAATTAAGTATATGGCACATATGCCAGAGTTTATTTGTGGCAAACAGCAGTAAGAATTATATAAAGGCTAAAAAGGCCGAAATATGGGGAAAATGCATAGGGGAATTTGAAGATAATTCAGATATGACAAATAGATATCACATCCATCTGTATAAGAAATATTAGCAGATTTATTTATGTAATAAAAGTTTTAAAAAATGAAAGAAATCAAAATTTCATTTGATAATAACTGAAAATACTAGAAGTGGTCCACCCCAGCCTACTCGGATTTCACTTGTCATGACGGTTTTTCTCTATTTAAGGGATGTGAACTAAGCCTTGAAGCCTGGCCTCATTCGAAACAGAAAGCATGTCTCCTTCTGACGAAAGCAGGACGTGAACCTTGGAACTCGAGGCGATGACTTGTGCAATCTGTATTTATCTGTATCTGTACAAAAATATTTTAGCAGTTATTCCTGCAAAAATCATTTTCCAAAGTTTAAAAATCCCAAATTCGGTTTTTTAAATCTTAAATTCTCTAAACAAGAAATTTGATAAGAAAATACACAGCTTTATTTTAAGGATCTTTTCAAATACTAAAAGTGAAAATCGACTGATTTTTGGATATAACTCTATGACGATTCTTGTCGCAGTCTTCGACATGATCTGTTTCATTCATAGGCTTGTTCCGTGGTAGCTCTGAGGTGCTGGCGGCCCACTTCTATCGCAAAATGATTCTTTCTGGTAAAAATTTTTGACCACACCAACATTTTTGACCAGCCAATATTTACTTGTTATTTGCATCAAGAGAAGAACAGTAGAACTACTGGCAGGATTCGAATGTATCCAACTGTGAATGGGCAAAAATATACCACGGAAGCCAATAGCAAAGCTGCGATTCCAAGAAAATGAATAAGGCGACGCTGTGACATTCCGCGCAATCTGTTCTCTTATTTCATTATTCCCATTTGTTCAGCAGGGCCTACTTGAATATTTCGGACAAGAGAGATTTCCTTATATCTCGGATATTCTTAACAGGAACACCATTCCTATCCCTTATCATTTCACTGATTGTTCATTTCTTTCGTGCGGGGAATAATGAAATAAAATTGTTGAAACAATCACATCTTTTATTCCACTTAATTTTGCTTCAGATTTTTTCAGGAAAATTAAACACTTAAAAAAATAAAATATAGTGATTACGCAATTTTACGGTTATGTTTATGGACCTTTCGTCAACTAATGCGCCTCTGTCATAGGTGCTTCCATATGTGCACGGATTATCGACCTTAAGCCAGTGTTTCCCACTTTGCTATATAATGCCATATCATTTTAGCCAAATAGATCATTCTTTTAGATTAAGATGTGCTAATAATTCAATTCGTAAATGCGTGTACATGAAATTTGTAGAAAAATAAGTGGTCAATAAGCCTTCATTTTCTGGTTAGCCTCGTTTCACTAATAGCACAGTAGAGAAATTCGCAAGAGGACAGAAGTATAGGTGATTTAATTATGGTACCGCCGGGATGACAAGTTCGATCCTTTCGGAGACAGGGTCGAACATTATTACTGGGGGCAATAATCTAAACAAAAACCAATATCGGCCATCCTTCCACATTGAAAGCAAGGATGGGATGGTCAAGCGGAATGTACCCAACTGTGAATGTCTCGACTCAAAGGTCAAACACCATGGATTCGATTCGTTCATTCGAGCCGAATAAGGAAAATTTGACTAAAATAGGTGATTTCGTTCCGCTCGCTGGTTCCTTCCTAAAAGGATCAAAAACTATTAGTGAGTGGAGCAGGCGAAATCCTTTAAATTTATTACGAGTGTTCTTGGCAGAATTTAACGACTGCACTTGCCGTGACCTCAAAGGGTCAAAAATCTCGATAACAATAGTTTGTGAATGCTGCGCTTCTTGCAAATGTTAAAGATAAAAGTAATTGTGATGGTGGAAACTGAACCAGAAATATTGATGATTGAAAAAAAACGAACCATTGATTGCTTTACATGGCATGGCACGAATCGTACGCTCCTTTGCAGCCGGCTTTAAAGAACCTATGGATGTAGGCCAAATCGCCTTGACCTCCACAGATCTCCACTGTCCTTATGGTGCCCACGCGCAACTGACCAAAATGATGTAACTAATTTTTGATAAACAAACCTCTCCTTTAATTTTACAAATCATTTGTTTTTATAAACAATGTGCTTTTTTATTATGCTTCTTTGTTTGACAAAATTTTAAAATAAAAATTCATTGGAAGGTCATCGGGAAGGTCATTGCAAAGGTCAAATGTCAACCCTTAAAGTCAATTCTTCAAAGACTTTGATCTTCATTTTGTAGTTTATACTTTGGTTCCCTCTTTTTTTCGATTATTGATTCTGTTTACGCTTAGGCATTTCTACTTTGCTGACTTATAGTTGGTTAAACGGTTACATTTGGAGGTGGTTGTGTGGTTTTGGTTGCGGGTTGCCGTGGTTTTATTTTGTGTATTTGTGGTGTGACAATTGATCGCGCATTTAGATTATGCAAAATTAAGTAAGAAATTGAAGAAAATCCAAATTTTCGTGCTCAGTTGACCATCTGAATTTGATTTTGCATAAAAATATTTTGCATTCTTTTCGAATAAGCTTATCATTGTTTTTTGCGATTTACCGGTTTTAGTTTATTTTTTCATGTCGATAAGAAAAATACGTTGGTACTTATCTTTCGATTCGATTACTGCGCCAATTTTAGGTAATTTCAGAAGAGAAGGGAATGCCTTTTTATCAGATTAATACGAATCTTCCAGCTGATAAAATTCCAGCAAATTTCGCGAAAGAAGCATCGGCGTTAGTCGCAAATACCCTCGGAAAACCAGAAAATGTTCGTTTTCGCTCCATTTTTTTCGAGTTTTCTTTAAATTCCACTTTTTGTTAAATTAAAAAAGCCTATATTTTAGTATTTATAAATTGGTATTTTCAATCCCTCAAAAATACGCATCATTTTTCCTTTGAGTGGTTGGCTGCAAAGATGAAATTTTCAAAATCGCTTCATCCGATGCTATTCTTGAAAACAACAAGCCGTTCTTTTTCCACCGGCCGTCTATATTTTCATCCTTCCTGATCCCAGGTCACGCTTGGTCCTCCTTGGTCCTCCTAGGACGCCATTCATCACCACATAACTTAGCGAGAAGCGAGGTATACGTCACTTCCTGCGATGGGCAGCGAATGATATAATCTTACCAGTATAAATGAAACTCTGTCACATCATTTATATGTAGTGATGTCTGAAAAAATGTGAAATGTCACGTTAGACCTTTTCCGCCTGGCGAGCACTTAATGATCCTTTTAGATATGAGTAATCAGAGATAAATATCCTTCATATCCCTGCACATAAATGTCCTTTAAACAGAAGGGATTAGAGGTAGGGTAATTTTGTTACCTTCTACTCGCTAGCAACCATATAATAGGATCATTAAAGAGATTAAAGAGATATGACTTTCGTTTTGAAGCCAATTTCACGGCGGTCCGACAGAATTAGATAGAATTTTTTTTTACGTGAAAGCGTGAAAACTGTGACACTCATTTATTGGTTTGGAAATAGTAAAAGGAGTTGTCGCTCAATTCAGAGCTGAGTCGGTGCTAAGGTTCTACTCTCTGCAGGGATCCGTCTATAAATTCAGGTAGTGTTTCGCCAAGGGACTTCCTGGCATATTTGTCTAGCGCGACAAGCCAGCGAAGCGAATTTGACCAATAGCGATGAGGGTTGTTAAAAAAATCATAATGTAATGTAGTTTTTTAATTTTTTTTTATAATTTTTATAATTATAATTTAAAAAACTATAATTATAATTATAATTATAATTTTTTATAATTTTTTTATAATTTTTTATTGTTTGTTATTTTTTAGTGGCTAGTTATTATTTATAACAGCTCGTTTCAGGTTTTTGGGTTGTATTCTGACTCCTGAGATTTGGTAGAGATTCCTCTGGGGTTAGAAATATAGGAAAATCCTCAGCATCACCCTAGTTTATTGTTTATTTGTCATTAATTATTGTTTTTATAGTTTACCATTCATTGTTAACTATAGCTTATTATTGTATGCGTATATTATTTATGATTATATTTTGGATTTATCTATTGAATTAGCGATAGTGATTTTAATGTTTAAAAAATTTTGATCAAGTAGGTGGTTAACTTAAAAGATGTGATTAGATAACAGTTTAAAGATGTTTTATTTTAGTATGTTGCGGTGCAGATTGCTAGCGGTCAGAATATGACGTTTGCTGGAAGTGCTGAGCCATGTGCAGTTTGTGTTTTGAAATCGATTGGATGTGTTGGTGGACGAGTAAATAATTCACATGCTGAAAAACTTTTTAAACAGCTCAACGATAAACTTGGCATTAGAAAGGACCGGTTTGTTTTCTTTTTCAAATTTTCCCAGTTGTTTAAGCGGTAGTACGAGACCTTTTTATATTTTAAATTTTATATTTTAAATAAAAAAGATTAATAAGTGAAAAATTTAAGTGAAATTAGAGATCTTGTTGTTTTGAGGTAAGTTGGATGGTTTTTTTATTTGATGAAGTGCGGATAATGCTTTCAAGGTACTAAAAATTGTTTTTGAATATATTTCATGATCACAAACGTTTTGTATATAAGAAATTTGATTATTTGTTCATACCCATAATAAAAAGCTTTAATCGCCAGTTTTTTAGAATTTATGTAGAATTCATCGATGTCGATGCATCGACATTCGCTTACAATGGTCGCACATTTGGCTGATTTACATTTACTTTCGCGGATATGTATTACGAAACCATCATAGTTTTTTTATAGTTTTCAATCAAATAGAATGGTTTTTCATTGGACTTTGATGTCTTTTGGATGTCTTTTAATTTTTTAATTCATCTGCTGAATTTTCATTGTTTTTTGGTAATAAAAGAAAACATAATTAACCCTTTCTTTTGTAAATAAATAAGAGATGAATACACAAGTTTGTAATCGGAAAAATGAGGGAAATGACAAAAGGTTTTAAAGGATCAATTTTACATCCTAATTTCTAATTTTTACCCTTGAGGGTAAAGTCTCTCAGGGTTTGTTTAGGTTCTCGAGACATCACTGATTCTGGAAGCATTTTCATATTATTATAAAATAATGGATGGTAATAAAGTCTCACATTTAATTCCTAATATAATAAAACCAAAATTTATAACCACACAAATAAAACATCTTATGGATCAAAGATTTTTTAAAGACCTAGTTCACTGCAGGGAATCGTGAACCATTTCTTTAAGTATTAAGTGCGTCTTCAAGTAGTGGTCCTATTTTGCTCTAAATTTGGACTGCTTAATGAAGCTGAGTAATCCAACAGTATGGATGCATATATGTTTATGTCTATGTATATGTCTTGGTTCAACGCCTGATTTTCTCAGGAAATTAATTGTGGTGCTTTAAATGTATATGAAGTAACAGCAGATGACTGGCTGTGTTACATGCTTATGCGCAGAGGTATTAATATAAAAGAACGCTTATTTATTTATACCCTTTTGTTTGTGTCATGAATCCTCTTAATCTGATAAAACCTTCGATTTTCTAAAACATACTAGCTGCTGCTCTAAGCCATGGTTTTGAATACATAATAGAAATAATGCGGAAATAAGATTCATGAATTTTAGGCTAATCTTTTTTATTTCTGTTTGGTCAAACGGATATTATTAAGACACATTTACCCGATTCCGATGACTGTGTCGAATTCGTGCGTAGTAGCAGAACTCATCCATACAATGCAATTGCAGATAGAAAACTAACGTGAGCCATCGTTTGAACATAATAGTCCTCAATAGGGTCGATAAAGACTCTCTGGGAATTACGGAAAGGGACGGTGGAACTCGAAGGATCGATTGATGGTCGACGAACTCGTTTCGCTTCATTTATTCCACTTCTTTTAAAATTCCATAAATTTTAAAAAATAAAAATAATCACTTTAACTAGAAACTTCCTAGAAACTTCTTTAATTTAATTTAATTTTTTGTAGCATAGAAAAATACCTACGATAAAATAAACCGACTGGGAATACAAATTATCTGCTATTCTGAGGTAATCCATAATAAGAAAAATAATTTTTTGAAGGCTCAATTTTTTTTAATAATTTCTGTTAATTTTTAAAATTGACGTGAAAAAAAAATTTTTATTATTTGTATATTTCCCTTTTTCACCTGGTAAGGAACATACTCAATCTCGAGTCCTCTACCAAAGGCATGGGGTTTGAGGATTTTGCATCTCATCCTTGTGCTCTTCTGGGCAAAGATCGCTCGTGGAATTAATTAGAGTTATTTCCCAGTTTATGTCATAGTTCTTAGCGTTCCCATCATCACTGATTACTACTTTGGCTTTTCCATATCTTCTCTAGTTCCTCTTTCAGCTCCTCGTATTTCTAAAGTTTTTATATTTTTTCTTCCTAATGTTCCCACCACTTAATATTGAACTGTATTTATTACTAGAATTGATTTCTGGTTCTAATACCACGATATCTAATTGATCGGTTGGTACTTGCTTATCTATTTAGATGGAAAAGCCCCACAGGATCTTCGCTTCTGCACGATTTTTTGTGAAATCTCATATGGCCTTGAAAAAATCTAAGCCATATACTGGATATATATATTGGAGAATAAACCAAATTCTAAAGAGGACTGGGAAAAATATTTTTTTTTTTTATTATTTTTTTTTTATTTTTATTAAGGGGATCGATGGATGAAAAAGGCCGCTTTGCAATAAGATAAAAATATTTTCTGGAATTCTTATTTAATGGGTTAGTAAATGACTAGCGCTCATTGAATAATAAGAAAGTTCAATGACATTACTTACCTAAGTTTTACACCTTTCAAGAACCAGTTCTCTTATATAAATGATGCAACGATTTATCATCAATATTTCATTTTTTTGCCTCTTATCTTATCTTTTTTACTTGTCTTACCATTTTTATTTAAAAATTACTATTTAAATTCATGTAGTTAGTAATTAATATTTGCACATATTGGCTGCGTTTGCCTTCGAATTGCTACTTCCATTTTCATAATTTATGAAATAGTGTTCCGATTAAAGTGTGAAGGAAGGCTAAAGTCAAGCTGGCTTAGGATGTCACTTTTTGATAGTTAATTAAAATTGAAATCCGGGTGGTACTGCGGAACAATTTTTTACTTCCATCCCTAATGACTCTATGTCGAAGAATATCATCCAAATAATAAGTGGAACCAACCACACCAGAAATGATGAGTGCTTTGAAAAAATGAAGTTGGTTCAATTCAAATGATCAAATTTCATGACAAAACCTGATCTTTACTTAACTTTTGTTTTTGTTTTTGATTAACATCGCTTTTTTTCTCTTCGTTTGAATATTTTAGTGAAAATAGGCGAGTCATTAGGTAATTTCTTGAAAATCGACGAACTTTGAAGTAATTTAATAGAAATATAAGTATTATATAAGACTATTTAAAATTTACTTGACAGTTTTCATTATTCCTGTTCCTTTTATTTTTATTCCAAACGCACTTATGCAATAATTCTTATTCATTTTTAAGCCAACTAGTGCGGATTTTTATATTAATTTTTTTATTTTTAGAAACCGCAAGTTTTTTTCTTTATAATAAATTAAATTAAAACTGACTTTTACAAATAAATCCGAATCGTTATCAGCATTATCAAAAACTGTGCACTTGAAATTGAACAAATAATTATTTTTAATAATTAAAGTCTCTGCGTTCCCCACTGCGATATTTTAGTTAAGAGCTATTGGAAATAGGAATCAAACCTTTCAACACGATAATCTCAACCACTATCCCACTCGGTTATCCATCTGCCACCGTTTCGCGCATAAATCTTTCATAGAAATCCACAAATTTAATTATATTGATGTTGATTTTAATAAATTTCGTTAAGTTTAATTAATTTATTTCTGTATAAGATAACGAATTCACATGAAAATTCTTGTAAACCGAGATTATTTTTTCAGATTTTTCAATTTTTTTGAAAAAGGTGATAGAATCCATCCTTATCGAATTTTTTCAACTCCACTTTTTTATCCATTTTCCCCTTTTATTTACAAAACCGATTTCTTTAATCCTATCTTCTCTTTCTATTATTGTATTACTGCATAATCACCAGAGTAATACAACCATAGTTTTACGAAACACACAATATGATTGCGTTGAATCCGATTATTTAACATCATAATTCTTGAAGCCACATTAAAATATTTTGATTTTATTCGTATTAATTAAAAATAGATGAAATGATACACTATGTATGGATGGCAATACTTGCAATTTTCGTAGAATGTTGATTTATAATTTTGTGTAAAACAAATATAAATTATTAATTTGTGTTATATTTTGCATATATGCCACTGATCTGATTTTAATTATCAACCTTCAACCTTCGCTTCGAGTTTAAATTCTTGCCGCTTGAGGATAGAAAGTGAGTCTCCATTTTATCCATTTTCCATTTATCCATTTTTATCCATCACTCGGATCCCACTTTTAATGGCAACGTTTCCTTCCTTTCGTGGAGGATTGGGAATAAAACCATAAAGCCAGTTCGCATTTTTGCTTAAATTATACCAGTGTTTTAGCCAAACAAATTTTTTTTTTTAAATGTAAAAATGAAATGAAACTGGTCCAAATGAGGCATTATTAGCGAAAAAACGACTGTTCAACAGTTAAATGAGACTGATTACTTGTGAAACTTGAAGTGTACTCAAAATACTCGACAATACTATTCTCGTAAAAAAGCACTTTAATCGGTAATTCGGTTACAAATCTTCAAAATTAAAAGGTTAAAAAAGTAAAATTCGAGAGTTTTTTCCATTGTACACAATGTCATTAATATTTAAGTAGTAATATTAGCAAGTAATTAGGCCAAAGCCATTTCTGGCCATTCATTATCAGTTGGATGAAATGATTTTATCAGAGAATCGCTCCTGGAGAGAAAGGGGCCTTCAACGCTGCCTGAATTTTTTTTATTTATACATTTGCTGCTGGAGAGGCAAAGGAAAAATTAGGGCGCTTAACATGGTGTTTTAAGCGATCTCATTTTGCTGTATTAAATTTGATAATTTGATATTTGGTATTCAATTTGCTCTATTGTAATTTCAATTTTTATGACTAAAAATAATTAATTTATGAGGGATGAAAAATATGAGGCAATAAAAATTATAAAAAAAGTCGGATAATTTCTTTATATTCCTCGATGGCACTCGTTTTGCCACGTTAATGGAAAATCCACCGATTTTGATTTTTTGCCTTTTTTCAATTTTTTGTGAATTATTAAGAAAAAGAAGATTATCAGCATTTGATTTCATCGTACAATGAAGAAAAAACGAAAATTTTCTAGAACAAGAAAGGTGAATATTACAAGTCATCTAATGATGTCGACGCTTGTTGACCTTTTTCGTGAAGCAGCGAACGGAAAGCACCGCGATAATATTGTTGTTTGCGATAGTGAACGCGAACTGAGTCTAAAAGAATTGGATTCCTTATCTGAACAAATCGCGAAATATTTCGTCCAAAAATTCCACGCTAAGAAAGGAAATGGAATTGCGATTTATATGGATAAATGCGCTAATTATGTGTTAGCATATGTTGCAGCGCTTAAAGCAGGCATGTTTCTTTTTTCTCATATTCTCATGTTAGAACGTTGTGCTTGACCTTTCGCTATCCTGAATCAAGGAAACTCTAAATGGAAAAAAGCTCGAGAAAAACAAGCAATTTTTCTATATTTAGGTTGTGCGTATATTCCAATTGACGTATCTTATCCAGAAAGCTTGTTGAGGGATATTTTAAAGGAAGTATCACCAGCTGTAGTTTGTACTACGGAAAAATACCTCAAAAATCTTCCAGGTTTTTTCATTTTCATTGCTCTGTTACAGTCGACTTTGCTTAAATATAGTCTTTATTGAAATGTACCGATAAAACCATTAAAAAAGCAACTGAAGCAACTGAGTTGCTTATATTCATTAAAATCGAAGAATGAAATGGCTCATTGGATTGTTGTTCTCGTTTCAAAGTAATGATGTTATATTTTATATTCCCGGCAGGGGCAAATCTATATTTTAAAATGCTGGCGACCGCTTCTTTTATCGTCAAGTTTCTCCTTGGCTAAATTTGTCCATTCCGGGAAACATGGCGAGAATAAAAAGAAATAAAGAATAAGAATAAAAAGTAAGCACTCTTCGAAAAAAAAATTTATGAAATAAAACAAGAAAGAAGAAGACAAATTTAATATAAATCAGATTAATGATAAGAAAAATTAAATCAGAGGGAATACCGATTTATACTTTCACTCCGATTAATTCGTCATATGAAAACATTCAACTGCCAAAAGTCGAGCCGCATGATCGTGCATACATTGTTTATAGTTCAGGAACAACGGGTAAACCGAAAGGTAATGTGGTATAAATTTCCGCTTTTAATTTTAATTTTAGAATAAAAAATCTTATTTAGCAATTTAGCAATTTATCTATGCTAATATATTTTTGGCATCCCTTTCCTCGTATTGCTTTGAGATTTGAACATATTTTATTTCTAGTAGCTAGCCAAAGCCAAAATAGTGAGTGCTATTCGAAGAGGGTAACTCGAAGATGCACCATTTTTTTCAGGTATAATTTGTCCTCATCGTGGTGCTGTCGTATCGTACCAATTCCGTTTCTCAACTTATCCTTATGGAGATGATGAACGAGAGGCTTGTAACGTGTTCTTTGTTTGGGAAATGTTTAGGCCTATACTTAAAGGTTGGAATACCAGGAGATTGCTTTTTATTAACATAAATTTGCCGTTATTAGATCCTATTTAAATTTATATAAAGCATAGCATAGTCTTTTAGGCTCCAAAATCTCGATTTTTTCGAATACATAATCAGAATCATAAGTCAAGATTTCCGATTATTGAATATTAGAATTCCACAAACTTGAATTATTCCAGTGAATACCCAGTAGATTGCAAGGGAAATGAAAAGCTTTAAGTTGGTCGTGTTAATTGAAAACACGAAAAAATATGCGATTTACGATTTTTAGGCAACTATTCTCCATGTAACTGTTGGCATATCGGTTTTTAAATGTAAATGTTTTTAAGTGAAATGAATTTCTAATTTTGGGTTTTTAAGGTATTCCAATGTATATAATTCCTGATAGCGTTATATATGATCCACAGAGTCTGTGCGAATACTTATCAGAAAAACTCATAACTCGTATGTTATTTACTCCATCGCTATTAGAGACAATTCTTGACACTCAATCAGATCATTTCGTCAAAAAAAGTTTTCGCAGCTTCAGGTGAATACAATAATAATCAATCTTCTTTGAAATCATTTATTTCCCATTATTTGCAAAGAATAAAAGAATACTTTAGAACGATAATTCTTTGTGGTGAAGTGGTAACCATGAAATTACTTGACCGGATCAAGAAACTTCTCCGTAACGTACAAGTAAAATAAAATTAAATTAAATGAAATTAAACTTGCAAGTAAATAATTTCTTTAGCCAGAATATTGAAATATCTCGTCTGAGATTTGTGACCGTGATGCCGTGATGATTTATTTAAATATTTCTGTTATTTTTTTCTATAACTCTACTATTTGGATTAAGCTCGCTCCACTAGCTATTAGAAAGAAGCTCTTCCCAGAAAATATCACTTGAGGATAGAAGTCGGCTATTATCCCAATTTGATTGCCTTCAAAGGAACTGATAGTCTCAGCAGTACACTTCCAGGCTGTACTAAAAGTTAGAATTAGATTATATAACTCTGGTAAATGAATCTATTAGGCGATATGTACGGAATAATTTTGTAAAAAATATGGGTTTTTTTGTTTTCTTTATTGAAACAATTTATATTTCAAAAAGCTTTCAGTTAAAATTATTATTTTTAAATTATTTTAGATTTTAAATTTATACAGCGTATCAGAATGTCACGATGTTTCTTACGCAGATTTGACAAATTACACAGTTGCGTTAGAGGAACGAAAATATGTGCCCGTTGGTACTCTGATTCCTGGTGTCAAAGTTGCTGTCTTTAATGGGAATCTTGAAATGGTTCCAAATGGTATTAATGGCGAGGTTTATTAATTTTTATTTTCACTTTGACCCAAGAATCAAAATTTTTTGATTTTGTATTATGGTGGCGAAACATCTAAAAAATAAATTAAACTGTATTAAATATGATGTTAATTTTTTTTTAGAATATACTTTATATTTTTTTATATATATTTTAGATTTTTGTTGCTGGGCCAACTTTAGCGATTGGATATGTTAATCGACCAGAATTGGATCGGATAAGATTTATGACTGTTCCCGAACAGTTTCAGCCTGAATTGGGGGAGAGGATGTATCGAACTGGTGACTGGGGATATCTGCTACCGAATTCCGGTCTAGAAATTTGTGGTCGATGCGATTCACTTGTTAAGATAAGAGGATACAGCGTTGAAATAAAGGTTATTTGGTAAAGCCTGTCATCTTAATATTGTCTTTGATATCTTTGATACCAATGACTCAAAAAAGAATTTTAGGCAATTGAATCCAATTTGAACGAATTATCTTATATTGCCTCTTGTGCTGTGATTAGTATTGGTGCTGAAGGCGATGATAAAAAACTGGCTGCTTATGTTGTTTTGAAAGAAACGGTATCCAGAAAGAAAATTCGTGCCGATTTGAAACAGCGCTTACCTTTTTATATGATACCGAGCTTTTTCGTATTTCTAGACAAGTAAAATTGAAAATATTTTTTATAATTTCATTTAAAGTGGCAATTATTTCCATTTTTTCAACTTTTTTTCTTCGTATGAAAAAATAGAGGATTTTAAATATGTTTGATCAGCAATAATATTTGTTGCTAAAAAAAGTGACATTATTTGCGGTTAAGCTCGCTGCTTTAGTCTTTAGCTCGGTTAGAAATTTTTACCGAGAAATCATTTGACTGCAGGTGCGGATGAGTCGCCAGCATCACTCGTTTTTAATGATAGGTTTCTTACTATGATTCGTATCTTTTCATATTTTGAGAACAGGATGGAACCATCTAATACGAAAATATTCTGACATGTGTAATGCAAGAGCTGCTCATTTCGGCAATATTTTTTCAATTCCTATTAATAATTAAGAAATTTTCAGAATTCCTGTCCTACCATCATCGTCGAAAGTCGATAAGAAAGGTCTTCCACCAATTAACCCAGAAGCAGACGTCATTGAAGCCGATTCATTACCACAGACGCCAACTGAAATTCGTTTGGCAAAACTGTGGGCCGAAATTTTGTCACGATCTGACATTGACATACAGGAAAGCTTCTTTGATCTTGGCGGGTTAATTTTGATTTGCTTTCCAGTTGTTAAAACGTTTCTACATTTTTCATTTTTCAAATAAAATAATATTTTTAAAAGTGTTATAAAGTCAGCAGAAAAGGATTTTCTATGCAAAAAAAAGTTTCTAAATAAAAAGCCTCCGTAATTTAGTAATAAAATTTAATGATTTCTTAGGCATTCGTTGATGGCATCTCGATTGTTGGGAAAAATTCAACGAGAATTTGGAGTTGAATTTGCGATGAATGATCTATTTGCAATGCCAACTGTCTCAGCGATGGCTCGTTGCATCGATGACAGCGAACTGAAGCATCGTGGACAAAAAAGAAATCTTGCTAAGGCAGTCGAGATTCATGATTTCAAATACCAAATGTAATGTTCTTAATGCAAATTTTATTCAATTATTTGAGCGGTTGTATTTCTATTCCGCTGCTATTTTTTTCGGAATATTTCTAGCATTTCTATAAACTATGAGCTAAGCTTTTTTTTAAGTTTTTCTCTAAATTTAAATAAGAATTGATATACATATATAAAATTTAAAACAATATTGCAAAATAATTATTTTTGCCTTTGACAGGAGTAAACCTGTCATGTCAAAAATCCAGGTGGTTACTGCCTCTTTTTATAAATTCATTGTCGATTGAGGAAGTGCACTATTTTAAATATCTTGGGTCCACTCTAAAACCAAATGGCCAGGCAAAAGGCGATATTACAACCTGGATCACGGCAGCTAGAAATGCGTTCTTTGAGTTGGTGAAATTGTGGAGCCGTAGTGAAATCACCATTAAAAAAGTCTGTATAACCTGATTTTTCCGATTTTGCTATATGGCTCTGATACATGGCCATTGAGAGTGGAAGATATTAAGAAGTTATCTTTGACCACTCTTGTCTAAAGCATATTTTACGGGTCCGTCGAGTGGATAAAATCTCACAAGATCGCATTCACCTTCGTTCAAACACTACCTATACACAAAACTTTTCTATCACCGATTGGTGGTTGAACAGATTGGGCTGATTCGTCAGGATTAAATAAGCATATAACTGTATTATAGTTATTATTATAGTTAAAGCTTGTGCAGTAAGTTGGAAAAAGATAACCAATTATTCTTTTGTATTCCTTTTGTACTTGGGAATACTGCGTACCTGAAAAATAATTGAAAGAAATTAAATTCATAAAAAAATGCAAAATTTGGTGGTGGTAGCTATGAAAATTATAATTCAAAAGTTAATGCTTTATTGACTTCAGAATGGATTTACATCTAAGAGCATTTTGGCGATCTGTAGGTTGGACAAATCGCTATTACAATGGATTAATATTGCTTACGGGCGTGACAGGTTTTATTGGATCACACATACTCATCGACTTATTGAAAAATTCTCAGGTTAACGCCAACAATAGATTATATAATAAAATATTCCTGAAAGCACAGGTGATTTGCCAGCATACCCGGATTTTTGATAATAGATTCGCTGCTTCCAGGAGCATTAACCGAACCCAATATAATAGTTTGAATCACCTCCAATTCATTTGTTTAGTGAATATACAGTGATTGTTTTAAGTCTTATGGTCAAGTGTCTCGGCAAAAAGATCTCACTCTCATAGATTAGTTGATAAAAATAGCCGAACTAGAAATGGTGGTAAAAGAAGGTGAAAGAAATTAATGAAAAGAGTTCTATGCTAAATACAAAAAATTTTGTAGATATACAAAAAACGGTGAAAAATTTTTTCATTGCACCATGATATTTTATTATCTTGATCATTTGCCTTTTATTAGGTGCGAATTATCTGTCTTATTAGGCAGAATAATGCAGAAAATGTGGAATTGCGATTGGAAAATAGTATTGAAAGAATTGGTATTAATTAAATTTTTAAATTCAAATAATCTTGCAAGGTTTTAATTACAATTTATGCAAAACCAAACTAAGGACTCATAATTTCTTTATTCGTACTATTAATTACTGGAATAAATCACGAATGACATAGCTTTAGCGTCATTTTTAGCTATTTTTAAACAAAGATTAATCAATATCATTTATGATATTATTTAAAAAGTTCACATCATGCACAAGTTTGAAATCTTGATTTTTACCATTCGATTATGCATAAGTAATATTCATTCGAACTGTGCTATTTCATAACTCCTCTTTATTTCCTCTTTACATTAGTTTTTGTCATATATTCCTTTTTTTATCACTAATTTTTATTATTTGTTACTGTACCTGTTGTTATTAATATAAGTACATGGCGCTTGCCGCCTTATTTGGTTGGTTTTTTAGCAAATTTTCCATTTGAGGTATGCTAACAGATACATTACGTGGAAAAATACGTGAACGTGTAAAAATTTTCGCTGGAGATGTTGTACTTCTTCGTCTTGGTTTGTCGGAAGAGGATTATACTTTCCTTTCACATGATGTTGATACCGTGATACATGCGGCTGCATATGTTAATCTTATATATCCATATGAAGTAAGATCTAATACCGTATTTAAAGTATGCCATTAGTCATATGTGAATTACCACAAAGTTTTTGGCTAGTGAACATTAAGAATTGAAAGGCATTAAATGGCACCCTCATTACAACGCTAACTTTACTGATTATCCGTGCTTATGCATGCATTCGTGTCTACGTATATCGCGAATCCTTCTTACCTTATACTCCAAATCGCCTTGTCCCCAAAATCCTCTTAAACATCGTTGCGTCTTTTTATTATTGAACATTTACATCGCTTTCATACCGTCATCTCTGCTATATTACAGATCGGTGTTCACATGCAATAAAAACATACTGCCTGTTTCAAATATGCCATCACTTTTCGATATGTCCTCCAGTTCCGTTTTCTGCTTTTTTTTGCTCATCATTTCATTATTTTCTTAATACCTCATAAACACCTTTCTCTCTCTCAATTATTTTGCCTCAACCAATTATTTCATAGAAATTACTCCTTAGCGCACCACCAAAGCTTGGTATACACGCCTAATTTTCAATTATGTTCTTAATACATTTGACTCCAATTATCACGCTTATTTTACTCTTCGATCGATGCTTTTAAATATTTGATAGATGAGATTTTAAAAAATTACCTTCATGTCAACTTATATTCATGATTCTATACATTTTCAGTACCATGCAATTTTGGATACATTTATTTATTTTTTCTATTAAAATCGAGAAATTTGTTTATTAATGAAGTTAATCAAAATCTCGAAATATCAAAAAATATCAAAAAAAAATATCAAAAAAAATCTCGCCTTGACGATATATTCGATTCACACATTTTTTAGGCTCTACAAGGTGTTAATGTACTTGGAACTAGAAATCTTCTCGACTTTTGCCACAGAAATAAAATTAAAATCCTACATTATCTGAGGTAATGGTGTTTTACTATAGATCCAGAAAATTTTCTGATTTAGAAGTTTGTCTGAGTATTACTGCTGTATGTCAATACAAAATTTTTTAGTACCGATGCCGTAATTCCGGAAGATTTGGATTACGCTGATGAGGATATTGACAGTAACAGTTGTGATATTGATGATAGATTATGCGGTGGGTATGCGGAAACAAAATGGGTTGCTGAAAAGCTTGTACAGAGGGCTGAATCTAGAGGATTGCCTACAATTATTTATCGACTTGGTAGATTATCTGATTTTTTTGCAGAAACTAACATATATTGAAAATACCATTTTTGAAAACCATTTTTAATGTGGAATTTCAAATTTAACTGCCACTTTAAGCTTTTAATGATTAATTTTAAATCTTGAGAAGATAAGACATATATATATGACTGAACTTAAATTCAGCACTGAGGCATTAATCGTAGCAGCACAAGAACAGATCCATCACCAGATTAATCAGGCAGAGAGATCTGCTACATTAGACATGACTGAAGGTGCTGATTGCGCAGAAAAGCCTCAGAAACTGCCCAACGCATGGTGATAGAATGTGAGATAGAATAGCATACAGGTATAACCATGGAGCTGACATTTTCTACAGGAATATCTATTTAGTATTTGGCTTAGGCCTAAGATGAGATGTAAAATTCCTCAGAAAATCGTAGAGAAAGCTAATATCCTATGGGATTTTCCAAGCAGATAAGCACTAACTAAAGAATTACTAAGATATACCAATTATACTAATACTAATTAACCAATGAATTAGATATTGCGACTATAGGCGAGAACCAGAAATTAGCTCTAGTGATAGATATAGCAATACGGAGTGGCAGGAACTAAGAAGGATGTAAGAGGCTTGTGAAATATTAGGGGCTGAAAAAGGAACTAGAGAAAATATGGAAAATGAAGGCCAAAATGGTCTCAATAGTGTTAGAAGCACTATGGGTTGTCCCTCAAATTGGAAAAGTGACTTCAACAGATTCCGAGAAACAGCGTCAAAGCTCTGTCCAGAAGGGTGAAATGCTAAAAACATCTAAGATACTGCACAGAACTCTTCTGTTCCCTTGATAAAGGATTCGAGATTGAGAATAAACTATCTCTTTCTTGGTGTGGTGAAAGGATGTTTTAAAAATATATATGTAGAAGAATGTATATGTATCTTAAGTCCAAATTTCTCCATTATCCTGTATTATCCTAAAAGAAACGTACATAAAAAAATTGAAGGAAATCAAGCTGCATCAATGCTAACCGGAAAATGGAACAGTCTTGATTTTATCTATTTAATGCTAATCAGCACGATTCGATTAAAAGTTTCGCCAAAAATTGATTGGATGGTAATGATATTCATATTTTAGTACAATAAAAGTCCAAAACTTTATAATAAATGTATGATGAGGCTAAAAGCATGTTTATCATACAATTTTATTCGTGGCAAAAATTAAATTTTAACGTTTTTATTTTCCTTTCTATTGGCGATAATAGCATAAGTTTTTTAGCTTTTAATCTTGCTATCGCCGACTAAACTTACTACCTAAAGCTTTTTTTCATTTTATAGATGGAAATGACACCGGTGGACTTCAGCTCGTCTTTTATTGCAAGAATGGCTACTGAAAGATTTAAATCGGGAATCGGAAAAATTTTTCACTTAATTAATAGTAATGCATTAAGTTGGAACCAAGTCATTGAGTGGATGCGCAAATTTGGAATCGCTATCGAAATTGTCTCATTTAACAACTGGATTCAATTGTTTATATATTTTTTTAAACTTTTAAATAAATTAACAAAGAATTTTTTATCCTATGAATAAATTAACAAAGAATATTTTATTTTTTAATGGAAATTGGAATGGCTCAATTAGTCTTTGCTCAATTCAGAGTAACGATGCTGAGGTTCTATTTCCATCAAGAGTAAACACCTGTGCAAAAATCCGGTTGATGCTGGTGACTCACGTGCACTTCTATCATCATGGGACTTCCTGGCATATTATTCTAGTGCAATAAGCCAAGGGAGCAAATCTGACCAGTAATAATGATGGCTCTTAAAGAAAAATTTCATGGGCTTACAAAATTCTATTATTTCTAAACGAATATTTTCACCATTTTCGATTTGGTTTACTGCATTAATACTGCCGAAGTCCCTCCCTCAAGAGGATTTGATGCTATATATATATAGTTAGATCATCCAAGTCTTATTTTTATATAGGTTTGCATCCATTAGATTAGAGAATCTATGATACTTGAACTTATCATGATCAAAGCATAGTAACATTTTACCATCTTGTCACCGCTTTAATTTACATTTATTTCGTCATCAAGTATTTTAAGTTTCAGAGTAAGTGATGATCCGGCACCTGAATCTCAGCAATTAAAAAAGCTTATTGATGGAATGATAAGGTTGGTTTTTTTTGTTGAATATGATGCAATTGTTTAACGCCTTCATGTGCAGTTTTTTCCCTTTCCTTTATTGATTTCAAATAAACAATGATTTTTTAAACCCGGCCAGCAGTTTCGAAATTCCGGATTTTTTCAATTATTTGCATATTCGTTTGCTTGATCTATTTGATTCGATGGTGGATTTATTTTGACATCAAATAATAGTCACTTAAATGATTTATTATTTATAAATTTATGAATTTGCGATTTTAATGAAAAAAATTGTTTGAGAAAAGATCTAAAAAAGACTACAATTGCTCAATAGGTTGTTACTTCCATTTCGGAATGTCGGAGAAGCTGAGCTTCCACTCCAGGCAGGAGTAAACCTGTCTCTCAAAAATCCAGGTGAGGTGACTCATCTATATTTCATTTACTGAATTGTTGAAAATTTGTCTGATAATGAGTCAAATGGAACGAGTCTAACCAGAAATGGTGAGCATTCTTAGGAAAGGCACATGCAAAAGAAATACAGTTAGTCCAACTTTATTACTCTCTTTTTATTTTCATACTTTATAATTGATAAATAAAAAGTGGAATTGAAATGAAAATGAAAACGAAGATGACCGGTATTCTTAAGCAATTGCTGGAACCTTTAAAATTAAAAAACTGATTGAGAAGAAAAAATTATAAATTAAAAAGAAATTAATGCGCAGTCGATTATAATTTTGCAGTTAACACTAGGCTAAGGTAGATCTTTAATTTTTCAGATGTACTCAGATGTGCTTTTTTTTTCGGAAATTTTTTCGGAAATCTTCGGAAATTTAAGTTTTTTTATAAAATAGTTATGGCGATTATAGCTGTGATTTTCGATAGTTTATTATTTTTAGCAACATTAAATTGCTTATTTTTGTTTTAGAGATGAAACATATTTTGCTGCTTCGACGATTTATCGACGAACAAATACGGATCGCGAATTGAAAGAAATCAATTGTACTTATCCGATTATAAATGAGACTTTGTTTCGATACTGGCTAGAAATTCTAGTTGATAAAAAACTTATCAAAACTCCAGGGCTGAGCCTTGGTGAGTGAGATTTTTTATCATATATAGAATGGTAAAAAGATCAATTTCTTTTGCCATTTCCACATTTGAATCAGATTTTGAACTCTGCCTCCCGCATCTTAAAAAATCTGGATGGACTCATCTATATTTTTATCTCCATGTGAGTTCATATCCAATGGAGAGAACCTAGCTATTTACTTCATTTACTTTATTTACGTACTCTGATATGCTAGATGAAATTGTGCTCTCATAAAATTACAGATATGGAGGGTAAAGTTTGCATAATTACTGGTGCAAGCGAAGGTATAGGAGCTGCAATTGCAACAGAACTTGCTCTAAAAGGTCAACTACGTGTAGTTTTAGTTGCAAGGCAGACTCAAAAGTTGGAAGAACTGGCAAAAAAGTAAAAAATTTCGATCTAAAGTTAATTCTTTTAAAATGAATTCGTTAGAGCCATTAAGGATTTTATTTAAGATTGAAATCGAAGGGATGCCATGCTTCCAATATTTTAATCACCAAATGTGATATAACATCAATTTCGGATGTCGAGAATATGGTCGATTGTACTCTGAAAACCTTTGGTAACATCGATGTTTTAGTGAATTGTGCAGGTTGCATGTATTATCAGCTAATGAAAAATGGTGGAAAAGAGGTGTTTATATTTCAAATGCTTTCTCTCTAAATTTTCTCGACTTTATCGTATTTATGGATTGACTTCCATAAATCCTTTGAAACCACACGAGTCTTTGGGAAATTCAGTTAGAGTGCTGATCACAGCAGAAGTGAATCTGTCATTAAAAAGTACAAGAAATGCTGATGACCAAATGAACCTATAGCAAAAATTTCTAATCATATTAACTCCCAGAAGTGTTAACCAGAGATGGTAAACACTAACTATATTTTGCTTGAGACTCATTACTTAAACATTTTGCCAAGTAGGGCAAATTCGCCTTCTTCTAACAGCTCTCACTACTACTAGTTAGGCTGATTCCACTGGCTACAAGAGTAAGATATTTCCAAGCTGAGCAATCTGATGAAGTAGATGAACTAGGAAATAACCATTAATCACTCGGCTTATAAGATGGAGCTGACTAAATAATTTTTCCCAAGCGATTTTCGTTCCGATCAATTTTAGATGATTTATTAAAATAAAAAAAAATGAAAGGTAAAAAATTATTAGGCACTATTAAAAGTTATAAAATTATTTATTAATTAAGTTATAAAATTATTTAACGGATATCAAAAATTTATTTTTTTTATTAGAATAGTATTGAGTATTCTAAAAATATTTAGGAATGGGACAGGCAAATTGATGTGAATTGTCGTGGGACGACCTACTGTATCGGAACTGTTCTTCCACATATGATGAATTCTCGATCCGGGCATATTGTTAATATAACTTCTGACTCTGGAAAAAAGGTTTTTTTTTCGTCACTGGTTAAGCTGGCTCCACTCGTTGTTAATAGGGAATTTTTGCTAAGTCACTTGGTAAAAGAAATGTTAAGTGGGAGTGGGTCGAACCACTCGGATTTCTTAATGACCTTCCATCCCAGGATCTATGTTAATCTGAAGCACTGGCCACTCTCAGCATTTTTGGTAAATGCACAATTAAAAGAGATGAAAAATCTGAGAATTAATAAATATGTTTAAGTGTTAAAGTTGTTAAATTATTATATTCACAGGGTTTCGCTGGTTTAGCTGTCTATTCTGGATCGAAATTTTATATAGAAGGTATGACACAGGCTCTACGTCAAGAAGTCCTTGAATATGGCATAAGAATCACTAATATCCAACCTGGAGATGTGGCGACTCGACTTGCAAGTCGATCAATCGACCAAGAGGTCAAATTTTCACTTTTAATCATATTGGCTTATATCGTACAATTTTTGCGCTAATAACCATTCATTCACCTGTTTTAATGATACTGCTTCATTAAGCGCATTGTTCAGGTTTAGATGTTTTATTATTGTGGTTAATATTAAATCTGCTAAAAAAAAGTAAATAACTTCAGGCTCGCACAAAATACGATTTTTCAATGGCCGGTCATCGAATTCTCGACACTAAGGATATTGCTTCGACAGTTTTATTTGTGATAAGCCAACAACCACATGTTGCTATTAATGAAATATTAATTGAACCTCAAGCTGCGCCAATTTAATAAATCTTTGAAAACATTTTTTTTTTAAATTCCAAACTGTTATCAGTTAAATGTATTTTTTAATTTTATATAGCAGTAAAGGAAACTATATGTTCGTAATCAAGGACTTGAATGATGCTTGGAGCATATCTTGGTGCAAGAGTTTTTAAAGCTCTAATATTTAACGACTCTTTGGACTTAAAACTATTCATATATTCATATTCATATATCAATTTTAGATGGTACATCTCCTCTAGCACTTTGAAATAATCGTTGACTAGTCGGATTGATTTATTGACGACTGCAAGCAAGATAATAAAACATCAGATTTTCCGATTTCTATTTTGCCATGTTTATTTTGCTGTTTTATTTTATTTTGTTTTATAAATGATACTTTGGCATCTATTTAAAAATTCCTACAGTCGTTAATATCACCTAGCAAATTCTATAAAATTCTATAAACGCTAGGCAGAGACCGATTCATGGCGATGGTAAATCTAAAAAAAAACCAATAAATAATTCTGATCGGCTTTAATGACTGACGTCGCGGTTTACTGCTGTTGCCTAGAAATTTTGCATATTTTTTTGGAAATAACAAAAAATTTTCAAGTATTAGTATCTTCATAAAATATACCTCGCTTGCAAAAATATTAAATTGCTTGTCTTCAAATTACTCAACAAATTGAAGGTATTATATATGTATATCTCTATCTCTTTTTCTCCATCTTCAAATATTATACACCAGTTCCGATTTTGTTGGCATCATTGGCACCACTAGCTAAAAGACGTTTGGCCAAATTCCGAACCTGTCCTGATTATCTCAATTCGGATCACATCTCATGTAAGGCTTTGCATTTAGCGAGATACCCGCTTCAGTTCCTGCGATGGGTGATGAAGAGTACTTTTAAGCATATGAAAAAACTGGAAACTTTGGAATAGAATGGCTCAGTGGGTTGTTGCCAAATTCGGAGCGCCGATACTGAGATTTCATTCTACGCTGGAGTAAACCAAAAATCCGGATGACGCTGGCGATTCAGCTGTATTTCTATCGCCAAGAGTCTCCCGGGCATAGTTATTTACTCCAGTGTGACAAACCAGCGGAGCGAATGTAACCAGTAATGGTGAGGACTCTCAAAAAAAAAATGTGGAAAAACTGTAATATTACTTATGGGTTGGTTAATTTCATAAAAAATTTCTTTCATAAAAAATTTGTTTCTGGCGAAAAATGTTATTAATGCTGTCTCTCATTGCACTTATTGTTTTTTGTTCTTGTAAAGTTCAAATTTCTTTTTCTTTCTAAAAAAATTTTTTTTACTTATTGATTGAGTAAATTTTGGTGCTTTTCGACATTTTTCAACTTTAAATTTCCTTTTAAAACCTTTTGAAATTCATTTTCGTATATTTTTTGTAATTCATCAAATAATTAATTAATTTTACATCGCTATAATGTTCATGCAAATTTCCTCGAAATTTTTCTGAAAAATTTTTTCATTTCAACTTCGACCCCTATTTTGGATTTTATCGAAAAAATTTTACTCTTTTTTTATTCTTTTTTTTTTTTAAATGGAGCAATTCATATATGAAAAAAATTTTCAAAATGAAAATTTTTCTCAATTTTTCAAAATTTTTTCCATTTATTTAAATTTTCGCCATTCAAGTTTCGTAATATTTCTAAATATCGAAAATTTCGCAATTCTTTACTTTTTTTAAAAAAAAACCAATAATTTCGGCACAAAATTGTCTATTGATAATTGCTCATCGATGAAAAAAGATTCGATTTGTTTCGATTCAGTGGCTATTGGAAGGTTTTGCGTTGTGAAATAATGTTTCCTCGAAAATAAATATTATTAACCGTTTGCTAAACTTTGTCTTACAAAAGCTTCCGATAAGACTTATGCTAGTTAACGGCTGGCATTTCCATTTGAGCTGGCTCCATTCGCGAAGAGATATTTTCGCCAGAGAATAATTAGAGATTGGAGACACAGGCGGACCGTCTAGATAAAATGTAAATGCCGAAACTCTTGAAACTCTTAAGCCTTAATTTACGATTGACTTCAGCTTCTTGTGATTATCGATCACCGACGAGAATTTTTTTAACCAAACATTTTCCAATTTTTAAGAATTGAGGATTTCTCTATGAATAAGACAAAAGGTCCACATGGGAAATGCCTGAGTGGTGCTGAAAACCTAAATGCGCCTCTATCTCAAAATGTTTTAAATGTTTTCTTCTTGTAGTCCGTAAAGCCAGTCAAACGAGAAATCGTAGGGAATGCTGCTGGAAAAAAAAATCGAATGAACCATTAAATTCGTTCACAAAAATTATACTGGCAGTTAAAAAATCTACGAACAGATTTCACGAAAGTATAGGTAATTCGAATGCACTACTTGATATGAATGGCTGTGCTAAAGGGTTTGTCTGCTATATATATATAAAATGAAAATTAGATTAGCAAAAAGCTCTTTTACATGCGGTGAATGTGCTTTCTGCGCTCACTGTTGTACTTGTTAGCGATTGGTCGGAATGTAATTTTTAATTTTATTTGTATATCACCGATATATATCACCGATCTTTCTCAGCTTTTCTTATACTAAAATGCCAATAATGAGTGAATAAATTAATTTAACAAATAAATAAGCAATTATAATTTGTTACCTTTCTCTTTAGAATGCCTTAGAAAGTGTTGTTGTGGTTCTGCTTCAACAGGAGTGAATCTATCGTTCAAAATTGGACTGTGATGCGATCCTCGTTGTACTTCTATCTCAAGGAGATTTTTCTGTCTCCTTAGAAAAAATTTTCCTAGTCCGACGAGAAAAAGTCCAACTAGAAATGGCGAATGGCTTTTGTACTTTTACTTTCCCCTTTAACAACTCTCCTGAGATAGTGGTAAGACGAGTAAAAATCGTGCATGATATTTCATACAAATCATATTGCTTTTGCTAAATTTATTTCGACATATGTCATGTATCTTTTGCATCTTGAAAATGTAAAAATTTTATTAAAGCCATCTTAACCATCGAGCTAAATAATATGGATGTTATATCATCCATTCAAACCATCAACGATTTCTGAAATCTTGTAATAATATTCAAAGAGAGAAAATCTGAATCAGTTTTCAGGTGTTCAGTCAATAACTTATAGACAATAATTTTCTTTGTCTTACGAAGGATGATCAACTTTAGATTTCTATAAATAAAAATGTTTGATAAGGAACAATTTCCTGAAAATCTTTTTGTTCATAAAGGAACTCCGCTATCAATTTAGCCTTTATACTCTGATGATGTTTAAAATTTTCTTGAATTAACATTTGGTTTATATCCAGACACGATGGTCCATTTTAATCCACTTCTTACAATTATTCTGTTTTCTATGGTCAAATGGTTGTATAAAGTTCCAACGTAATTGGCTCGTCTCCTTCTTCTCAACGAAAGTAAGCCTGTCAAGGAAGTGAGTCTTAAAAATAGAATATTGAGTTATATTGCAGACCTTTATACTTTGGTTTTGTCCCCCAAGTAGCTTTCTGGCAATGGAGTCTCATTCTAGCCATCCAAATGGCGAATGCTGACAGTTTATTGCCCGTCATTGTTGATTTATATTTTAAAATAACGTTAAAACTCATTAGCAAACATCCTCAAAAAAAGAAAAATGATATCGGAATTGCTTATAAATGCTTACGCTAATCATAGGAGCAATTTTATGAAGTATTTTATCAGTAAAGTACACAGAAGAGTATTTTTAGTTGAAAAGATGCAAATAAGATGAGTAAAATGACTTTATGATGGATTGGTGCTAACGACTTGAGTGCAGATTATCATGGATTATGGTGATATTTTGTGGTGATAAACTAGGAAGGTAATAATGTGAGTAAGTACGCCAAAATACGAATAATGAATATCTGATTTCTAGGAAATATCTAACAATAAGTAAATTAATTTTTTAGTGATATGGGTGGTGAAATCTTGAAATGCACTTTTTACCAGCCAATTTTTACCTTACTCCAATTGTTGTCTTCATTGGCAACACCTACATTTCATCTGATTTAAAGCAGCCTCTAATGTCAGCCGCATAATTGATATTATCATCATTGAGAAGTTTTAGAAGAAAAACCAAGACCTTTAATACATGAAACAATGATAATAAGTAGAGGGATATAAAATTTTTTTGCTGAGCGGTCGTTTCAAAAAATTTTCTTTATTTATTTCTGTGAATTTATTTTTCATTTTTTCTGACCACAATTCAGCTAAATTCTTCCCAAACTTTTAATTTTTTTTTACCAAACGATTAAAAATAAAATTAAATCAATTGAATTAAATAAATTAAAAATCAAATCAATTAAATTGTATAAATAATATATATTTCATATAGTTATATATATATATATATATATGTATATATTTATATTTTTTTAATTTCATTGTTTATTTTATTATTTTCTTCAAATTTAACTTTTTTTTGTCTTTGGTAGGAGTAAACCTGTCATTATGTCAAAAATCCAGATGGCTGCTGGGGACCCACCAGTATCTCTATCCCTAAGTGGCTCTATGGTGAAAGGGTCAGATAAACTTGATACGGCGTCCACTTCTCTCGACGCTTATGGTTTAAAGCGGTCCTAAGGCTGATAAATAAAATGTGCTTGTAAGCCAGGGTAATTGCTCGAAACTCGAAACCTATCAATGGAACAGCTGTCTGCACGCGTGGCGAGGTATTAGCCGTATCAGCGTGGAACGTCAGAAGGCTTACGGATATTGCAAGCCAAGCGATTACTATCCACACCCTGTCTAAATATCATGTGGATATCGCTTGCTTGTCGGAGGTCCATCTTTCTTACTTTGGGTCTCGAGCAATTATTAATCCTGATTCAGAGCAGAGATACTGACTATATCACTTCGAATAACTCGGGACGAAGTGGCGTAGCGATTGTCTGACAAGGCCCATTCCGCTTTGATTGAGTGGAAACCGGTAAAGGACCGTATGGCCTATGCCCTACGGTATATTCTGCAATATCTTGGTCATCAGTGTCTATGCTCCAACTCTGTCGGCTGTGATAAAGATAAGTTCTATGTGGAAGTTCAACTGCGAACAAAGTCTCTACCAAAACATAACATGGTCATAGTCGGTGAAACTGGAATGCTTGCGTAGGTCATAATGCAGCTGCGATGGCCTCAACAATTGGCAAATATGGTATTGGAGACCGGTGTGCCATTGAGGAACGTCTTCTTCATTATGCCGACGAGCATGAACTTTCTGTTACTAATACTTGCTTCCGGCATCATAGAAAACATCTATGTTATGATTCGAGCCAAGATCCTCATAAAATTGACAACTCGCAGAAAACAGCATCCAAGATCCTTCAACTATCTCAAGCTAAAAAATTTCGGAACAGTGAGCGCATTTCAAACCGAATTATTGAAGCATCTCAATGATACAAATATGAATGATTTTTCTGGAACGGCAAATGAATACTGGTCAGAATTAAAGGAATGTGTCCGAAAATCAACCATTTCCATTCTATGGCGTACTAGTAGGAAGTGCGCTAGTTGGGTATCGGAAGCAACTATCCAATTATCTGAAAAAACAGTCAGAGTATATATGTCAGGTGATCCTAACTACCGGGTTCTTCAAAGATTTGCAACGAAAGCAACAAGACGGGACAGAAATCACTATTGGAGTGATTTGGAGTGTTATTGGACTATTAGGCAACAATAAGAAATTCCTGCCTTCTTCATAAAGCAACTATGACTCGGAGAATGATTAGTGATGTGGTAAGATACAGCAATGGCGAACTGATCAAAAGTATTAAGGATCGTCTCATAAAATGGAAAAAATTCTTTGAGGCCAAACGTAACCGTGAAGCGCCATCTGTTGCCTCTGATATAGCTGATACGTTCGCCGAACCATACGCTTGCAATTGCGAGCCTCCAACAGAAAAAGAAATAATTTCAGTTATCCATAAGCTTAAGGCCAATAAAACTCCAGGAGAAGATGGTCTTTAGGCTGAGCTTTTCAAATGCTGTCTATTGTCCTTCATAACGCACCTTCAACAAATGTACTCTTTAGTATGGAAAAAAAAATATTTCCAGATGATTGGAGCAAAGCAATTCTGCTCCCAATTCTCAAGAAAGATGATAGGACATATTGCGACAGTTATCGAGGAATCAGCCTACTAGACGTCTCAGCAAGAATTTTTGCTTTCCTGCTATTCAACAGACTTATGAAAGTACGGGACAGCAGGATGTGCCCTAATTAAGCTGGTAGACAGACCTGGGCGCGGTTGTGCTGACCAGATATTCACGTTAAAAAGGGTGTTGGAACATCGCTTCAAATATTTGCAACCCACTGTCACGTGTTTCATCGACTTTGCGACCTCTTTGATTCATTTGATAGAGCGGCTCTTTCGAGGGCGATGGAACGTGACGGTATTCCAGAAATGATTATTCGACTCATAAAGGCATTTTATGAGCGCAGATCTTTGTATATGGGGAGCTAACAGATTCCTTCGAAATACCCTCACAATAATCAATATGCGATAGACTGGATAATGGCCACTGTTTGTCGGCACTCAAGAGGTGTCCGAATTAGTCCAGAGCATCTTATTATAGATCTTGAATACGCTGATGATGTAGTCCTTTTTTCTGACAATTATAAGGAAATGCAAGTAATATTGAATACTAAATAAATCAGAAATTATAGAAAGAATCGAACTCAGGATCAATGTAAATAGAACGAAGTCTTTTCGTCCTTCGTCTTAAGCTGATAAAAGTGCCTCTTTTTTAAATTCATTGCAGGTTGAGGAAGTGCCCGATTTCAAATACATTGTGTCCACTCTAATATCAAATGGACAGGCAAAAGGTGATATTACAACTCGGATCACGGCAGCTAGAAATGCGTTCTTCCGGGTTGACGAAACATTTATGGAGCCGTCGTGAAATCATCATTAACACGAAAGTCCGCCATCTATATAGCCATGATTGATTCGGTCTTGCTATATGGCTGTGAGACATGGTCAATGAGAGTGGAGGATATTAAGAATTATCTGCCTTTGACCACTCTTGTCTAAGGTACATTTTACGGGTTCGTCGAGCGGATAAGATATCACAAGATTGCATCCACCTTCCTTCAAGTAGCACTTGTATAAATAATGTTATCACAGAGCGCCACATTCGCAGACCACATTCTCCATCGTCCACCACATGAGTTGACACATATTTTGTTATTTGGTAAACCGTGTGATGGTTGGCGTCAAAAGCGAGGTGGGCCAATCAAGACCTGGTCTGATACGGTGAGAAAAGATTTTGAACGTATAGGTGGACCAGCAATATGGACTTAGACGATGGAAAAAGGAATGGCTTCCATTACTGTCGATGATAGCATCAGATCGCGCCGCTTGGAAGCGTCTTACTCTTGTAGCCGTTGGAGCCACTCTAACCAGTAATGGTGAGAGCTGTTAGAAGAAGAAGATAATAAGTAGAGATAATGAATGAATAACGTGAATCGACTGATTATCCTCATTTTCTCCAATTTGTATTATAAACAATATTTTTTGCAATTTGTAATAGGGATGGTAGAAGGGCAGACTACTTGGTCTAAGCTCCAGTCATCACAAATTCACTATAGTCCCTTAACCTTATCATTAAAATTCAATATTAAATCGCATGTTTCTAAGGGAAAAATTATTTCGTACTAATAGGCAGTGGAGCTAGCCAAAAAAAATGTGTGCTGTTAGAACAAAAGAAAAGAGTTTAAAAAAGTATATTTTGTGATTTGCTGGTGAAATGAATAATGTTGTAGAACTTGATTAGATTTATCAGTTTTCATATCGTATTTTCACATCAAAAATATTTTCCCATTATTACTTTTTTCTACTTTTTAATATTTTTTAATATTTTAATATTTTTAAGTTAAGATTAATAAGATTAATTTAAATTAGAGATTCAAATTAAAAAATGCATAGATCAGTGGTGAATATATAGTTTTCCTCATTGTAAAATTGTAAAATACTTTCAGTCTTTCATCGTTTTTTGCCTATTTTTTTACACAACTATAAAGAAATAATTTTTTTGCATTTTCCGGCCGAATTCATTTAAAAGGAATATTCTGCAGAAAATACGTTTTTCAAATAATTATTCCACTGGTTTTTAATATTTTCGTTATTTTTTTTTATTATTCAATTAATTCTTTTTTAGTATTTACAGTGTTCGCTTTAGGCATAATTCTCTTAACACTGGTAGTGCTTTTATTTTTATAAATCTGCATTTGGTTTTTCTACGACATTTTTTAATACTCACCATTATCGTATATTGGCTCAGCAAAGACATAGAAAGCCATCGGCATTGAAAAGAAATTTGTGTCAAAAAACAGCTTTATGATAGCTTTGATTCATTGTTTATAAGTGCTGACGAATTCAATAGTATTATCGGAAAAGAAATTTGCATATTTTTTACTTACTTTAGTTTGCTTTATTTTCTGTGTTTTGCTTCGAATTTTAATAATTATTAATTATGATAGTAACATTAATAATTACTGGGTATGTTGCACTTTTGTTTTTTTATAGGGACTTTCACCGTTCATCGTCAGACTTACTGTACTGGCTATCAGAATGAGGCACTTAGGTAATCATTTGAAGATAGAAGTAAGGCGAGGCTCAGACGAACCACTCCGACTTTTCAAATATAGGTTTCCCTTTTATACAACATTTACTTTTTCATTATATATTCAAATTCAACCTCCATTCTCATTTTCATTTGATAATTCATATCACGATGTTTTCATATGATCGTATTAATTACTATATTTTTTTTCCTTCGGCTCTGCTAGATTCTTTGCGATGACCGATATTCATCTGAAGAGAATCTGTCTTTGTAATAATTTATTATTTATAGATTTTATGGCAGAACATGATCGCATTATTCACACTAATATGTCTTTCTACTATGCGTATTATCATAATGGCTTCGTATTCAGCCGAAATTGTGAGCAGTTTAATGTATTTTTAAGTGTCTCTGCATTACAACTTCAGTTTTACTTAAATTGTTCAAGCATTATATAATAATTTAGGACAGTTTAACGATTATAACGTTCATCAACTTTGTTTCTGCTTTATTTTTAAATGTGACAACTCGATTCATAGTTTTCCTGCTATTGAGAAAAAGTGTTACAGATAAAATACTTGGAAGATTTCGGTTATCTTGCCAAGTCGCACGGTGCTTCAGCAATGATAAGTCAAACTATCGTCGATGAGGCTCTTAGAGAACTACAGCATTATGGGAATATACCTGTTACGGGCCGAGTCGATCAAGCTACATTAGATTTGTTATCGCGGAAAAGGTTAAGTTTGAACCAATGCATAATTAAAGTGGCTAAAAATGCAAAAATAATTTTTGAAGCTATTGCAGTAAGGTTGAATTTCTTATAGTTTTCTTATAGTCGAATTTCTCATTTTAACTTTGGGAATGCTTTAAGATGTGGGCTGAGTGATCGTAGAACGAATCGCCGGAGGCGGCATCGAAAACGCTTTTCTTTAATGGGAATGAAATGGGAAAAAAAGATGATAACTTACAGGTAAGTGATTGTGCTGGCAGAATTTTATTACTGGATATAGCATAATATTTAACTTTTAATACAAGGTTTGCACCCATGAGATTGAGTCTGAATAATGCTCGAACTATAATAATATAATATAAGACGAGCAGCAAAGTGATATCAAGCGATCCTCAGTAAATTTGCAGTTTTTATCTCACTGACTCAAATTTATAAAACTTTGTGCCGTTTGAACGAAATGATTGGTGTGGTAATATGAGAATATTTTGTGATAAATAGAAAAATGTTGGAAGAGCAACTGTAAACTATAATTGTTGCTTGCTGAAACTCTTTCTGCTATACTTTTCATTCTTCATTTTACGCTACGTTTATTCGTTTTTGAGTGAAGGATCTGAACAGCTGTTGAACAGCTGCCGTATTGTCGAGGCTTTAAGAAATTATTAACATTCTTTCATTAAACTAAATATCACTGAGCAAGATATTCTCAAATTTTTAAATTTCTAACTTCTGCTAATTTCAAGTCGTCCATAATAATTATCGAACAATAATGGACGAATCCATGATGATATGTCTATCTATTACCTATTAATGGTATACATTTAACTGGGATGTCGAACATATTTAGTAATCAGGAACTTATCATTATCGTTGTATAAAAAAATTCGCTGGTTTCTTTAATTTTTATAAGACTAAATCAACGTCAGAAATTTTTTACAAGTTTTGTTTTCGAAAATATGGGATATTTAGGATTTTGAAGAATTTTGATAATTTTGATCATAGGTATGCAGGTTTGGCCATAAATTTGCTCTTTTGGTTCTATTAATTCTTTTTTGATTTTAGCGTATTTTTTAATATCTTCGATAATATAGAATTTTGGAGCTTGGTTCTTATTTATTAAACTGTTTGAAACATGTTGATGATAAAATCCAAGGGAAGGATGTGAGATGTTTATCTTCAGCTCTTTTTCTCTTCGTATTCTTTATTTTTGAAGATTTACTGGTTAACGCTAACCATTTCTGGTTATGGTCGCCACCATTGGCTGTAAAAGTAAAAGTTTTTGCCAACGAGTCACTTAGGAGCAGAAATATATGTAGCCTTCATAACTTCGAATTTTTAATAATAAATAGCTCATTCGCGTCGGAAACAAGGCATGAAATGGCAAAATTTCATCGAGAAACTAAAAAATCCATTCAGTGCAACAACAACAGCATATTTGCCTATACATGGCCTATACATCGCATTAAATCACTTATTTCTACTTTCAGTATCATCAGTTATTCATTATCATAGTCAAGTTCCTTATTTTCTTTTAAATAATAAGAAATATGCACAACTGGTACATTTATTATTTTTAGCCACAGTCGAACTAAGACAGTGGCAAGGTTTATCCTTTATCTTTTATCCTTTTTTTCTTTTGTATTGCCCACTGTCTGTGTTTTTCTTCATACTTTCTATATTGCCCTCTAGCAAATCGAAGTTCTGCTTTGATAGTTTCACCATAGCTTGAGGGCGCTCTGCTCGCTCGGTTGGTTGTAAGATGTTTGCTTTCTCATCACAACCTCCTTGAGTGGGTCGAATGCTATCCAGCTTTTTATGCATTTTCATTTAGAACTTTTTAATTACATTATTTAATTTCTTAATCAGAACCAGTCACCAGTTTTATGCCATTTTATTTGCTTATTTCAATCTTCCAGAACATTTCTTCTCGACGAGTCAAATGCAGATTTGTTTCGAATTTAAAGTGAAACACCACTAGCCATAGTTGTTTTTATTACTTTTATTACCCACCCTATCATTAACAAATCAACCGTTTTGCCGAATGTTTTTACTTTTAAAAGTTTATTCGATTAATGCTTAGAATAATCATTGGTTTATACAACTGTTTATTTCTTCTCGGCTTTGTCTATGGCTTTCTTTTCCTTTACAGTTTCTCTTTTAGGTAATAATGGAATTGAATTCCTTGCTAATAGGATTATGCGAACATACTCCAATCTAAATTATTCTTATCACAACTGATCATTAAAAAACTTTTGTATAAACTATTTCGAGATTGAGCTGCCATGAGTGTAATTTGAGTAATGCCATTCGCCATTATCGAAAGTCTCCTCTATTTATATTCTAATAAACAATCTCTATTTTGAGATGAAAGTTGAGGAAAAAATTTTTCAGTGACACCAGATTTCTTCTTCTTCTAAGAGCTCTCACCATTACTGGTTAGGCTAACTGCAAGGTAAAATGCTTCTAAGCTGCGCCGTTTAGTGCCATCGCCGACAGTAATAGAAGCCATTCCTTTTTCCATCAAAGTCCATATATTGCTGGTCCACCTATGCGTTCAAAATCTCTTCTGATCGTATCAGTCGAGGTTTTCATTGGCCCATCTCGCTTTGACGCCAACCATCATACGGTTTAGCAAGTAATGAAATATGCGTCAACTCCTGTGGTGAACGACGAAGAACATTTCCTAACCAATGAAGGTGACGATCTGTGGCAACATTATTTATGCAAGTGGTATTTGAACGAAGATGGATGGATCATGTAATATTTTATCCGCTCGACGAACCCATAAAATGTACCTTAGACAAGAGTGGTCAAAGGCAGATAACTTCTTAATATCTTCTCATTGGCCATGTCTTACAGCCATATAGCAAGACCGAATCAATCATGGCTATATAGATGCGGACTTTCGTTCTAATGGTAATTTCACGATGGCTCCACAAATGTTTCGTCAACCCGAAGAGCGCATTTCTAACTGTGATCCGGGTTATAATATCGTTTTTTGCCTGGCCATTTGGTATTAGAGTGGACCCAAGGTATTTAAAATCATGCACTTCCTCAATCGACAATGAATTCATAAAAAGAGGCATTTTATGATGAAATGCAAATACACTGTCAGCAAAAAAGACTACATTATTAGCGTATTCAAGATCTGTGATATGATGCTCTGGACTGATTTGGACACCCCTTGAGTGCCGACAAGCGGTGTCCATTACCCAGTCTATCGCATAGTTGAATATTGTAGGGGAAAGGACACAGCCTTGACGAACACCAGTTTTTATTTCGAAGGAGTCTGTCAGTTCCCCATATACATAGATCTGCACCAACGTGAGCTCATAAATTTCTTTATGAGTCGAATTATCTTCTCTGGAACACCGTCGCATTCCGTCATTCCCCAAAGCTCCGCTTTATCAATTGAATCAAACGCAGTTGCAAAGTCGATGAAACACGTGGCATTGTGTTGCAAATAATATGAAGCTATGTTCCATCACTCTTTTTAATATAAATATCTGGTCAGCATAACTGAACCCTGTTCTGATTCCAGCGTGATTAAGACGCATCCTGCTGTACCGTGCTTCCATAAGTTTGTTGAGAGGGAAAATTTTTGCTGAGACGTTTAGTAGCTAATTCTTCGATAATTGTATGTTCCATCATCTTTATTGAGAATTGGGAACAGAATTACTTTGTTCCAATCATTTAGTAATATTTCTCTTTCCCATGCTAGAGAGTACATTTGTTGAAGGTGCGTTTGAAGCAACATTTGAAGAATTCAGCCTGAAGACCATCTTCTCCCGGAATCTTATTGGCCTTATGGATAACGAAGATTATTTCTTCTTCTTCTTGAGACTCGCAATTGCAAACATGCGGTTCTGCGGGCGTGTCATCTATATCAGGGGCAACATGGAACTTCATGGTTAAGTTTGGCCTTTTTTCCTTAGCACTCTTAACCCGCACGCCATTGGTGTCACATTGATCATTCTCCGAGTTATTGTTGCTTTATGAGGAAGGCGGAATAGTTACCTATTATCCTAATGGAGCCGCCGTTCATTCTTTTCTCCATTCTCCATTCTCAAGGCCATGTTGCTCCAATATCTATTTCTTTCCTAGCATGATGTAATTGCAATTCTTCAATGCATCCGATATGATTTCCTGATACTCGCGCTTTGGTGGCCTTTTCGAATGTTGAACAGTTGCTTCCCATTCCCAATTAGCGCACTTCCTTATAGTATGTCGTATTGAAAGGGGCTGACTTTCAGAGATCTTCCTTTAGTTGGGATCAGTATTCATTTGCTGTTCCAGAAAAATCGTAGATATTTTTACCATTGAGGTACTTCAGTAATTCGGAATTTGAAATGCGCTCACTCTCCGCCAATTTTTTAGTTTGAAATAATTAAAGGATCTTGGGGAATGCTGTTTTTTGTGAATTGTCAATTTTATGCGGATCTTAATTCGAATTTTAATAACATGGTTAGATCCATGAAAATTGCCCGTTTTAGCACCGCAATAGGAACGGAATTCTTCCAACGGCGACTGATATAATCAGATTTAATCCATCTGGTTGAAGAATTGGTTATCCTGGGAGTTCCACGTGGCTAGATATTTTCTACGATGCCGGAAGCAACTATTAGTAGCAAAAAGTTCATGCTGTTCAGCATAACGAAGAAGGCGTTCTCCATTGGCGCACCGGTCTCCGATGCCATATTTGCCAATTGTAGAGGTCATCGCAGAGGCATTATGACCTACGCATGCATTCCAGTCTCACCGACTATAACCATGTTATGTTTTGGTAGAAACTTTGTTCGCAGTTGAAGTTCCACATAGAACTTATCTTTATCACAGCCGACAGAGTTGGAGCATAGACACTGATGACCGAGATATTGCAGAACTTACCTTAAAACGGGCATAGGCCATACAGTCGCTTACCGGTTTCCACTCAATCAAAGCGGAATTTGCCTTGTCAGGTATGGCCCCGAGTCCGAAGTGATATAGGCAGTATCTCTGTTCGGAACCACGATAAGTAATTATTCTAGACCAGAAGTGAGGAAGACGGAAGACAAGCAGGCGATATCCACTCGATATTTAGAAAGGGTGTGGACAGTGATCGCTTGACTTGCAATAAGCGTTCTGACGTTCCACGCTGATACCCCTAATACCTCGCCGCGCGTGCAGAGAGCAGAGTTGTTCTCCTTGATAGGTTTCGAGCAATATTGCCCTAGCTTGCGAGCAAATTTTATTCATCAGCCTTAGGATCGCTTTACGCCCGGATTGTATACTTATCGCATATACCACTGGGAGTATCATGCTTGTCGGAAGATGCGGATGCCGTATCTGGCCGTTCTATTATAAAATTACTTGTGGATAGAGTTACAGGTGGGTCCCCAGCAACCATTCGGATTTTTGACATGATGAGTTTATCAAAAGATAGACAATTATTTTATAATATTGTTTATTTTATGATATTGTTGTAAGTTTTACATAAATATATATATATATTTTTTCAGTTCTTTCTTTTTGAAATTTAGTAAAAGAAAAATTAGCTCGTAGTTTATAGAAATTCTAAAGATGTTCCGAAAAAAAAGCGTAAAAAAATAACAACGGAATAGAAGTACAACCGCTCAAGATTGAAAATTTTTTTATTTAGAGATGAAAGATAAGGAAGAAATTCTTCAGTAACACCAGATTTAGCTCAAATATATTTGTATATTAAATTCATAAATATTTGGCGAGAAGATTCGGAAGATAGTAGAAGCCATTAGAAATTTTTAACCTGTGAAAGAGATGCTATTGAAATTTTAAAGAAATTATCTGCGATATTTTCAGCATAGATAATCCGTCAAGGAGCATACCAAACGTAGGTGATGTTAGGCGTGAGGCAATAGAGGCGATTAACAATTGGCAACGTGTAACTGCACTGCGTTTAGTGGAAGTTCGATCTGAAGCTAATGCTGACATCCGAATAAGTTTCGCGATTGGTGATCATGGTGATCCATATCAGTTTGATGGAAATGGAAGAATTTTGGCACATGCCTTCCCACCAGGTGATGGTTTTGGTGGAGATGTTCATTTGGATGATGACGAATATTGGACGAATAAATTGACGGGCGATCCATTTTCTCAAAGTAATTCTACAGTTAATCTATTCTTCTACAATTATGCTCTCAAATTTTGTCATATCAAATAATATTTCAAGTGTCGCATGCCAAATGGTCCAAGCGGTCCAAATACTTAAAGACCAATTAGGCATAATTAAAAATTAAAAATTAATGAGCAGAATGAGCAGAATTGATGAATGTCCGAGTGATAGATGTGCATTCAACAGTTTCCATCGTTTCATTCCAAAAAGTTTTAGAGGGTCAGCTTTTTCTTTTGTATACCTACAAAAATTCTACTTTTTACAGTTTCTTCTCTCTTCTCGTTTTGTTAGTTCTTAAATGACCATTGTTAGATATCAATTTTTTTGTTAATTTTAGAAATTAGCCTAAGATCAATCATAATGCATGAAATTGGTCATAGCCTTGGCTTATCGCATTCCGATCAAGAGGATAGCATTATGTATTCATTTTATCAATATGATTTGGTGCCAACTCTCTCTTACGATGACATTTTTGCCATACAGTCGATATACGGTATGAAATTTTGCTAAATGATAAATAATTTTTTATTTTTCTTTGTTGTCCCTATTTCTGTCTCAAATCGCATCCAGTTTTCCAGTATAAAAATTATATATTTTTTTCGAAATTCCTTTGTTTTTCTGCGCTCTAAAAGTCAATTAGAAAAAAAATTAATTAAAGGTAAAGCTACTGCTGAAAACGAAAATTGTTACAAAACAATAATGCAAAATTTCATTAGTGACTTTTATTTTATTCGTGCGAAATCAGTTTTTCGGATTGGCTTATTTTTAACTAACTCAACTTGTTAGACTATTCATAATCCATTGGCGATCTTCGACAGCAGTATAAAATGATTTGATTGACAATTCGATGGACTTTAACAGGAAAACGTAATGCTGATCTACCGAGATCGTATCCAACTCGAACCACACTCAGTACTACACGAAAATCATTTCTCTCTGGAACCTACAGACCTATCGATTATGGTCCAACAACTGCTACGGAAAAAGCATTTCAAATTCCCGATCCATGTCATTCAAGTTTTGATGCAGTTACTGCGATAGGCCAAGAATTATTCGTTTTTAAGGCATGTTCGCATCTTAGAAATATTTTCATCTATTAATTACTTAATGATATTTGGAGATTTTAAATTGCAAAAATTTTTTTTTCGAGTCTAAGTAAGCTAAAATCATTATGATACTTGGCGTGATATCTTTATTGGTATCCAAAAAATATTTTCTTTTTATAAGACTTAGGCGAAATATTGATAATGATAACTGAGAGAATATAATAAGATTATTGATAAGGATTACTGAGAATGGATTCAACTATCTTATACGCTTATGAAAAGCATTACCAGAGGGCGATATCTTTTCCCTCGTTTAAGAAAAATTTTGAAAAATACTTTAGGCCAAAGGTGATACAACAAATTTTGGTAGTGAGAAACCATGGTAAAATTATGGGAACCAAAAACAATTAGAGTTTATATGTGCTGGGTACTGGATATGAAATACTGGAAGATTTAAATATAGCAAGATTCAAATTAAAATTAATATAATTCGCAAATATCTTACTAAACCGTGGACTAAATATATTATATATTCACTTAATATTAAGTAAACATGTAATCAAATAAACAAGAAAATAGATATTCATTTAATATTAAGTAAACAAATATATTAAATTAAATAATATTAAATAAATTATTGACGAATTTTTTAAAGTATTATATTGCATAATTTTAAAAATTTCGTGGAATCCCCAAAAAGTTATTGAAGTTATTAAAGTTATTGAATTTTTTCTAATAGCAGCATTATTAGCTAGGTTGGCTAACTGCAAAGGTGAGGTTTCTAAACTGGTCGATCCGATACCATATTTGAAAGTGATTGAAACCACTGTGTTTTATCCTATAAATCGTTTGGCCGCCTGTACGCTCAAAAACCTTTTCTGATTAATTCAGGTCTTATTTGAATGAAGGTATATGCAACCGTATGAGTTCGACCTTCTACCGTTCGAAAAATGTAATATTAGGTATGTATGATCAAAAATGGATGGCTTCCTGATATCTTCCACTTCCACTCTTTTCCACTCTCATTGACCATTTTTTGCAGCGATATAGCAAGGTAGTGTGTACTGCAGTCGAGCAGATGCTAACTTTGTTTTTGATAGTGATTTGATAGTGATTTTTGATTGATAGTGATTTCATTTTGATTTCACGACAGTCCCATGGATATTTCACGAGATGAAAGAAGGCATTCCTAATTGCAGCCACAACAACTGGACTCAAAATGTTTGAAATCCACCATCCTTCTGTTGCTGAAAATCCCCAATGAAAAAAAATTATAAAATATTTGTTTTGCTTTTTTAAATACATCTTTTTTTTTCAAATTTATTTCTAAATTGTAATTTCAAGAGAAAGTGAAGTCATTTGTGAGGTTTTTTTGGTGCAGAAATAGGTCAAAACATTTTTGTGGTACTTAAGTCAGAAAATTGCCATAAGTCAGAAAATTTCTGCTGCTTTTATAATTTTTTTTCTTTTCGAGATTTTGATAATCTCTCGTCAATTCAATATATTTATGGCAAAATATGATTTTTTAATTTGATATTTTAATTTAAATTAGATTATCATTTAAGCCATTTTGAATTGTCATTCTTCTTCAAATAGCGCTTCTGACTTGGTTCTGATTAGCTTCACTGGCTACTTAGGGCAAGTGCCGTCTTCTGACTGAACAATTATTTAGAGGTAGAAGCGAGTGCAGCGCAATCTGCATTTCATTTTTAATGACAAAAAGAAAAAACGAAACCCATTATACTTTCCTCGCAAATAAAGCAATCAATCAAGCTCCAGTCGTCACTGTTTAATCCTTTCTTAATTATTATTCGAGCCTTTAACTGTAAGTTTGATAAAGCAGTACAAAAGGAGAGCCTTTGCCACTGGATATTTTCGGAGATTGAAATAGCTTCAGTGCATTTATTGATAGGTTTCATAGGTTATTTTACGAAGGGTTTTAAGGTTCTACTTTTTTTACAATTTTTGCATCTTATTCAATTTTTTACCATTTCAATTGTTTATTTAGAAATGAATATTGAAGCATTAATGCAATTTTAAGAACAAATGGTTTTGGAGAATAATGGATAACGGATCGTTGAATGAAGGTCCACGGGAAATCTCTTCAATCTGGACTCATATCAATGATCCAGTGGATGGAGCGGTTGAATCTGATAACAAAATTTTATTTTTTGTTGGTACGTCTTCTGTTCATCAAATGATTAAATATGATAAAATTAAATTAACGAAAGATGTAGAATCATTTAAGGAAAACACTACTACATTTACCATGGGCGCCAACTGGAAAACATCAAATCGCTGAATACGCTCGGTCTTCCTGATACTATTAAGCGGATTCGCTTGGTTTACAAATGGAATTACTGGACAGAAAAACCTATTTATATATGGACAGATGATGAATTCTGGCGAGTTGATAAAGTAAAATAAAATCAAAAATATTTTCCAGCTTTTTTCTATTAACAAGGTGCTTTAGAAATATTTCTCAGTGTATACTATCTGTCTATTTGATAACCAGACATTCATTTCTAGTCGGGAAATATTTTTTGATTTACCCAAACTTGAAAATTGGTAAATTACTATCTACTTGGCCGATACGGTAGAATCGAACTTAATTCATGAAGGGTTGTATTAGTAGCAATTAAATGAAATGGAAGAATTCCATTGGTTAAGCTATGTGTAAAGAATTTTTGTGCTGAAAGTTCCAGCAGTTCCAACTAGCAAATGGCAGAATTTGCAGAGAATATAGGTGGGTCGCCAGCATCACCCGGATTTTATTAATAATAATGATTCATACCTATTGTGAGCAGAAACAAAATGCTTGTATTTTAACAGGACAATCCGAGTTACTGTCCACATTATATTTTGTATTTCTGCAACAAAAATTTTTATTCAATTGAAAATTTAATTTAAAAATTTATTTAAAAAATCCCAATTTTGAACTTAGAGCGGTGGTTCAGTGGCTTAAATTTAGAGTTAGCAAATGTGGCTTATTTGATTACATTTCGCATTACATCAGTTTTCATATTAAGGTTAAAAAATAATTATAGAAGTCCGGGAAGGTCGAGATTGGTTATCCAAGAAAGATCTCAACTACTTGGCATAATGTACCCAAAGGAGCAAGTGCCGCTGTTACATTTAAAAATCGTATGACTTTTTTAAATGTTACTAATAGGCAAAATGACTCTCCAGGAGAATTTTTCTCATTTTTTCGCAGTAATTCGAATTCCTTTCCAGTGGCACCTTCAATCTAATCTGACCTATTGACCACCACAGAATCACCACAAACTATTTAGGGATGTAGATAGCGGTAGTCCACAGCGCCACTCGTGTTTCATCTCAATGATAAATTTACTCGCGCCAAAGGTCAACAACTAATCCTATGCTATCAGCCAAAGCAACATCACGCTGCTTCCAGTAATTTGCGTTGTAGACTACGAAAGAATATGAATACAAATTTGCTAATAGTTGCACTGCTTTTTCATGTGTTTTTATTTTTAGATTTGTACTTCTTCGAAGGAACGAATGCATATAGATTTCACAGCATCAATATGAGTGCATCAGAAGCGATCTCTATTGCTCACCTGTGGAATTATTGTCCAGAAACTCCCAAATCACTATCTTGCAATCAGGCTAATCCTGTAGTAATCTTCACTGCCATAATTTTGCCATTTTCAATCTATTTCTGTTCAAATTAATTCGAAATTGTATATTTGTGGTCCTATGATTTTATCTAAAGCACACTTATTTTCATGTGTCTATATTTCTACTTATTTGCTAATAAACGTAATAAGTTAAAAAAAAAATTGTGGGGTTATTAATTTTAAAAAAAGGAAGTAAGATATTCAAAAATTTGCTAACTACATCGAGCAGTTTTGCTTCTCTCAAATTTCAATTAATGGATCAGAATTTTCAAAAAATTAAACCTTTCCAACGACCAAAAAAAGTTCACGAAAATAAACCAGTTGATTAATAATTCAGCATTTGATTAGGAAAATAACCTGAAGATAATCCTTTCTAATAGAATATCTGCACAGTAACAAATTATCTGAGAATGCCGTGCTCTAAATCATGCACACCACTTGTATTGAAATTTAACAGACATGAACCGAAAAACCAGAAAATTTTCAAAATTTTTATCGCATAATGCTTTCTACTGTAAATATCTTAATATGCGATTTGGTTTATTTTATCTGGTTTATTTAATGACCATTTTTTTGAAAGCTGCCTAGGAGAATTCCAGCTGCAGCTTTAATTACATTGTTATTTACCAAAAGTAAAATGTTTTCTTTATGCTAAAAATAATAAATTGTTTTTTTCAATAATTGTTTGCTACCATATGGGTCTGATAAATATAGCATAATGAACGGGGCATAATTCGGCATAATAGTACAGCACACGATAAAAAAAGGATAAAAACAAAAACATTCAATTCAGTTAAAAGAAAGATGTCAAGAATAAATTTCACATTGGAGTTTCATCAAAAAAAGAATTGAATTAAATCTCATTGCTGATTTTTATGGAACGGTAAATATTAAGAAAGCTTTTACAGATCATTCCTTGATGCTCCATGGAAATCAAACTTTAAGGAAAGTAATTACAAATTCATTTAAAAAATAACAGGTGATTTTCCAATTAGACCGGAAATTATTCTTCCATAACAAAACAACAAACGGTATATAATGAAAGTTCTAGAATTTCCTCGCAATATATTTTAATATTTCATTTTTGTATAATCCTATTATAAATAAATAAATAAAGATCTCAGATAAAAACAGATAAAAACATCGCACAATCTTCGGCTTAAATAGCAAGATTTTTTATGAGTTATTTAAAATATTTTAAATGAATTTGTCATGTTAAATGAACAATCTTAAACTCTTCCCGCAAATTCCAATTTTTTAAAATTTTTTAATCGAAAATTCAAAGAAGCCGTTATAAATTTAAGAAAAATGACAATAAATAAGAGATCATTTAGAATTAGGTGCCATTTCTTGCTGACGCATGGCACTGAAGTCTGTCGACCCTGCGTTGTGAGAATAACTGGTTGGTTCTAATGTTTGATTAGAGTCGCTATCGAACCCTCCTTCAGAAAAACCCAGATTTGAATCATCGTTTAAATTTTCAAAATTTCGAATACGTGAAACATTGCTATTCTCTAAAATAAAAGATTGAAAAATTCTTCTTTTTAATCTTCAACATCAATATTCGGAATTTTTCTTAAAAAATAACAACCTCGGCCAAATTTCAAGATATAATAGATCAACGGTTAGAAATCTCAAATAAAATGAACCAATAACCCAATGTAGTAGAATCACGAGTATTTTCACCAGAAAGAGCTGTATTATTTTCCTCGACAACAATCGTTGATTTTGCAGAAGCTTTAGGAATATTTGCTCCTGCAGTTACTAAAATAATTTATAAAAATAAATGAAAACAGAGTAAAATGTTCCGCCTGCATCATGAAAAGAAGGTTTAAGAACATACTTAAAATGACGAAAAACTTGAAAGAAAAATAAAACCCATTATATAATAAATAAAATTAAAGCAAATAAACTAACCTGGCATCCATTTATACATTTTAATTTGAGTATCTTTTAGAATAATCCATTTCTTCTCCCTGAAATGATGATAATCCTTGAAATTTTCAAAATACACTATCCCAACAAATTTCCCATATAATTTCAAATGTAAATCTCTCGCTTTGTAATCAAGTTATTTATTGAATATAACAAAGTGCAACATTATGCACTCGTAAATTAGAATAATATTCGCGAAATTTACACTAAAATTAAAGGCAATTATTGCATGTTCAGGAAATTCTCGCCGAAGATTTTATCAGATTAGCAGGATATTCATATTTATGATAACGAAATCTGCGAGTAATTGCATAGGATAAATCTTCACTGTACTATTGTACTATTCAATCCCTAACTCCATCTTTTATCTGTCATTTATTTCTTCCTTCCCATTATTCTATTTTATAAAATTAATTATTTATTGATTGTTAAAGGCTGATTATAAAATTAAAATTAAAAAAGCAAAATTCGATTCGATTCGATAAATTATGTCGCCAAAAATATTTTTTATAAGAGCACACTGCTGACTAGGTTCGCTCAGCTGGATTATCGGGCGATGTAAATTTTACTAGGATGATGTTTTAGAGATAGATATATAAGTACAGCTGAGTCACCAACATCACACAAATTTTTCAATATATTTATTCCTGGCGAATGTAGAACCTCAGCAACAACACATTAAGCCAACCATTCTATCTCCTCTTGCTTACTCAGCTAAAAGAAATTTTCGCCCGACGACGAACGTCAGCTGGATTCCAGCTCGAGCAATTCACAATACGCGATGGCAAATATCTTGTCGCTAAACCATCAACGCGCAACGCTTCGTCAGGCGGTTCCGTTTTAATATTTAACATTTTAATAAATAATTAATTATTATATTGATACTATTACAATGAAATTTCATATAAATTTCAAAATAAAAAAACTCATACCATTTGCGAACTTTATCTAATGAATTAATAACCCTTTTCAGTTCATCTTTTGCTCGATTACGCGTTTCAGCTCGTTGATTTCGTGCATACATCATGAATTGTTTGCAAGCCAAATAACATGAATAAATCTACAAGCTATCTCGCGATCTCTGTTTAATGCTGAAAAATAAGTGACACCGTGTAAATGCAATGAAAAAGTTTGTTTGTTTCACAATTTAAGTGGAAAATATCAGCTAAATTAACTCTTTTTTTTAACGAACTAAATAAATAATTAATTCGTCTATAGTCAAACCATCATAATTACTAATTCTCGATGAAAAGAGTATTAAACCTGCCATTAAAAGTGAAATTATCCGTACTATTTTCCTGTCCTCAGTACATTCATACTTCTATCATCACTTTCTGATGACGAAGTCCTATTCTAATAGCAGTGGAACCAACCAAATCTAAAATGATGAATGCCATTAGACTAAATCCTAGATTAAATCCTGCAACTATTAAACAGCTTAAATACGACAAATAATTCCAAAAAAAACAAATAATCAATCATTAAAGACTACACTGAGCACCTAAATTTGACACTACACTGAGCACCTAAATTTTCAAATATTTATTGAAAACCAGCCAAGTAGGGCGACAAACGCCATGAGGAGCAGACAGACCTATGCTGGAAAATAAACACGTATGAAATAAGTACTACAGTCTCAAATGGTATAACATCGGCGAGATGAGTGGCGGATGCTTAAAACTATAACACGTATGAGCCAATCAATTTAAAAATTTACATAAATCGAGGCTCATTCTTAACTCCACCATGCACTCTCCAGCCTTGACCTCATGTCACTGATCCCACACTACCCCGCGAAACTGACCTCGGCCCGACCCATGCACCTGAATCCGATCTGTTTCACCAATAAATCAAAATTCTTGCCCAACTTCATTTTTAATGAAATATCTTGTAATGAGCAACCGTCGAGGTAAAATACTGAAGACAGCTCTTCTTTGATGTTATAAACAATCGCAATAAAAACCCTCTTCTTTGATTTATTTACCCGACCCTTCATAAATTCCTTCGAAAATAAAACCAGACCAAACCACAACCCAGTTCCAATACACACTCTCCCTTATGCCACATAATTCATTCACACAGTAAGGAATCGAAATAGCGAAAATTTATGGTCGCGGCAAGATTTTTACGGCCATTTATTTTCTATTTCTTTGTGAACTATGTAGCATAAGATTATTTCTGGATTACGTTGTACACTTATCCCATGCGCTGGGAACATGTAATAATCGTGGATAAGTACACGTTAAATATTAATTTTGCAGCTGTCTTTTAATAGCCTTTTTGCCAATTTCTCTTGAAAGTTGGTAAAAAAAAAGAGATTTCAATATGAAAAAATGCATAAAAAGCTATAAAAAAGCGTGAATAAAGCTTATTAAAGGTGGAAATTTTGTTCGAGTAAATCCAGTGAATCGTGTTCGCAGCAATCAGAAGTTCGAAATCAGCTTGCTTTACCGATATTTCGACAGCAATAATTCTCATTTCCCTTATAACTATTATAGAATCACAGCAAATACGATAGATATATATACAATTATCTTCATTTTCTAATAGCTCTCACATTATTGGTTAAGCTCACTCCACTGGCTGCAAGGGTGTAAGACGCTTCCAAGCGGTGCGGTCTGATGCCATCGTCGACAGTAATGGAAACCATTACTTTTTCGATAGTCTAAGACCATATATGGTTGGTCCACCTATACGTTCAAAATCTTTTCTGACTGTATCAGTCCAGGTCTTGATTGGCCCACCTCGTTTTTGACGCCATCCATCACGGTTTAGCAAGTAGCGAAATATGCGACAACTCTTGTGGTGGACGACGGAGAATGTGCCCTCACCAGCCCAGCCGACGCTCTGTGATAATTTATTGAAATTTATTTATGGAAGTGTATTTGAACAAAGGTGGATCATGTGATATTTTATCCGCTCAGCGAATCCGTATATATTGCAATAATATGTAAAAAAATAATATCAGAACAACGGAGTTTGTCAAGTTCATAGGTCAATCATACTTTCCAAATTGTATAATTGAATTTGTAAAAATTAAATTTAGCATTAATCTATAGTATTTCGAAATTTCTACAGGTCACAACCATTAATCAATGATAAAAAATTTGCCTCCAAAATGGCTAATCACTGGAATCGCCAGTGAAAAATATTGTGAATGATCAGGTCAGACGAATTGTTCCTCAAATACTTCCCAAATGAACCATCTGAGAACCTTTAAAAATAGCGCTGCCGCTTGCACGAGGGAATATAATTTTGCTTTAAAAAATTCGCTGTCTGCTTCTAGTGCCAGCTTATTCCTATAAAAAAAACAACCTTATCAAGAGCTGCGAAGAATTCTTTTGTTGTATTTTATTTTCTGTCTCTGACCGATCTTGTTATGAAACAATTTGAACAATTTCTTCCTTAAAATTTCCTTAAAATCCTCAAACAGTCATTTTCTTAATGATTTTTCCTTTCTACTTCAAGCAAGAAATCGACTGCTCGCGCGACGAGTCGTTATGAAGTGGTCTTTTTTCAGAAAACTGAATCTTTGGCAAGACCTTCTTAATAGCTTCTTAACTGCTTTCCTTCACAAGCAGCGTAATTTTCTTCACTTATTTTATTTCTTCTGGTTTATTTTCTTATAAATTATTATTATTGCAAGTTGCTATTTAATAATTTTTATTCGATCATATCAAAACCTTCTTTCCAGGACAAAAAGAATGTTATGGCATTCAAGTACCATTAAGAATCTTTGCTTTATAATTTTTTATTTCATAAATTTCTTTATCATTTCGAATATTTTCACCTAAAATTAACAAATAAGAAAGAAAACAGAAATTAAACCAAAAAAATGGTGGCCAGAAAAAGAGCGAAAATAAAAAAAATATTGAAAGGTAAATTCAAATATAAAAAATTCATTTTTTTAAACCTTTTTTTGTGAATTTTTTTTCGCACTTAGTGGAGAAACCGTTTTAAATAATTGTAACATTGTTGACACTACACTGAGCACCTAAATTTTCAAATATTGAAAACCAGCCAAGTAGGGCGACAAACGCCATGTATTAATAACAATAGTTAAAATAACAAATGATAATATTTAATGAAAAATAAGAAAAAAGAAAATAAAAAATTAAACAATTTAAAGAGGAAATTACTAAGTAATATAATATAGTACAACTCGAAATAATTGTATTACATATAATCGGATGATAAAAGTAAAGTAAAAGTAAGTTTTAGTATTTCCTTTGATTTGACTTATTTTGACTGATTTTGCCAGATCGTTGTACATTTCTATTTCCTATTAATTCCTATTAAACTGGATGGTATATGGCTAGTAAGTCGATGAAACGTCCTGGCAAAATCATTCAAAATAAGCCAATGTCACCAAAGGAATTAAAATATACTTCGAATTTGCCTTAAAATTCGATAAAATCCGCAACGTCCTGGCAATAATGAAAATATAATAGGTAATAACGACTTATACCAACTGCAATTAACCAACCTCAAATAAATTGAATAGTGTATGATAAATGATATGGAGGGATCGACGAACCAGCGCCGTCAAACCCTTTGCTGTCAACAAACCATAAAAAAACAAGGAAAACCTTATACAATGGTGCCGACATTTGCCCCACATTAATCACATATTTATACAGTAACATAAATATGAAATAAAAGTCGAATTTATCGACTCCTGCATAAACAGAAGCTGGGAGAAATATTTTTTAAATGACCGTTGTCATTTCTGGTTCGACTCTTCGCATTTTTACCAAAAAGTCACATGATAACAAAAGTACGAGTCGCTATCACCATCTAAACTTTTCACTGGAAGACGGGTTTACAGGTGCTCCGGCGCCCCGAAAAAAGACCCACTAAGCCATCCCGCTCAATGATATATGGAATAAAATGTTCTAATTATTTACGCTTCTTTGACCATATGTTTAATTTGGTTTTGCAGATAATCTTAATAAACCTTCAATGCGTTAATTCAGCTCACACGCCGCTTCACACCTATCCTCTCAACCACTCATTTGCGACTATAAATAGAAATTGTAATTGTAATTCTAGAATTTCGGTATCGAACCACTATTAGGACTTAACTGGATGTATTAGAAATATAATTGGAAGACAATATTTCAGAGGAAAAATAAAAAATGGTAAATGCAATGCAATGCAAAAAATCGCAAACGAATTCTAACATCTATTGATAAAAAATTAACGAAGATTGTCGAAGAAGAAAAAATTTGTTAAGAACCATCAGTTAATCTCTATCAACCCAGACAGATGCGTTGGCGATTTAGTGGAAATAAATAAAAGCAAAAGAGAAGCCAACACATCCAGAACGACAAATGATACAAATGATGGCTAGACAGGAACCAATAGAGTAAGAAGCTGAGAATCCAGTATCTGAGATGAGAGCTGCTCAAACGAAGAAGATAAGAACTGACGAAACCCAAACATACAGACTAGCATAACAAGATTTAAAACTGGTCCACTTCAATGCTTTACATCTGCTGCCTTGACAAAAAAAACGATGAAATAATATGTTTATTCACAGTTCTTTAATTATAATTTTAATTTTTAACTTTACTGAAAATACATTGCAATAAAAAAAAAAATCAAAAAGATTAAAATTGTAATTAAAATTGTATTATGAGAAGCAGAATAATTTTGTCACAAACTTTTTATTAAATTTTATATATAAATCAAAAAAATGCGCTGTTAGGATGTCTGCCAATGGAAAAGAGAAAGAAAAAATTATATGCCATGTTCAAATTTGGCAAAAGCAAAAGTTGTGTTATAAGAAATTATCTCAAATTAAGAAAAATAAAGAAATTCATTCGTCTTCGCAGTAATTTTGTCCTTCGAATGGCTTTCTGCGATCTTTCTTCGTGATCCCTGAGTCAGAAAAATTCTCCCTCAAAATCTAAAAGTAATGCTCAAGCAAATTAAAAAGAAACATTTTCAACGTTATTTGAATGGAATGAATTTAATAATAATAATAATGAAGACTAAAGATAAATCTTACATCGTTAACGAAAATTTCATTTTCATCTTTAAACTTGCGGGCATTAAATAGAGTGTTCGGTGAAGAAATGGCGAAAGATGATTCCAACAAAGACTCACGGGTCTAAAATTTCAAATGCCATATATTATAAGAAATTTTTAATCCAATAAAGCAATTTTACTCGAAATCTCAAAATGTTTAAATTTTTGAAGTTGAAATTTCGTTACACTTATAACCAATATAAAGGAAACGTACGCAAAAACTTTTAGAAAACATACATAAAACAAGTTTTGCCTGATAGGTGTAGAATTATTACGCAGTTCTTCTACTAAATAAGCAGCATCTGGAATCGCAACCGGCTCAGCAAGTGATGATGGTAAAGTTGGTGGTGGAGTATCCCCTGAATGAATTTTCAAATAAAATGCAACATCGAAGAATATTTTTCAAAATCTTTAAGTTTGAAATCGAAAAAGAAGTGCAACTGAAATAAACTGAAAATAATAATATATTTGAAAAATTTAAACAATTTGAATGACTGCAATGTATTAAATTACCTTTGGATATATAATGATGATAATCAAATTTAATAAGCTGTTCTGTATCATTTTTCATTTTAACAACACATTGAAGCAAATCATTTGAAAATTTCTCGTTTTCTTGTGCCTTTAAATTAATTAACCAATGAATTTTCCAAAAAGATTGATTGAATTTTTTATATCAAATCAAATGTTATATGAAAGGTACTAAAGAAATATAAGGTTACAAAAAATATATCTAATAATATTAAATTTGGAAAACTCCAAGATATTACAAGTTTATCTGTTTCAGTCAAAACATTATTATTTATGTTGGTGACATCATCACATAAATTATCTATTTGGCTGTTGAGGTTATCATATCGCGCTGATGCGGAAGACAATACCTAAACAATTAGAATTATTCAATAAAAATTCAATAAAAATTTATTACAGCACGTTATAAATAAAATTTAGAACAACAAAACAATTGCAATAAGACAAAACAAAAAAATTAGAATATTTTTTCCGCTCAAGATGTTTTTCATACAATAGAGTCATTTTCGAATATAGCAAAATTGAATAAAATTTTTGATAATTTGAGAAGTTTGAATGACTGGATTGATAATTGAGATAATTGAAACAATCATCAAATGAAAATCTTAAGGTAAAAAAAAATTTTACATGCGAATAGAAATATACGCAATGTTAAAAAATAATTTAAAATAATAATATTGTTAAAAATATTATATGCATAAAATGCAAACTTATAAGCAAGTAAAAAAAATAAAAATGATGAGAAAATTAAACCTCTTTTAACTGTTGTTCGGATGTTGACGCTTCTTCTTCCACATATTGTCGCAAAAATAGAGTTCTGTTTTGAGCAGTCATTATGAAACTTTGATGAACCTAAGAAAATATAGCTGTTCATGGATAAAAAATTTATTAATTAGCAGTGGCACCACTCAACCAAACAATAACAAGAAAAAATTTCAAAAATTTGAATTTTCAGCTGAGATGAAAAGAATTATCATACATCATTAAACACAGGATTCAAATCTGCAATACATTTGGTAACTTCCAATCTTCTGGTATTAAAATTTTCCAAATCATCTATTGTTCCAACATATATATTTTTTTTCAATGCCTCAATTGTTTTATAAAAAGCTTTTTCCTCAGCCTTTTTCTGTATTCGACTATCAGCAATCGCATTTAATTTGGAAGAACAGCAATTCAGATCATTGATAGTTGATGCTAACTGGAAAAAAATAAAGACATTTATGCTGCTTTTCTCACTTTTGTAAAAAGAAAAAGATAAAGAAAAAAACGACGAAAAGAGAACATAAGTCGATTTGACAGAAATAAATTCTGAAAATGAGCCTTTTTTAATAATTTCAATTTTATATAATTTCTTAATAATAATAATAATGAAAATTAATTTTTATAATTATTTAAATATTTATACTTTCACAGGTTCACAGTCGACCGACAGGATAGCAAATGAAAAACAACCGGAAAATATGGAAAAAAAGCCACAAAAATGGAAAATTCTGAGAGAAAATGATTTAAACTCAAATTACTTAAATTACCCTATCTTGTGCGCTTTTAATCATTGAATCAATTTCTGTTTGGTTATTCTGCCATGCTTGGTACGAAAACAGTGCCTTCCTCTTTTCTTCCACAAGCTGCAGTTTTAAAATATTTCAAATTTTAAAATATTTTCTCCAAATCTCATCTCTCTGACTTAAAAAAGAAAGTGAAAAGATATGCCAAACCTGTTCATCAAAAGCTTTTGAAAATTCATTGAGGCGATTATGCATCTTCATCAATTGCGATTCCATAAAATCGCTCAGTTTTTGAATGCTTTCATTGTAATCGTGATGCAATCCTTCTAACTGATTCTAAAGATGGAAGGCATGAAATATATTTAAAATATATTTCAAATATGGAAAATAAAAATAAGCATTTGGCAAAATTTACAACCAAACATTAATAAATAGAAATCGAATGGCTCAGTGAACTGTTCCTTTCATAATCAAGCGTTTTACTTTCATCGCCAAGCAATTCCCTACCGAAATTTACCAGACAAGCCAACGTAGCGAAGCTGACCAGAAAAGGCAAAAGAAAAAAAAAATCGATAAATAAACACATTCAAAAAACTTACATTAAAATGTTCCAAAAATAGTGAATGTCGACTTTCAGCAGCCAATCTTTCCATTAAATCTAGTTTTAACTGTTCAATGCGTGTATTGACTTGTTTTTCTAATTCTTGACGTGCTTGCTTGACAAAATTATTTAAATGATTCCGATTGATTTTAACATTCTTTTCTATGGCTTCTGAAAATCAAATTAGAAATATGTGAAATATTAAATTAAAAAAATATTAAATGAATAATAAATAACCATAACGAACCACAATTTGAAATAACAGTTGATTTCTGATTCCAAACAATTTTATTCCACTCGCGAACATGATTATCAATTTGTTCAACGCTGCCATGCTGATTCGATCTATACTCCTCCAATTTTTCTTCATTAGCATTCATTATAAAAACTAAGGAATGAACTTTCTGGCACGCCTTCTCGAGACTTTTTATGAGCTTAAAAAATTAAAACAATTACTCCTTGTGTACTTGAATGAATTCCGTATTATAGAAAATATGCTAATAAGAAAATAATAAAATAATAATGCAATCTTAAACTTCTCATGAATATAGTTAACAATTACGGCAATATATAAATCTTAATTTTTTATATTTTAATTCAATAAGCATTCTATTTTTAATAATAATTGTCTTGAAACTATTATGTTTATATTTGATTCTATAATGACCTTTCTTATACATGTTAATTCATTTTTCTTCATATATTCTTGACACTGTCCGCCTCTGATTTAGATACTTTGCTATTGATTCCCGCATTATAAATAAAAGAGTCAGTTTTCATCAGTCATTATACTATAAACGGAAATCATGAATTAAATTAATTCTACTTAGGAACGCTTACTAGCTCAGGTTATTCCACTTCCTTTATCATAACTTTTTAGATAGTTTCCATAATTTTTTTCCATAAATGATACCTACCAATATGTTTTTTTTGATAAAAACTTTAAGGAGAAAAAACCTCAGCAGATTGATTATAACTAGAATTAGCTGCTCCTTGAAGTTTATGCAATGCGGATATGTGATCAGCCAAATACGCTTGAGTTTCCGCTAACTCCTACAAAACATATAAAATTCACCATGTCGATAAATTGAACAAAGACGAAAGAAAAGATAATAAACTTAAACTTTACCAATTTTAAGGAATTCATTTCATCAATACGTTTCTTTAATCTTTTTCCTCTATCATTGAAGCGTTCATAAATTTTGATATAATTTTGATCCATTACCGTTAAATCCTCCAAAAGCTATAAAAGACGATATTTTTACAAATATATAATTTTTGGTGATGAAGCATCGAAATAAGCGCAAAATGGAAATTAAATTAAAAAATTGATCATAGATTCTCAAATTTAGAAAGCAATATACCATTTTGATCTGACCGAGTGTCGCTGCCAATCGTTCACTTAAATCATCGATTTGTTCAGATTGATCTGATAATTTTATCTGCATTCCTCTTAAATTATAATTCATCAAATTTTATAATTTTAACAATGGCATTAATTTCATATGAAAAAAGCCATACTCATAATTATCCTTATCGAGATAAATTCCATTTTTTTCCCTGGCAGCTTGTAAATCTCTCTTTAAACGTTCTATTTCTTCATCGAACACCTTTAATTTATTGTTTTATTGTTTTGCTTTGCATTAGATAAATTTCAGCGACACATGAAAAAAATTAAACATTAATAAGCATCAAAGAGAAATGAAAACTAAAGATACTATGTTAAAATGGACTAATAAAATTTTTAAATTTTAAAAATTTTTAGGTGAAGAACCTTCAATATCCCACGTCGAGAAAGCTTTTGATTCACTTCCGGGTGATTTTTGATGTTTTTGGCGCGTGCAGCGTAATCTAGCGTGTTATAGCTTTCCTAAAATAAAATCCATTTTGGAAATACTAGATTAGAGAATTTAGATTAGATAAAACAAAGATTTTTTAATTAAATCGAAAAACTGAAGATTTATTTGATTTATTTGATTCAAACACATTAATTTTAACAATGGCATCAATTCCATATGAAAAAAGCCATACTCATAGCCAAAAGCCTAATTATCCTTATCGAGATGAAATTAAAAAATTAAATTAAAAAATTGATATTAACAAGAAATAAAACAATGTATAAAGTACAGTAAAAAGCCCACTTCTAAATTTGTCGATGAGGGCGATAAAGTGGCAATGATTGTTGTTATTGTCTTCCCCCCCAAAGAGTCCTGCAATATTCGTGTCAGCTTGCTTTCCCTAAAATCATATTTATAATAGTTTATAATATTTATAATAGTTCTCTAACAAAATACTTCTTAATACTTCTTTATGAAGAATGATTGAATAAATAAGCACAGGGATCGACTATAATAAATTAACCTGTAAGGAACATGAGATGCACCGGATGTTAGAGCAGTAATCACACGACCTAACGTTAGTAATGATTGATTGATATTCCCTAAAAATTTAAAAGAGAAGATAATATGAATTTATATACTATTCGGAATAGCAACATCGCAAAAGAGAACCTGCTTCACGAGCTCGCATTTCTACTGCACCTGATCGGCCAATATTCTCAGACCCTGCCAGATCGACAAGATATAATTTTCCTTGTTTCATAAGCTCTTCTCCAACAGTGGCACTTTCTCGCATTACAACAGTGACTGTGAAAACAGAATGTGATCGACTAAAATTTGGCTGTTTTTCCCCCCAAAAATAGCAAAAAATAATAGAAATTTAAAATTTAAACCTAAAATTTAACTTAACTTTTTAGAAAAAATTAAATCGTTCCGCGTTAGACTCGCTCTCTTGATTTGTCAGACCAGACAAATTTTATCAGGGAGTTGGTGACAGAAATGTAAGCTTCATTAACATCGTCCGGATTTTTGAAATACAGGTCACGAACATCGCCACTTGAAGTGAAAACAACCCGCTGAATTATTCCACCCCAGTATACAATAAAAAATTCACTTTTAGCGACCTTGAAGTCATATTCATTAAAGTCGCAATCATTTTTAAGGATGTTGAAGTCATGTTCATAAAAACGAAAGTTAGCATTTATATAGCCGTGATTCGTTCAATCTTGCTATATGGGTGTGAGACATGGCCAATGAGAGTGGAGGATATTAAGAAGTTATCTGCCTTTGATCATTCTTGTCTAAGTATATTTTATGAGTCCGTCGAGCGAATAAAATATCACATGATCGCACTAACCTTCGTTCAAATACCACTTGCATTAATAATATTATCATAGAACCTTTGCTGGTTAGGGCACGTTCGCCGTCATCCACCACAGGAGTTGACGCATATTTCGTTGCTTGTTACCCTATGATGGTCGCATAACGAGGTGGACCAATGAGGACCTTAGCTGACACTCTCAGGAAGGATTTCGAATATTTAAGCGGATCGGCAATATACGGACTTAGACGATGGAAAAAGAAATGGCTTCTATTACTGTCGACGATGGCATCAGAACGCGCCGCATGGAAACAGTTGACCCTTTGTAGCTAGTGGAGCGAGCCTAAGCAGTAATGGTGAGAGCTGTTAGAAAATGTATAGAAAAAAAATTTATTTTTAGGGACCTTGAAGTCATATTCATTAAAGTCGCAGCAGTTCTTCGCTTTTCGGCGCCTTTTCGCAACAAATTATAAACCTCATCCCTATTATGAACTGCGACTTCTTCCAGCGAAGATATTATAATCGAACCCTAGAATTTTATTAACCATGAAAAAAAAATTCAATGCATATTTGGCAAAAATTCATTCACAATGCAAATTCCAAAATATTGAAGGACAAAAAAGATTATCCACCTTTCGAATAGGATCTTCATATAACCGTAATCGTGTTTGTTCAATATCTGATCTTCCTAATAAATCATATAATTCCTCATTGTACAATTCTACATAAGAAACGCGAACAGAATAATCATCGTTTGGCTGAACAAAGGAAAATTATTCAATACTTTAAAAAAATTTTTTCTTTTCCTTTAAAATATTTTTCGTAAACCTGTTTCTCAAGTTGCGAGAAAACATGTTGTAAAGCACGTGGAATAATGCCAGCCGTTGTATCTGCTTTCCAGTCAAGATCCGCTTCATGAGAGTGAATTCCTTCCATCGTGTAGGTTTTCCCAGTACTTGTTTGTCCATAACTACAAATTGAGCAAAAAATAACTGCAATTATTACAACAAAAATACATTTAATTCAGAACAGATAAGAACTATAAACAAAAATGAGAGAAACAAACGCAAAAATTGTGCAGTTATATCCAGCGAGAACTTCTTGAACGAGTGGCTTTACCAAATCAGTATAAATTTCAAGCTGAGATGAATGCATCCCATATACCTGTACTTCACTTTCGTAAATTGAATTTTCTAATATATATCACGCTTTTTTCCACAAAAAATGATTTTCTATAAAATGCAGAAAAAATAAATAAAAAACAACTTTGTCGAAAGGACCGAATTCTTTATTGGCACATCGTTCCTTCACCATTATAGTTCGCTTATCTTCATAAGCAGTTAATGATATACGAGCTTTTTCACTTTTTTCAGTTTCATTCAGTGGTCTAAAAAACGAATAAAATAATACATGTAATTAGATCATTTTTCAAAAAAACCAACATATAAATAAAATTTATAAAATATATAAATTTTCTAATGCATATTTATGAATGTGCAAATATAAAGGTAATAACTGAATAAAGATACAAAATTATTGAAACATGTAAGATCCATAGAACGTAAAAAAACCTAATAAGTAGGTTCTCACAAGCAACACCATATTTCGCTTTTGCCGATGGGCTTTCTCCCGTTCTCCCGTTTAATCGAAACTATGATAGCTTGATCTTAGTCGAAGTACCCCACCACTTACTCATCTCTTTTTAATTTCCATTAAATAGTAAATCGCGTTCGATTGCATTATGTAAAATAAAAACCGAAATTGAATAAAATAAAAAAGTTGAAAATAACCGAATTCGAACGGCAACTTGTACATTTTTCTTCTTCGAAACACTTTTATTTTTCTGTTGCATTATTACTGAAAACATAACATTTATTTAAACTTTACGATCTAAAATGAAGTGAAATTTAAAAAATAGTTTTTTAGGTATTTGAACCAACTAATACAATCGAAAAGTTGTAATTTCTTTTTTTTCTATCGCTTATTCTATCCTCGATCTTTTCATTCGCTCTTGAATTATTTTTTCATTAATGATTAAACCGTCAGAGGATCAGCATATAAGCATTTCTTGCAAATTTGAGGATTATGCATCCTCTTTGTTTTTTTTTTAAGACAGCTCGTTAGACTTACTCCGTTGCCTTGCTAGACTAGACAAATACGCCAGGGAGTCGCTTGGCGATAGAAGTGCAGGTGAGTGGCGGCATCACCCGGATTTTTGGAGAGATTTGCTCCTGCGGGGGATCGCATCGCTGCGCCCGCCCGCCAGACCAAACAAATATGGCGGGGAGTCGCTCGGCGATAAACGCAGAGCGTCAAATTTCTTTTAAGAAAATCTTCACAGCAAAAAATGCAACAAAACCAATTTGCATGAAATACTATAATTTTTAGTGAAAATAAAATTGAAAATTTACGAAAATTACCGAAGTTTAAAATGTGAAAAAAAGAAACAAAAAGTTTATATGAGTTTAATTTTAAAAAACGCTACAATTAATTTCAGAAATTAAATATAAATTTAAAATTTTAAAATTTTGCATTTTTTATTTTCAAAATTTAAATTTGCCAAAACCGAATTAATTCATCGCGAAAATCTTAAAATTTCTAAAATTTGATGAATTTCAGGAAAACCAAAGAAACGAATTTTGGAATGGATAAGTTTAAAGAAAATTACGCCGTTATGGGAAATTCAAATTTAAATTTTCGCGCTTAAATTCGACATGGTCGATACAAATAAAGTTCGTGCACTCCATTGTTCCTACTTCAGAGGATTTTTTCCACATATTTCGCTCCCTATCAGTTTTTCTGTCACATCCCATCAAAATTTGTTGTTGAAAATACTAATATAAACAATTTTAGCATTATTACTTCAAGGCTCAAGATAAGTTGGGTTATTGTGCTCTAAAGATTTAAAAATATTCTTGAATGGATTTCTCGGAAACGGTATATTGTAACAGCAAAACTAACAATACTTTAAGGCTGGCACGTAGGGATAGGTGGTTTCTGAGAAAGGGATTAGAATGGTGTTGATAAATTATAGCAATTTTAAAATTGTACTGTGGAGCTTTGATGTCATTTACAATTCTCTTTTGTATTCTGCGCTATCGAAACATATGTGGTATAGCGTAAATCTTTGCATAATAAATAAAAATATTTCTAATTTCTGTCAGAAGAAAATTTTGAATCATTTTTGTCGTATTACCAAAATCCAAAATTATTCCAAGGCGACACATTGAACCGAAGAAGGGAGCTATGCACGAACAGTATGATGAAGTTGATGGTAAAATTATGGACACTCCAAGGCGCTCAAGGCGTCTCGCATCTTTAGAACCTGAAAATGTTGAAGTAATCGTTACTCGAAAAAGTATGCCATTTGACTAATTTAGGGTTGAAATTACAAGAATATTGAAGATTTAGAAGATGTAAGCATCGATAATTTAAGGGAAAAGTTCGTCTATGAGAGAAAAAAGTGTGGAAAGCGCTAGTAGCGTGGACTCTTCGATTCGAAATAAATCTTGTCGCCAGCGGCTAAATGAGACTTTGTTAACAGTAGGTGTTTAAAGTTTGCTAAATGGAAAATATAGATTCGAAATATTATTTTATTTTCTCTTCACATTGTTCAATCCAATAATTATCTAATAAATAATAGATCTCAAGAAAAGAATTTCATATGTGGCGAAAATTTGATTCTCTGCTCTTCACTGTTTTTTTTGTTCCTTCTTTTAAGGTAATTGAAAATTTTTCTAGAAGATAGTCGAAAGTGTTGAAGATAATGGAGATGATGAAGCAGTTGCTAGTCGAACAAGATCCCATACATTGCTTTCTCAAGGTAAGACTGAGATTGGTCAATGCGAGAGGTTTTGATGGATTTTAGAAAAATGGAAAATCTTTTCAATAAAATGCGATATAATTAATTTAATAACGACTTTATTTATATTTGCTTAACTAAAAGTTTTTATTAAGCCACTTCATCTCAGCCAAGAAAGAATATGGAAAAGTTTGTTTTGGTAAATACAGAAACGATATCAGCATTCAACGATGTCAGTATTTTAAGAAAATTAAAAAGATTTAATTTTAAGAAAATTCTTTTAATTTTATTCCGTTCAGAAGGAAATAATTAATGAGAATTATGTAGGAAATGGAGAAAGAGGAGCATTCAACGTCAAAGGAATTTACCACAAAAGGTTTACTGAAAAAGGATAATCACTTATTAACTGCTGGAGGATTACACGAGTCAAAAATGAACCCATTAGAACCCTCAAATGAAATATCTGTTAAAGACGATTCTCCAAGGGAAACGCATAAATTTATTAGCACTTTTAACTGCTCTAAAATGATTGAGAATGATCAACAGTCGCATGGGGATTCAAAGAATACAGAACGGGAAAACTTTATTGAAAAATTCGCATCAGATCTATCACAATCTCAAGAATCTCTTGAGAAACATCGGGGAAATCTTAATGACAGCGCCAGTGCATCGCAAAAGTCAAAAGTCTCACCTTCGAATCAAAAAGTTTCGAAAAAAAATATATTGGATAAGTATGATCTTTCTTCGGACAGCCAGAAGCCTGATTTCTCTGCATCATCTAAAGGAGGTTTCGATATTAATGGATGTTGGCCAGATATCAGTGATGCGGCTTCTTTATGGATTAAGTATGTTACAATTTTTTTTTGATAGATAGAATTTTATAGGATGAACCATTAATTTTCTTATTTTTGTATTTTATCAAAGTTAAAGATGATAGCAAACCAACCTAGGAATTTAAGATAGGCTAAATTCTCCAAAATATTTTTTTTTATTTAATTGTAGTGTGTATATTTAATTTTATATCTATAATATCTCTAAAGTTAATGTTTAACATGCAGATCTCAACTAAAATGAGAAATAAGAAACATTGCTTTTGTTTTTTAAATCATCTTTTTTTATTAATTTCTTTTTAGTCGTAATGAATCTTCTCTATTAAATAATTTGAAAGCTGCTTACTCTTTTAATGCCAATATCGATGGCAAAATAAAGTTATTGACAAATGATTTAATTACCACCAATCAAGAAGTTGTCTGGCAACAAATTGCTTTCCTAAACAAAAGGCTTTTGCGATATTTTTCAAAGCAAAAGGTTTGTAAAGTTCGTTCATTAAATCGCTTCAACGTTATTAATTTAATTTTCTTTCTTTCATATTTCTGTTAAGAAATTCTTCTTTAGTTTTATCTTCGACAATTTACGATTATTTTAATGAGAACATATTAAATTTTAGTATTTACTAAATAGTTCTGTACCAACTACCAACACTTATTTATCGAAATCAGCACAAAGCGACAATCATAATTTGGAAACCAGTTTCATTGATGAGAATATGGAAGATAATCAAAATGATATGACTGATACCGAATCAGAGGATTTGTTTAACTTAAAAGAAAATAATTTAGCAGTACTTTTAAAAAACTTTTTCAGCTCATTATTTTTCATTTTACTTTAAATTTTCTTTTATTGCATCGTCTAATATTTCCCTTATAGTAAAAAATCTATAGGATGTGGATAGTAAATTGCCAGAAAAGAATGAAGAATTATCAAACGAAAATATAAAAACAAAAGACTTGAAGAAAAAATATAAATATGCTAAATCGTCGGTTGATGATCGCTTTTTTTCATTAGCTGAGATGGAAGATTTTCTAAATAAAGAAGAACCAACATGTCAAAGGGAAGTTCTTGAATCAATTGTTAGTCTTTTATTAGTTATCGAGTGTAATCTTTTTTTTTTAAATACATTATTAATTAAACTTAAATTCTTATATTAATCCAAACATTTTGTCCCACATTATAACTAAAAAACTTGCCATAGTGCTATACCATTATCCACTTTATCCAAGAAGTTTTATGGAAAGAAATATTATTTGGCATATGTAGAACAGTCATACGTTTTAGGATGATGATGATAATAGTTCTGAACATTTTGCCGATTATTTTCATGAACAATTTTATGGCGATGACAATGCAAATGGTGCACGTGTTGACCGAAAAGTATATTTCTCTCATGATTCATTAAAAGAAATGCTTTTAAAATGTTTTTGAAATACGCAAATGTTCAGGTGGTAAGCGAGAAGGAAAAGGAGGGTAGAAAAAAAGTCAGATTCGTTGTCGAAGCTAATGAAAATATTAAGAAAGGAGATAATATTAATGAAATAGAGAAGGGTAGGTCTTTCATTGATGTTTAATTTTTCAAAATTTTTTCAAAATATTTATAATTGGCTCAATAAGCAGGTTACAACATTATTTGCTGTATTGTTTCATATCGAATTTTTAAAATTATATTATTAAATTAAAATTATATTAAATTCTTAATTCAAACATTTTGTCCCACATTATAACATCTAATACTTGCCATAGTACCAACTGATATATAGATAAACGGATTCTTCTTGGAGTCGTTGCTTCTGATGATGATATAGAAACGGATTTTCAGAAGTACCAGAAAAAAGTAATTCAAAGTTATTTTTATAAAAAGTAGCGAAAACAAAATTGTTATTAAACAAATCAATTTATTTCTTATTTTAATTTATTCAGTTTTTGGATAAAATCGTAAATTCATAATTTATAATATAATGTATATAATATATAATAAAAATTGTAACATCAATTATTGTAATATTTCAGCTTCGGAAAAAAATATTCGAGTTGGAAGAATCGAATTTGGCACCGAAGAGTTGGGAATTAAGTGGCGAAGTTACTGCATTTAATCGTTCAGAAAATGCTCTCCTGGAACAGCACATTGATTTTGATCATGCGGCTAAGCTTCGTATGTTTTTCTTTGTGATATCTCAGTACTAAAAGATTTTATAAGAATAGATCTTTTTTAATCGTTGATTTAATTTAAATGATCATTGTAATGACTAATTTATAGCACCTTTGGTTACTGTTGATACCACCAGAAAGTTGGAATCAATGATCACTCAGAGAATAAGAGATAAGGTATATAAAATCTGAAGTTAAAAGTGAATCTTAAAAAATCTTTTTCCATAGTTTTGAATTTAAATTTATTTCCAGATTTTTGATGATGTTGAAAGAAAAGTACGAGAATCAGAATCAGAAGTGAAATATAGAGCTGCGGTGGAAGAACAATATACTAAGAAGTCGCTTGTTGAAGTTTATGAAGAGCAATACCAAAAGATACATGGAGTAGTAAGAGTTATTTGGCATGATAAAGGCATTGTTGGTCATGTCAAAAAATTCTTATCGATTTATTTATGATTTATTTCTTTTGATTTCAGGTAAATGAGGGAAAAGTCGATGAGAAAGTGATAGAAATCGGAAAAATGATGAGTTCTCTCTTCAGAAAACTTGATGCACTTAGTCATTACAACTATATTCCCCCAGAGGTTTATCTGATTTTTATCTTATATTTTAAAAATGGTTGTAATTTTCCGTCTCAAATTAAGGCACAGTCTGAGATACATATTGTTAACAATATGCCAGCATTACAAAGAGAAGAAGTCGGTCCAACAGCATCGACCAATGAAATGCTCATTGCGCCTGAGGAAATCAAGAAGCACATTAAAGGAACTCTCAAGAATAAGGATGAAAGAAATGAAACGGACCGCGCCCGTGAACGACGTAAGAAAAAGGTGTGCTAAGTTTTTTGATTAATTTATCGGCGCATGATTGGAGCTTAAATAACATTTATTTTAAAATTTAAAATTAATTTTATGTTAAATTTAATAAATTTAAAATTTAACTTAAAATTTATTTTTGTTAATCTTTATGAATTATTTATTGTGAATAAGCTGAATTTTTATGAATTTTCATATTTAAATTTTAACATGAATTTTTTTTTTTCTTCAGAGGGCTTTGCATTTGAAAAGGTTGAAAAACTCAGTCTTTATTGATCGGAAAAAAGATAAAAAGGTCGAAAAGAAAATTAAAAAATGTAAAGAAAAGAGACTGGAAGAAAGATCAGTAAAATCCAGCAAATTCTTTGAACAGTTGCAAAGGACGACTGCTGATGAGGTGTTTTTAAATTTTAATCTTTTCAAATTGCTATTCAGATTTTTTTTTTACATGAAAGATCATTTCTATATGAATTTATTTAATTTATTTTTTTAGATTCAAAAAAAATCTATGAGCAAAATTGGTAGTAAAATTAACGCTAGCGTAAAATATAAGTTATGATGGCGAATATTATGTTTTGATGATGTTTATCCACTGTTTTATTGTTTCTATTTGGTAATATAAAAGTTTTTTTTGAATATTCATTCTCGTTTAATTGAACTTGTAACGGATAATTTAGTTGAAAAGTTATTAAAAAGTTACGAAATAATATTTAAGAGTAAAGCATTAAAATATACATCAAAACGGCATTTATAATGATTCTTTGAAATTTAAAACTGTTTTGGTCCTTATCATTCAATTTTTCAAATACTTCTATCTAAAATAACTGTGGTCAAAAAAGTACAGAAGGATGGTATTAAAATTTTAAGTTGATTTGACTAGGATCGAGACCACGAACCCCATTTGCATTCTTTGGCAATTTGTTATTAAAAGTGAAATCCAGGTGTTGTTGAGGAATGATTTGTCTTCTAAGAAAGAGAGGATGTTTCTTCCTATAATAAAGAGGACCAGCCAAACTAAAAATAATCTTTGTTGTGTTCCCTGTCTTTCTTTAGCATTAGTAAAAGGAACATTTTTTCCATTGACCCTTTATAAAAAAAATATTTTGAATTTTATTTTTCTCATCGACCATCTTTTTTGTTTCCCGATGATTTCGCATATTTGCATGGAAGTTAAAAAAAGATTTTTAACTAAATACTAGGTGGTAAATCAAATTTTATAAATTTCAAAGTAAAGTTTTACATGGAAATGAGGATTTTTGCAGCGAGCGTAGGCACGTTTTGTGATGATATTTTGTTCAAGATAGTATATGAGTGAAGGTAGATGCAATCATATGGGGTTTTATTCGCTCGATGATTGTGTAAATATACCTTGGATATGAGCGGTCAAAGGTTGAGGTCGAGATAAAGGTAATTTCTTAAGATCTTCCACTATCATTGCCACTATAGAATAGGATGGTGCCTATTGCAAATAGGTGCGAACTTTCAATTTTTAAGGTTATTTCGCTGCGATTCTAAGGGTTTTTACCAGACGAAAAAACATAACTCTAAAACATAACTTATTCGACCTGTACTTTCTCCTCTCACCATTTGATATAAGAGTGGATCCAAGATACTTGACGTTTGCCACTTCTTCAAGCCGTGAGTTGATAAAAAATAGGTATTTTATCAACGTCTGGTATGTAAGACGAAAAGGCTTGCCTTATTTAAACTGATCCCGAGTCCGATTTTGCTGCAATTTTCGAGATATCTACATCTCTCGCATTCTTTTATCAATGTCTTCTAGACCGATTATCAAATTTCTTGAATGCAAGTAAGCATTAGTCATAATCCAGTCTATCATAATGTTAAGTAGGAGAAAGGACAGTTCTGATGGACCAGTTCTTGTTTCAAAACGATCTATCATTAATTCTCCAAATATACAAACCTGTACAAGATAAACGCTGCTAAAATGCCTTTATGAGAGAAATGGTTTTCTCTGGAACATCGTCGCACTGCATTGTCCTCTAGAGGGTTGCTCTATTAATTGAGTTGAGAACATCGGCAAAATAGATCAAACAAGTGATGATAGGGTTACCGATGGTTACCGTTACAACACCTCAACTCTTTTTAGAGTGAATCTTTGGTCATATCCACACTTAATTTCACTCCTAAATTTAGCTTAGTTGTGGCACTTTCTGCTGCCTTCTATTGTCATCGTAAATCTATTCAGCAAAAGGGAAGCGAAAATTTTCTTAGAGATGTCTAGTAGGCTTATTCCTGAATAGTTGTCTTATAATTCTTCTTGAGGTCTGGAAGTAGGATTGTTTCGCTCACGTCATTTGCTATTGGTGTTCAATGATAATTGCCACCGAGAATCGAGGCTTACCTTCGAATCGGCCGATGCATCATGCTTCGGGCGACAGTGTCGCTTAGCGATGAAAGCAAACGAGTAGAATGGCTCAGTTTTCCTCAATTCGAAGCGTCGATGCCGAGGTTTTATTACCAGCCAGGAGTAAACCTGTCCTTCAAAAATCCAGGTGGCGGCTCATTTCTATCATCAAGGGACTCCTTGATATATTTGTTTAGCCTGACCAGTCTGCAGTTGGAACATAGGTTATCTGAAAAGTTTCTTGTATTTCGTGAAATTTCACTAGATGTTCTCTCCGATGCTGGAAACATATATTGGTGACAAAAGTCCATACTTTTAGGCAAAACATAGAAGGATCTTGCTCATTTCGGGTCTTGCTCGCACAGTAATTGCATAAGACCTGATGCAAAAAAAAGCCGACATATAAATGCTATATCCACAGAAAATATCGGGGCCTAGGCGCGCTTTCCAATCTCCTTTGATATTTACCATGTCACTTTTAGGCAGGATTTTTGTTAACAATTGGAAATTTGTATCCTGTATCCTGTCTATATTATCGTTATCTCGTATAAAATAAAAACGCAAACGCATACAGATGAGCGAGGCATTGCAGAACGTTTTCTGAAGCGAACATACACTAGTATTAACCGACTTAGATTCAATTAGAGCAGATCGAGTTTTTTCAGGTATGCAAATCGTTCCAAATTATCCTAAACACCACAATGGTACAATCTTTTCTCTGAGCCAGATGCAATAATTGCATAAAAGACGAAGTGAGGAAGGCGAATTCCGAAAAGCGAACGATGATCACATGATATTTGGACAAACTATGGAAGCTTATCGTGGACGATTATCGTTGACGGTTGATGATTATTAGATATTAGCGATGAAATTCATCAATTTAAACAAAATGATGCTTTTTCTTCTTCTAACAGTTCTCACCATTACTGGTTAGGCTGGCTTCAACGGCTACAAGGGTAAGGGTAAGAAGGGTAAGGGAGCTTTCAAGCGGCGCGGTCTGATGATTTCGTCGACAATAATAGAAGCCATTCCTTTTTCCATCGTCTAAGTCCATAATATATTGCTGGTCCATCTATACGTTCAAAATCTTTCCTGACCGTATCAATTCAGGTCTTGATTGGCCCTCCTCTCTTTTGACGCCATCCGTCACAAGGTTTAACAAATACGTGACAATACCTGTGGTGGGTGACGAAAAACACATCTTAACCAGATTGTTCAGACAATGTTCTATGATGGTTAATATTGCAAGTGATGTATGAGTGAAATCGGATGCAATCATATACAATTTTTCCTCTTGGCGCACCCGCAAGATGTATCATAGACAAGTGATCAAAGGCAGTCTTGATATTTTCCACTCTCAATGGTCGGGTCTCGCATCCACATAGCAAAATCGAATGGATATCAAGTCCGACTGGATTACGGAGCGTTGACCTTATAAGCAATTGTGTCGAAAAGGCACTTTTTTCATTAATCAACAAAATTGAAAAAAAAATTTTTTCTATTGGTATATGATAATATTAAATTATTATCTTACAATTTATTATTTATCATCTAGGAATCTACGAATCGTATAAGTCTTTTTTTTAAATTTTTTTTTCTCTTATTAAATCATCTCCAAACTTGTCTTTAAATTTATTTTAATTATCTCTATCCTTTGTCTTTGAAAGGAGTAAACTTGTCATGATGTCAAAAATCCGGGTGGCCGCTGGGAACCCACCTATATCTCTATCCCCAATTGACTCTATGGCGAAAAGAACAGGTCTCTTTCATCCGACGTCCGCGTCTCCCGAAGCGCATGCTGTTAACAACATCCCTACCGAGAGGTAACATGGTCATACTCGGGAGAGACTGGAATGCGCGCGTAGGTCATGATGCTGTTTCGATGAACTCGGTGATTGGCAAATATGGCATGGGGACCCAATGCGCCAATGGATAATCCCTTCTTTTGGCATCGATGGAAATATCTAATCACGTGTAACTCTCCGAACAATCAATATTCTGATCAGATTGACTATATACTGATCAGTTACCATTGGATGAGTTTTGTATTTGATAGTCGTCCTTATCGGGGTGCTGAAACTGGTGACTGAATCTGCGCCACCATGACACGTTATAGTTCGAGCCAAGATTTGTAACAGGTTAACAAGTTAAATTGACAAGTCATAAGAAACAGCTTATCCCAAGATCTTTCAACTATCTCAAATTAAAAGATAAGCGCATTTCGCATTATTGAAATATCTCAGTGAAATGAATGTCAAGATATCTCTGGAACAGCGAATGAATATTGGTCCCAACTAAAGATATGCCCACAAAAATCAGTCAATTCCATATTATGGTAAAGTAATAGTAGGAAATGCGCTAGTTGGGTGTCGGGAGCAACTGTCTAATTGTCTGAAAAAGCTGCCAAAGCCCGAATATTAGAAGATCCTAACTATCGGGTGCTTCGAAGAATTACAAAGATAGCACGGCGAGGCAGAAATCGCTGTTGTATTGAGAATGGAATCGGCGGCTCGGATAGGTAATAATAGGGAACTGTTTCGCCTTCTCCGCTAAAACTCAACTATAACTCAAGAAGGGGTCAGTAAAATGATACGGGATATTAATGGGCTGCCTATTAAAGCTGTCAAGATTGCCTCAGAAGACAGAAAATTTTTTGAAGCCAAACTTAACCACGATGCATCATCTATTATCCCGAATATAATTGATTTGCCCGTCGAGCCTTACGTTTGCAACTGTGAGCCGCCAATAGAAGAGGAAATATTCTCTGTAATCCACAAGTTTAAGTCTAATAAAACTCCCGAGAAGATGGTCTTCGGATTGAACTCTTTAATTGTTGTCCATTGTCTTTCATGACACACACCTTCAATAAATGTACTATCTGGTATGGGAAAAAGAAATATTACCAGATAACTGGAGCAAAGCAATTCTGCTCCCAATTCTCAAGAAAGATGATAGGACAATTACCAAGAAATCAGCCTACTGGACATCTCCAGAAAAATTTTCGCTTCTCTTCTGTTGAATGGACTCATGACAACAAGAGATAGCAGAATGCGTTCTAACCAAGCTGGATTCAGACTGGGACGCGTTGTGCTAACCAGATACTAACGCTAAGAAGTATGCTGGAACATCGCTACCAGCAACCCACCGTCTCTTGATTTATCGATTTTATAGCTGCTTTCGATTCGATTGATAGAGAAGCGTTTTGGAAAGTGATGGAATATGATGTCCCAGAGGAGACCATTCGATTCATAAAGGCATTTATCAGCATACCCTGGCGAAAATCTGTGTATAAGGGGAATTGACAAACTAAATAAAAACTGGTGTCCGTCAGGGCTGTGTCCTTTCCCCCACAATATTCATCTATGCGGTAGACTGGGTAATGGACACCACTTGTCGGCATTTAAGGGGTGTCCAAATCAGTCCAAAGCATCGTATCACAGATCTTGAATACATTGATAATATAATCCTTTATGCTGACAGTTATGATGAAATGCGAATAATACTAAATAACGTGTCAGCAATTGCAGCGAGAATCAGACTCAGAACCGGCATTGTAAACAAAAGAAAGGCTTTTCGTCTTGCAAGAAGTTGTGCAAGAAATGTGCAAGAAGTTTATAAAAATGCCTTTTTTTATAAATTCATTGTCGATTGAGGAAGTGCACGATTTTAAATACCTTAGGACCACTCTAATACCAAATGGCCAGGCAAAAGTCGAAATTAAAACCGGATAACAGTAGCTAGAAATGCGTTCTTCCATTTTGACGAATTTATGGAGTCGTCTCAAAATCAGTTAAAAACGAAATGCCGTGTCTATATAGCAGCTATTCTTTCGATCTTGCTGCGAGATATGGCCAATGAGGGTGGAAGATATTATCTACCTTTAAGAAATTATCTACCTTTTACCCTTCTAAACCACGTTTTATGAGTTCTTCGAGTGGTAAAGATTGCATCCATCTCCATTTAAATACCACTTGTATTAATATCATCAAAGATCTGCGCCTTCGCTGGTTAAGGCACGTTCTTCGCCTCTTACCACAGACGTTAAAGTGGCGAAAACAAATTACAAGATCATCTTACAAATATTACAAATTAGAAGATCGTCTTCTCTTACCAGATTCTAAATTGCTAAATATAATTCACATGAAAATGCTAGAGATAAAAATGAGAAATGAAAAATTTGCCACTAGAAAAATTACGAGACTTTATACATGGAATGATTAATTTGCCGAAATTATGTTAGGAAAATACGTCGAATGTCAGAGAGATCCAAGAATGAAGCAGCCAAAGAAGCCGAATAGGTGCAACACAAATTACGAAGAGTTCTCAAAATATATCGACCCTGCGACTACAAATATTGAAAGAAAATACGAATTTTGTAAACATTGTATCGCGTTGTACGAATGTGAAAGAGTAAAAAAAGAAGGCTTAAGATAATCCAAGAAAAAAAAAATTATCCCTTAATGGTACAATGCACCAAGAATACAAAATGATTGCACTATAAAGGAAATCATTTATCAGGACCGAGAGATTTCAAAATCTCAGTATTAATCACTATTTGTGTAAACATCTATATAGCCGTGATCCGTTCGATCTTGCTATGTGCTTCTGAGAAATGGCCAATGAAAGGATATTAAGAAGTTATCTTTGACCACTCTTGACTAAGGTACATATTACGGATCCTTCGAGCGGATAAGATATCACATGATCGCATCCATCTTCAAATACCACTTGCTTAAATAACAGAGCGCCGCCTTCGCTGGTTAGGGCACGTTCTCCACAGGAGTTGATGCATATTTCGTTATTTGCTAAAACTTGTGATGGTTTGTGTTAAAAGCGAGGTGGGCCAATCAAGACCTGGATTGATACGGTCAGGAAAGATTTTGAACGTATAGGTGGACCAACCATATATGGTCTTAGACTATGGAAAAAGGAATGGTTTCCATTACTGTCGACGATGGCATCAGACCGCACCGCTTGGAAGCGCCTTACCCTTGTAGCGTTGGAGCCAGCCTAACCAGTAATGGTGAGAGTTAGAAGAAGAAAAACTGCGACTAGATGCGGCCTTTCCTTTTTATAGTGATTTCGCGAAGAGTGTGGGAAATTATCCGAAATCCGAAATAATTGTATCATTAAATTATTCCGAAGTAATTTTATTAAAATTATAAGCGTTTTTTTCGTTTCGTCCGATCAGCTTTTATCTTTTGCTTCATTCGTCGTGTTAATGTTCAATGTTGGCTTTTTTCATGGCAATTTCGTAACATGTACTTTTTCTTTCTATTTTTCATTCGCTATAGTAATATCTATATATTATTTCGCACATCGTTCTATTATATTGCTAACTGGGAAGTAATAAAACTTACAACTAGCTGTACATGCTAAGTCCAATTTATGAAACCATCGACGAATACATAAGTCATTCCTTTCAAAAATTTTTTGAATTTAACAAATGAGATAAGGAAACTTGTAACCTCCACAATGATAGGAAATATTAAACATGTAAAGGAGAAATTTAAAATGCCCCCTCACGAAATAAGGGCATTAGACATTAAACTTCTAGAACGAACTTCCAAGTTCCTTTGTTTAATAATAAAAGAACGACTTCAATTGTGGGAAACCAAGGGATGATTCCTCGAAGAAAAAATCTTGCGATTGTAAATGTGCCTCAAGTTAATCATCACTGAACGGCAAATGGATTGAATACACACAGAAATTTCTTAATGTGACAAGGAAAAAAGAGAGAGAAAAATATATGAAGTAACAAAAGGGGAAAGAGAAATCTTCAGGTTGAAGCAATGAAGCGATCATCACGTTGACCATAAAAAAGAGATGGAAATGGACAATGAAATGGAGAAATTGATATTAATCTCGAGTTCGATCCAAATACCATCTAAAGAATCACCGAGGACAATTCATTACCCAAATATTAATCTCCCTTATTGTCCTTGTCCACTTTCAGTGATGATCCACGACATTGGAGAGAATTTCGAAGCAGTTTTAATTCCCAAGCTTTCAGTCCCAGAAATCCAAAAATTGAACTACTTATTTGTACCTAAAAAGGACCAGCATTGCAAGCTGTAAGGAGTTATGGCATAGACCCAGAAAATTATGAAATCGTACGGGAAATGCTCACCGAGAGACCTAAATCAGCCACTCAAGCGCAGTTTATATGAATTAACGATGATGAGATTATCGAAATATGCACTAATGTAGTCGAACGTCTTATCAATGAATTACATGTTGTTAAAATACCGATAGCTGATCAAACGATCAATTTAAAAAATTATTGGAGACGACCCGATATCTTAATTGGAGCGGACCATTTCTTCAAATTTGTAGAACTGAACAAAGTCGAAAAAGATTCCCATTACTTCATACGAAAGTTGGACCAATGATTGTGGGAAATGTCGACATGAATCAACTTTGCCAAGCAGGTACGACACATACTTCTGATACAATTTGTGTAGTCACCTTAAGCTCTGGGTCAGAAATAAAAAAGAATTTGAATGTTAGCGAATTTCTTTTTAATGATAAAGAATTTTTTTTTTAATGATAATGAACAACTTTAAACCAAAAGCGATCAAGAATAATTTTCTTGGCATTAATTGGATGCATGATTTAGATATTATTCGTACAACTTTAAAACCATGGACTGGTAAACAAATCACTAAGAGGACTATTTTGCAATTCGTCTTCTCGCAATATGATCCACTGGTTTTCCATAATCCCAACAGTGATTTCATTCAAATTATTTCTTTTTCAACATTTATGGAAGAAGAACAGATCAATTTTTAACCCAAGAAGATGAGCAACAATGGTGCAAGATGATCAGGAAATGGCTGACCAATGTAATCGATTTACCGGGGTTTGTGATAAATTTCGTAAAAAAATTGGAGAAACACATTTACCGATGCATCTAGCTTTGCATACGCAGCAGCAGTTTATGCTCTCAAAAAAGTTTCTTCTCTCCCAAGAATGGAATCAACCTCATTCTTAATATATACCAAATTTTGGATTACTCCAATTAAAGGTATATCCATACCAAGGCTTGAATTACTATCGGTACTTATTGGTGTACAAGCTGCATATTTCGTATTAAAACAATTAGAAGTGAAGGATATACCTGTGTCTTTGTGGTCGAACTTAAAATGTGCTTTATTTTGGATTAAGAATTACTCTAAATTGCTTCTTCGATTCGTTCAAAATCGGGTCGAAGAAATACGAAAGGCAGGCTTTGTCGCGAGTAGCGAACAAAAAAAATATAAAATAAATTCCTCAAATAAATGTTTTTTATGCAAATCAAAATTCTATATATATATATATATATATATATGTAAAATAGCTCATTTTCGAAGTTGAAACCTTATTTTATTTTAATTACAACATTTGAAGAGTATTCAGTATTCAGCCGGAGACAGATTTGCTTCAGAAATCTTATTGGCTTTAAGCTTATGGATAAGGGAAATTATTTCTTCTTCTATTGCAGTTGGTTCGCAGTTTTAAACATATGGTTTGATGAGCGAATCAGCTATTTTTGGTGCAACAGATGGCGCATCACGGTTTTGTCTCAAAGAATTCTTTTCATCTTCGTCCTTAATACTCTTAACAGGAACACTATTGTTTTGCCATATCATTCCGCTGATCGTTCCCTCTCTGAGTTATACCTGCTTTGTGAAGAAGGCAGAATAATTTCCTATTATTGCTTAATCGAGCCGCTGTCTCCATTCTCAAGGTCATATCGCTCCAATATCTATTTCTTTCCCACCATGTTGTAGTTGTAATTTTTCATCTGACAGACAAGATCTCCTGATATTCGTGTTTTGGTAGCCTTTTCGAACAATTGGACAGTTTCCGATACCCAACTAGCGCACTTCCTACTAGTATGCCCTAACGTGGAAGTAGCTGATTTTCGGAGACATTTTTTTAGTTGGAATCAGTATTCATCTGCCGTTCCAGAGATGTCATTGATGATATTCATTTCAGCGAAGTGCTCGGTTTGAAATGCACTTACTATCCTCGAATCTTTTAGTCTGAGATAGTTAAACGATCTTGGGAGAATTATCGTAACAGTATCATGACCTATGCGTGCATTCCAGCCTCTTTCCATTATGACCATGTCGCCTCTCGGTAGAGTTGTTTTTAAAAGTTGCATAGAACATGTCCTTATTGCGGTCATCGCTTAACATTGGAGCATATACACTGATGTCCAAAATATTGCAGGACTTTCCTTTGAAGCAGCGTAGGCCATGCGGTCATTTACCGGGTTCCACTCAGAGCGGGCCGAGACATTTTGAGTTATCAGAAACACCACAATGATATAGTCATCCCGGAACCAGGTTTGGTAATTGTACGAGACCCAAAGTGCAGAAGACGGGCCTCCGATAAGCAGGCGACATCCGCACGATATTTAGAACTAGTGTGGACTGAGATCGCTTGGCTTGCGACCTCTATAAGTATGTTTTCATGTCGTTCCCTGCTGCTATGACTAACCACGCATGCACAGAGCCGTTTCTCTTTACAATTCCGAGCAATTTTCGTTGTTCGCGAGCTTACATTATTCCTATTCTTATACATATCTTACTCATATTCTTAAGCCTTGAGGTCGTTTGATTGCATACATATCGCATATACCACCGAGTTGAGAATATCATGAATGTCAGACGCCATGTCAAGAAGGCTTAACCTTTTCACCGTAGAGTCACCTGGGGATATAGATGAGTTCCCAGTAACCACCCGGATTCTCGTTATCATGACAGACTTGCTCCTGTCAAAAAAATTAAAGGAGGGATAAAAAAATAAACTATAAAATAAAAAAAAATTTATTTAATGTATGCACAGTAGAATATTTATTTTTTACAACTTATGTAATTTTTAATTGCTTTAATGTATAATTTATTTTGTTTAAAAAAAAATTTAAAAGTTTAAGAGAGCTTAGCTGAATTTTATCAGAAATTAAAAAATAATTCACAAATGAAACAAAAATCGATAATATTTTCTTGAAACCGCTCGGCAAATTCAATTTAATAAAAAAAATGAGTGAAAAAGACTTGGTCTTTCTTCTGCTTCCACCTTGCACCATTGCGGTTTGGCTACTGCACGGCAAGCTAGGATAGCAGATCTCAGAGTGTGCCAATCATGGAAAATGTGCGACTGCCTAATCATTTTTTGCGCGATCTCCAAAAATGACGTTGTTTATAAATTAGGATTTAAATACGTTAAATTAGAATTTGCGAGGTCTTTTCTTGCTTTTAGAGCAGAAATTCATCAAATTGATCAAAGCAAGATTCACATATGAAAAAAATCGTATTCATATTCATAGAATTCAACATGTCCTTCAGTGGTCTTCAGTGATCTGATCAACAGTCACAGGTTTGCTTGCACTTTTTTCATTCATATTTGAAATATTAAACTACAATCGCTATTTGCCGACGAGGACGATGAAAATCAGAGTGCGGCACAGTTTGCATGGAAATTGAAGAAATATGCTGAAGAGAAAATTTGTTCCAGCTTATACTTATGGGTATTGTAAGACAATTTTTTGGAATACACGTTCTTTGGTGCAAAGTGCCATGTACAAAATCCATATTCACCAATTTTTCGCATCCACTAATGGTATCTAGACCATCCAGAACCAGGTAATTGGCAAAGGTCCTTATGTATTCGGATATTGTTCTAATGCCTTTTTATGTAATTTGGAAATATTTCCAAATGTGTAAGGAATACTGCCAATAATTGTTTGAAAAATTTGAGGCTGAATTTTCGTTCGAACGGACTGCATCAATTTTCGAAACTTTTTAAAACTAACGGTATACTAACTGGAGTTATACTTTAACATATTGCACATGCAAACGCACGTAACTGTCCAACCAATATTCTAAAAGATGGATCGTAGCACGCTACCACTCCAAGTAAGTAAGCGGTTAGCATTCACCATTTCTAGAAAATGGAAATATTTTTGTTTTACAATTGGCAGTGGAATGTGGGTATAATGTTTCAATGAGTTGTTGTTCTCGGGGCTCCAATCTGTTTCTTATGTGCTGCTTTCAAAAGACGACTCATCTGTGCTTCTGGTCGAATGATTCCTTAGCAAAAGTTTCTAACCAGCAGATTTAATGGAAATGGAAGAGCGCCAATTGCTTTTTTTGTACATGGGAATAGAAATTAGGTCGCCACTATCAACTGGATTTCTAAGTGAAAGGTGCAGATATTAGAGGTGAGAACTGAGCCTTTGTCCCATTACGATCCGTATCACTTGGCTATCCTATTCCTTATTGTTTAACTTCATGGCTTGAAATGTAAGTTATATTTTGATTTTATGCTATTTTTGATTTTCGCGTCATTTTATAATCTTTCTATTTCTTTGGTTTCATGCAGTGCAATATTGCAGAATAATTATTTTAAAAAATTATTCTTTTTTAACTAAAGAAGTTATTTAATTATATTTGATGATACTTTAGTAGATTAATAAGTTAATTAGAAAGTTCTATAAATTGAAGTAACGTTGAAAATTCACAGCTTTAAGGTGCTTTACAATGCATCTAATCGGTTTTAAAGTTTAAATTTAAACCTTTTTGACTTCGATCATTCAATTTTTAAAATGCAAATTTTAAAACGATCTTCCAGGAAAAGTACAAAACAATAAAAAAAACAAGTGGTATCAATGACTATAAATGATAAAATATTTTATTGTTCCTATTGAATGCTAAGAAAAAGACGGGAAAAGTCTAATATATTCAAGTATTTTATATTTTATTTTAAACATTTTTATAACATTATTTTTATATTTTATTTTAAATATTTAGTACAAAATTTATACGTGATTAATTATACAAAACCAAGCCTTTTCAATTTTTCAGAAAATTTAAATTTTGAGATATTTTATATTGTAAAAAAAAATGATGAATTCCTGAAAAAGTCGTTAATTCAAAGGGAAAGGGAAAGGGAAAGAAAGGAATGGAAGCTGGAAATTAATGCATGAAATGTGGAATATATTGTCAGGAAAAGGCGCATGGCCCCTATGCCACACATAAATGAATATCTTCAAAGTTTCTTTTTCGTACATTAATTTCTTTGAGATTTATTGTTTCTTAAGGAAACAATGAATAAAAGGAAGAATTGACAGATGGAAAATTTTGAGAAAAATTGTTTTGGTAGTTCTTTGGTTATCAATCAAAATTTTAGGATATGCGTTGTATTCAACGATTTCAACAATAACCACATGTTCGCTTGCATTTCTTTTTCATTATCCTTCCATAATCGCCAACTGCGCAAAGGCTTTGATATTTTGAGCAGTCATCATGGTCATTGCGGCAACTTAATTTTATTGTCGATGAAATCGTGGTGAATTTCGGTGGCGATTTAGTTGAAATCAAAGTGGATGTCGATGGCGATATAACTGAAATCGCGGCGAATATCGATTTGTGTCGAAATTTACGGAAAAGCAATCACTCATTATTCTTTTTTATAGGGAGGATTATATTCGTTTTCGCAAAAGCCTTTGGGCAAAAAATGTATTGTAATTATTAATTGTGATTATTAATTAATTATTAACTTACTTGTGGGGTTTCTAAAGCAATTTTTTGAATCACATGTTCTTTGGCATGCACTTTTAATATAATCATCATTGCAAAATTCATGCAATTCATCGCAGCCATTAATGGAGTCCGGGCATCCACCTCCAGAACCAGGCAAATGACAAAGTCCACATGTATGTGGACATTGTTCTAATGCTTTTTGATACAATACGGAAATCTCGCATATTTGCTTTGGGCAACGACTAACTGAAAATAAATTTTAAAATATTTATTTTAAATTGAATCGGTGCCGAATTCAGATTCAATTATATTTCGAAACCAACTAGTATCATTGCAATTATATTTCAACGTTTTGCAACACATCGCACACGTGCGTGGACATAACTGCTCGGCTAACAGTTTAAAAGAGCGATCATAACATCTCGCATTTACTCTGTAGTGCCTTGAGCTGAAATACAGTTAACTGATCTTCAAAGCATTTCATTTTCTAGCATTAGAAATCAAAAAATTTCAGGATTTGAAACTATTTCATTGCCATCAAATAAAAACGATTAAAAAGAAATCACGGTTCGAGGCGACGTTGATAAAATATTGCATTGTTTAAACCAAAGATATAATAGCACGCATTGCTTAAATCTGAGCACAAGTTTGGTTCAACGGATGGGCGTTTTACGGTGCGAGCCTTAGACACTCTGACATCTTTGCCGCAAATTTTAACTGGAACGTCAATCTCGGCAACTGTGCCATATAGAACGATGATGAGCGCCACACAAATAAAATATTTCATTTTTAAAATAGGACTCATTAATGAAAAGCATCTATAAC